AATATGTGGCCAAGACCAGACAAGCTAAAGCTAATTGCTAATTGACCCTGTATGGATGTAGTGGCCTATTTACATTCACAATAGTTAGGATGCCATCAATCATTAATGTTGTTTTGCTTCATAAAGCCAACAGGCTTAGATATACTTGCACTTAATGCCTCGTTAGGAACTACATTGGGCTAAACTGGTTGATTTGTGGTTTTGCTTTTTTGTTAAAGAATTAACCAAGACAATAAGACATTATCTCACCAGTAACTGTTGCAGAAAAGACTCAAAACTGTATCTTCTTTTCCCACAACAACAGTCACTTTGGAAAAAGGTCTTAAACGTCCAGCACAAAATATTGATTTAATAAAAGGTGTAAAACTGAAGAGTGCACTCATTCATGTGATGTAAAACAACCATTACAACTGAACAGGCTATGCAATCTTTCTGTGGTGTAATTGACATAATGAGAAGAACATGAAGGCCCTTTTTACTTTGAAAAAATTGCCCCAAATAATTGCCATCCAACTATATTCTCCCACCCATCATGCGCAACAAGCTAAATGCATCCAAAACAAGGTGAACAACAGCAACTGAATGACACTAACACAGATCCAAAAGGTCTGTTACAACAGACAATAAAAAATGATTATATTTACATGTAACCTACACTGTAACAAAATAGTTTAATTACTCACACTAGCATTCATGCATGCAATGGTCACTTCTGACATACACGTGAATAGAAACAGGTAATCATAAATAGACAAAGTCTCAGCTTCAGGTTGCCATTGGTAACGTAAGGATGTGTCATCATGAAATGTGTAGGTGTAGAGAGGGGGCAGTCATATAGGCTACAGCACGCCTCAATGCTGAGCTCCAATTACAGTATAGGTGCCCTTTAAAATTGTTTATTTATTTATGCCAAAAGACCCCTCTTAAGCTCAGAGTAACATGGTAGTAGACAGCTTCAATATAAAACTCTTGTGTCCATGGTGTAGTCTAATCTGCTTTGACAAGTAGGTTATCTTTGTGTCACCTCTTTACAACCTATACAAGTACATCTACCTCAATGGAGCAAATTGCTGTAAATTATTCCAATTATTCCAATCCGATTTAAGACTGGCATCATGCCATTGTATAAAACATAGACTATCATTGTTAAGTGGAATAGCAACAGTAGTATGCCATAACAATAAGGCGTCCATCACATCCCATGTGCTGCAGAGACATCCTGGTGAACCTCGAGCACCAACGCCTTTCTCGCTGAGGACACAATAACCGCTGGTTCAGGAAGGAGGATGTGCACCACAAGCTCCCATCACCACTATGTGAATACACATATGCAATAGAAGACTTTATGTATATTTTAAAGCAACGCGTAAAGCCCGGTGTCACACAGTGCACACGCAGCGCACACGCAGCATTAGCCGGTTACAATTAATCACGTTGACACGGATGAATGAAGGAGACCAAAGCACGAGCATAGCGTGGACTGCACATCACCGTGCACTAGGGATGCGTTTACGCACCTTTTATCCAGACAGAAGATCCACTCCGCGGATGGAGACAGATTGGGGGACGTCTGTACCGCCACCATGTCGACGGTGCAGCGGTGCTACCGGAGCGGGCTCCCGGTGGACGGCGTTTGTTAATGAATGTGAGCTTTAGCTGCGTCTGGTCCCCGCCCCTCCGCCGTGAGTCTACTCCAGCTCCAGATGATGCGCCGCTGCCCTCACGGTGGAGGCAGATGACTGTGTCAGCCCAGCCTGCCTCAATGCCCTGATGAGCTTTTAGAGGACGACAGGAAAACAGCAGCACTGAGCCTCCTCAAAGTAAACCACAGCTGCAGAGAAAACATCCACGCTCAAATACCAATACTCAGTCCAATCATTATAGAATAAGTAATAAATCAATGCTATTAGTCATCGACTTGTGGAAAAAGTCAATCAAAGCGACTCCACGTCCTGCCATAGAATTTATTATCTTACTAGTGTAGAAACAACTGTACACAGCTTGCGTGGCATAAAATAGCTTAATTGTAGTTTTGATAGGTCTTTATGGCAAAGGCCAAAAGCCTATTGTTGAAAGTTATTAAAAAAAACAAAAAAAAAACAAGTCCTCTTCATGCAACAATTGTTGGTAGAAAGGGTACTGTAGAAGAATAGTAGTCTAGTTATTTTAGTCTACTGGCTGATTTGGTTGACAGTATTTTCAAACAGCTATAGGCTACAAAGACTTCCTGCACCGTGCTGTGTAGTGGGAGATAATTGTAGGGTGGGCATATCATCCGGCGGATGGCACCATAAAGGCCAGAGACACTGCAGCTGTCTGTGACACATACACAAGTGCATATGGTGCAGCATTTTATCGAGCCTCTCTTCTGTATAATTTTATTCTATCAGGTACAATTATATAATATGCTTTTCTTTTTTATATAGATTATAGACATGTAGGCTACGTCAGCAGAGACAGAGACAGCTACAATAGTGTCCATCAGGTGAGTTAGCACATTTCATTTAAAACTGTATGAATACTTAATGCTGCTCAGATGACACTTTTACACACATGGCTGTATGACCTGAGGGGAGTGGAGTATAACTTCATCTTAAATTGAACTCTAAGTCTATTTTTGTAATATCAACAGCAGATGTCCTGACTTGTGAGAAGTCTTCAACATATTTAAAACGAATTACACACTTTACTACAGATATTCTTCATAATATTTTATAAGCTTTAATTTAGTTGCATTATACTCAAGGTGGTTTAGCTAGAGACAGTTAACACTGGAAATCTGGTTTTGGGCACATTGTCATACTGGAAGAGACCATCACTTTTCATTACAGAGGGAACTGGTTCACTAAACCATACAAAAATATATAAATTAGGCAATCAGCAGGGGTATAAAACAAATCAATGCAAATCATCAGAGGCAGGTGATGTAAAGCAAACATAATTAAGAAAGAAAAAGGATAATACAAAATGTTGTGGTGAACATTACAACAACAACAACAACAACAACAACAACAATAATAATAATAATAATAATAATAATAATAATAATAATAATAATAATAATAATAATATAGTGTTTTTCAGGACAGTCAAAGACTCAAAAAAAAAAGATTACTGTTGGATGATAAAAGAAAAATTGCTAATATTATGGAAGCATTTGTGTTCAAGTGGTTCAATGTATTATTAATTTATTATTATGTAATAGTGTCAGGCTCGTTTAGAGGTATGGTTGGCTCATAAGCAGTCACTGAGTCGAATGTGTGTGACGTGAGAGAGAGTGAAGCCAACATTCATGTATTCAGACTCTGAGCTGTTCCTCCTGTGAACTGAAATTACTCTGCCTGACTGGACAGATAACCATATGGGACTTGTCTATCTGCTAAATTCAGCCTATACAAATTCTAAATTATCAACTATGAGTGTTTGACTTTTACAATGCCTTGGTGCTTATTGAATGTTCACATTGTTTATTAAAGGGCCCATAATATACTATTTACAGATCTATGCATTAATGTTGTTTCCTCATCAAAAACATACTGGAGTTGTGGAGTTTTGTTTCATTCACTCATGTTTAGCACGTACACCCTGCAGATTTAGGCTGAGTTCTTTTCTCAAACAGAAAACACCTTGCCACGTTGTGATGTCATTTGTTAATACAGTGCTCCACTGTGTTTTTAAATTCCATACACTTTCACCAGAATCATTTGGATAATTTCAGCCCTACCCATCTCTACTGAACAAATGGTCAAGTAAACTGTTAACTTGAAAACTATCCATCTTCATGACATCACAAGAGAATATTTTGAGCTTTGGAGATGTAGACAGACTATAATAAAGGATTATATAAACATGTGTGAATGAAACAAAGCAGAACACCAACAATGTTTTTGAGGAGGTAACAGCATTACAACATGGGATAAAGCTCACTTCACCTTTACCTTAAGACTGAATGTTTTGATATCAGCTGGAAAAGACCATGATTGAGAATACTGACATAGAAATAATTTTTGATTAAGTTTCACATTTGTAAATTTATCATCTGTAATTTTTGATTATTGGAGTATCTACAGCATATAAAAATCACTTGCGTAACAACCCTGCACTCTTGTGGACAAACCCTGTAATGGTGATGCACATTTGAAAATTTGAATCACTCCTGTGATTCAAAATCTTCTAATTCTTTTGCCAAATCTCCTCAGCTGTATCTCATCACCCAAAATAAAATGCTATAAAGAGTCAAGACGCAGTGTTCCTCATCCAGTCAGGCATGTTCAATATTTAGCAGAAAATTCTGAAAATATTTTCTAACAGGAACTGATCATGCACCAATGTAAAAGGTCACAAAGCCCTTACAACATAACAAAAACTTTTATATTTAGGCCTACTTATTCTTCAATCTGTGGTTATTAAAATAGATTTAACGGCAATAAAAACTATAGGCTATGGTATATTTTGGGATTTATTTAACTTTATGTAACATTTCATCACATTCTATTCCTAAATAACATCACAACATTCTATGGCCTCTGGACTATATTCTATATTTAATACAGATGGGGGACAGCTAAAATGAATAGAAAAATGTATATTTCTGTTGTAATACAATGAGTTCTTGGGTCTAGTCATTAGTAAAAATTATCAGGTCTAACATTTGCAAATTAACTTTTTGAATATTTCATGGCAAAGTACAATGTAATTAATGGGGAAAACTATGTCTTGTCCCCCATTTGGAAGTATGACATCATCACAAGTGTCTGAAAAACACCAACTGAATCTTTACCCAGTGAATTAAATGGCCTCTATATCTGCCCTTTTCTCTGTTATCCAGCCTCTAAACTTCACCACCTACCCTGTTATAACTCCCTCACTCCTTACTTTCAATTCACTTTCTCTGCGTCCTCCCCTGCCTCACTTACCCTCATTCAAAAGAATGCTTGATTGTGATTGGCCAGTATTTATATCAACTAGGTCCCCGTGCCACCTGGGACAACAGTCTCCAATCAGAACCAGGTCACACTGAGCAGTACCACTCTTCTCGGTCCAGTCCGGTCCAGTACAGCACCATAGCACCAGCACTGAGTCACCAGGCACTGCAGAAACAGGTAGAGACTGTTTTTTATGCAGGTGATGCAGGTGACGATGAGGGATTAACAGACAGGTGAAGTTGGCATAGTGATGGTTACACAGGTGAATTTTCAAAGCTTACCATTAAATGTGATTTTACACAGCAGACACTGAGAGTGGCAGAGATCCTGAAAGACAAGTAAAGGTAAGTAAATGCTGCATTGTTAGTTACATTGTGGTCAAACAAATTAATAATCTAATTTGGCTTTTCAAATTTTGTTTATTTATGTGTCAAATGGCCTTCCTAAGGCTATATTCCTGGCTTGATGCTGGCATAGATTTTAGAAACAGGTAAAGATATAATTTTTTCCCCCCCTTTTTACTTGTAGATCATAAAGAATATAAACACAATGTTAGTTAGTTTAGAATGGCTGTTTTCTGAACAAATGAATGACGTGGGCCCATTTAAGCCTTGAGTCTGTGGGAAGTTCACGGATCATGGTATTTCTTGGACAGGTTAAACAAGCTATGTTAAAGATGCCATCAATTCACCTTCCGCTAGGCTAATTTATTTGTTCGTCGTTGGTGTTCATAGTGGAGCAGTTTACACAGGATTACCCCGGGATAATCCATTTACAGATTTTAGGGACATGAGTCGCCATCTGTCTGTAGGCTATTTATCGCAGTAAGGGATCCGTCAGCACAGACAGCGCTTTAGGTAAGAAATGAGTCATATCAAATTGCATAATCAATAAATAGACAAGTTATTAAGTCGATTTAAATAATTTGACCTACTTATCATTTTCGATCAATTGCATTCATTGTGACTCTTCAATAGTTGTCGTAATTTCTTCTACTGGAATATATTAACCCATTACGAGTCTAATTTGTTTGAGAGACGACTCCATCTAATTAGGTTAAGGGCTTTATGTCTGATCGTTTAGTTTGATAAGGTAAAGTTTTTGCTGACCGTAGAGTTTTAATGGCATCCTAAATGTCCATGACCAGCTGAATTTCAGATTTCCGAGTTTACTTGGAAGTCTCCATGCCATTTGCACACCTGTGGCTGCTGAAAGCTAACGGGATAACTTGGCTGTGTCGGGGTTTCTGGATTTAGTCATTTGTTAATTCTTAAAATGTGTAAGTAGCAAAATGCAGCAGTGTGACTTTTTTTTAACCAAAATGTTTAGCCTAGGTCTATTATTTCTGATTGTGTCCTTTTGTTTTTCACAGGAAACCTCATGCCTCATGTAATACATGGTACACCACCAAACCCAGAACTTTGTGACCAGCAGCCATCGATTGGATGGAGTAACATTTTAACCCACCAGCTGTCTTCCTAAGTGTGTATTAGCAGCAGTTAACCAGCCTTTAACACTAACTATTTGTGAGTATTTTCCCAAATGATGAGGACTGACAGCAAAGGCCGGAGTGCCTCCCCTCACCGGATAACTTATAACTCAGACTTCCATGCCATCAAGTGTTCATTTGACACTGGGATCACTTTAAAGTCTGGGGCTCAGCAGTCCACTTTGCACCCAAGCAGACTGCCCCTCAGCCTGTCAGACCCAATCATGTCTCAAACTAGCAGCAACCCGGTGAGCAGAGGGCGGATTGGCAGCACTAAGGGAGCCAAAATTAGTCAAAACATCTTTCTTCAAATGGATAGTCAACAGCTTAAACCAGATGGGCAAAATACAGGATGCTCACCAGCACTTTCACCTCAAAAAACAATTCCAACTTCACCTTTTCCCTCTACACGGCGTTTGTTTGCCAGTTCTTCATCTGTTCTGAGCACTGCCACAAGCCTCTCAACTCCTGATGCCTTTCTACGAGATAAAAGCAGATCAGAAGAAATAAAGGATATTGACAGGGCAGCTCTGGCACAGAAGTTCAGTGTAACCCGCAAGCTGTTTGAGACTAAACTAACAGCCGTGCCCAGCGGTGGTTCATACAGCATTAGGAGGAGCAGGAGGAAGGAGGAAGTCAATTACCCCAGAGATGGTGACAGCTCATGGGACAAGGATAAACACATGACACTTCCAGAGATGGATGGTTTAGATAAAGAGAAGTTCATAAACCTTCCCATCGTAAATATTTCTTTAGCTCAGTCTTCTGCGGAGGGGTCTATGGCAGGCCACCATAAATCTCTCAGAGCCAGTGATCCACATGAAGACTCAGTCACCTCTCTTATCTGCTCTGGTCCACATGATCAACCTGCAATATCGCATATCAATAAAATAACACAAGAGGACCATTATGCAGGTGAAAAGGTACGTCGTGATACAGATTTGATCAGTGAGGAACCAGTGAAGGCTGAGCTAGTCGACCTAAAGAATGGGTCCTCTGAAAGTGATTGTGAGACAGACAATAAAGCAGAGGATGACTGGCAGGAAACATCAGTGAATTACATGACACCTTGCATAGTGCAGGATTTGGTGGATGATGTTTTTGAAGAACTCAACTTACTCAAGCAAAATGAGTTCACTGAAGGTGTTCTATGTAAAACAGTGGATCAAAATGGCAGTGTAGACTTGTATGAGCAGGAGAGCACAAAATGGGAGGGGCAGGCAGGAGAAGAGTCCCTTAAACCAGCGAACATGTCGGCAGTAGTCAGCAACTCTGTGACAGAGGAGAGAGAGGGGATGCAAGCAGAAGTTATTGACCAAGAGTTGTGCAGTTTGGAAAAAGCTGAATTGAAAGAAAGAAAGAATGACGAAAGTACGGTGAGTGAAGACAGAAGTGGAAGCAGGCTGCTGGGAGCGAAGGGGTGCAGTACTGTGGGGGGAATGGGGGAAAAAGAGGAGAGGGTGGGCTGTGCAAACTCTGGTGGGATCAAGAATGAGGCTTCTATGAATATCCAAGATGCTCAGTCCACAACAGAAGACCAGAGCCCAGATGAGCAGTCTGCTTTGGAATATGAGGAAATCCCTGGAATCCCTGAACTTGGGTCTGGTTCTGAAGAACAGACTCCAGATGGAAAACGAAAGGTCAAGTTCTCTACAGCACCCATCAAAGTAAGGAAGGATAAACCTTACCTGTACTGGCAATTATTCAGTGTAAATACAGTGTGTGCATTGCTGAGTGTACAGCATTGACATTGTGGGTTTTAAAAGTATAATGGTGCCTAAAGCTATGCTTATAAGATACTTGGAATGAGGAGAGGCAGGATCCCACATGTTTCTCTGTGTCAGAGCTGTCTTTTCAAAGGCAAATAAGTTTTTCTTACCTATATCCTCATTTGCTAAAAGTACCACAAATGAAATAAGTTTGTTCACACTTATTTTTAGAACTTTGTTTTTTTTTTTTGAGTAATTTTGACACCATTACAAAGAAGATGCATGTAGTTTTTACACTGGCAAACAATGTAATTTTGGTGTGGTTCAAGTACATTCTAAAGATATATTCACAACGCTTATCAACTGCCCCTTAGGTTTTCAGCACTTACTCAAATGCTGAGTATGACAGACACAATGATGACATTGACCCAGTGTCTGCTTCTGCGGAGTATGAACTGGAAAAGCGTGTGGAAAAGATGGATGTTTTTCCTGTGGAGATCGAAAAAGGTTTCTAAACTTAATAGTAAAATTTTCTACTTTAAAGGTGTATTGCGTAACGTTTCTAGTTGAGGGTTTGCCACCTGTTTGTCTCCGTGGAGACATTGCTATGTCTGGAATGTTCTACAGTTCTACAGAAGGGAGAAAATGGTTACTATTTCCCCCTATTCCCCAATGTTCAGAATTTGAGTATTTTGAGCTATTGAAACCTGCATAATGAATAAATTCTAGATGTATATGCTTAATGTCATACCATGGAACATTCTAGGCAAAGCGATAACATAGAGACAAGTAATTAGAGGACTCTCCACAAGCAAAGTTGCACAGTGCACCTTTAACCTGTGGTTAATCAATCATTTGTTTTTTAGGAGAAGAGGGTTTGGGCATCAGCATTATAGGAATGGGTGTTGGTGCTGATCAGGGACTGGAGAAGCTCGGAATCTTTGTCAAATCTGTCACTGAAGGCGGAGCAACAGAGAAAGATGGAAGGTATGCATTTGTAGTTGCTCTAAAAGTAATGTTAAGGAGAGAGGCTAAAATGCAAAATGCATAATCTGTCAATAAAATTGATTTTAAAAAACACTGGTGTACAGAATTTTAAACATTTCTATGTGCTAGGATTCAAGTGAATGACCAGATTGTGGAAGTGGATGGTGTCAGTTTAGTTGGAGTCTCCCAAGTGTTTGCAGCCACTGTTTTGAAGAATACGTCAGGCCTTGTAAAGTGAGTGCTTTTTGAAAAATCAGCTTTGGTTTTGTTCTTTTTACTCTTTATTCATATTAAGTTGGATAACATTGGTTTAAATCTAACCACTTAATTTTATTCAATACAGGTTTTTGATTGGTCGTGAGAAGGATGGTGTGGAGAGCGAGGTGGCGAGGCTAATTAATGAAAGCCTAGAGATGGAGAAATCTTCCCATACTGTAAGATCACTCAAAGTCTGGCTTTATAGCTGAATTTCAACATTAAGAAACAACACTTGGTCTAATATATTAGGGGCAGAGATGCAGTGAATGTGACGATGATGAAAGCTACACTGAATACACTACAGTGGGTGACGATGAGGAAGATGATGTGTCACAGCTTTCTGGCCTGGATAACCACCAACTATGCCTTAAATACCAACAGGTACGTTGTATAGGCAACTTAATTTCTAACAGAGGACAAATCGTGATGTCTATTTTTAACTTCATAGCTCCAGGTTAAACTCCAAATCAGAACAGACCAACTACGGAGCACTCGAGAAAAGGTGGGTCACACTCCACAAAACTGAGCTCACAAACCACTGCAGCTTTCACGTAATTCACTACCTTTGCATCCACATTTGGAGACTGACCCATTTAACTGTATGAAAAACCACAGTTTATGGAGACACACCCTTGATCATCCCTGCTTTATGACTTGACTTGTTATCTATGACATAACTGGGTTGGGGACCATTTTTATTTCAACTTGTTAGATGGTAAACACAAAAGTTTTATTGCAAAAAGCTCGAAAGTATTACAAAACACATGAATACAAAAATGTGGAGCAGTTTTTATGTTTGCCCTGGTTTAAAATTGGCACCATGCATAATATTGTACCATGTTGTTTTTTGTAGTTGCACACACTGGAGGAGCAGCAGGCTAGTTGGCAGAACCAGAAAGCCGAGCTTGAACAGAAAATAGAAGATGAAGAAGAGAAGGCTGATAAACTGGAGAAGTAGATGTCTTTTGTTATTTTAGTGCATTCATATCTGCAGCTAACTTGATTTGTGTCTAAAATGTACTCAAATAGTTGTATAGATGTTGTCAATGTGTCCAGTTTGTAAATATGACCATTTTTAGATCCAACAAAAAAGCAGGTAATCATCTCATTTCTATTGTCCAGGTATTGGCAGGAGGCCCAGACGCTTTGCAGAGTTATCAGCCAGAGATTGGCCGATGCCCAGAGCCAATCAGAAAACCTGGAGATCAAATATAACAAGGCCAAAAGACTGCTCCGGGAATACCAAAGCAGGTATTTAGATTTGCTCAATTGGAGCATCACCATATAAATATAGTCTATAAATAAACACTTAAAACATTTCTGATGATTGTTGTAGAGTGGAGGATGCTGAGAACAGGGAAGCAGAACTGAAGAGGGAGCTGGAGCAGAAACAAGACCAGCAGCAAGAGCTGATGGAAAAGCTGTTTGTTCAGGTGGGAAGAGATTTATTTCAGTGAAGTTTTGATCTGCAACTAAATTTGGTACTCCTCATGTACACAGCAAAAAGAGAGAGAATCTTTATCTGGAAGGAGTAACACTGCACCAGAAACTGGTTTGTATGAAACCTTTGTTATATGTTCACTTTGGCTATAGGATTAAACTTATAGTCAAACATCTTTTGTCCCTCAGATGGTGAATGGTATGGCCTAGTCCCTGATACAGGGCGCCTAGACTGCAGTGCTCACATCGCCAAGGCTCAACTGGCCCAGAAATCCAAGCGCCACCCTCCCTCTCGGGACAAACTAAGGGAGAGCTTCAGACGACAGGTCAGACACAGAAGTAAAACCCTTTCAGTAAAGATTTTGTCAGTGAAATGTGCCTTTGTAACTCTTTTAACAAATTGCATGTAATAGGAAGCGGCACAACAAAGTCAGTGGATACACAGTCGCTGCCTGCTCCTACTACACTACAGCGATCCAGCAGAAGTGACCTGTCCAGTACATCTTCTTTCCCCACACTTAGCCCTCAGCTTCCCTCCATCTCAGTGTCTACACCTCCCATTTATATCACTGACACTAGCTCTTCACCTCTCAAGTCCTCCTCCTCCTCTAGAAAGTCCAAGAGGAAGTTCCCCAATTTGAGGTAGAAATTGGATATTTTATGGTAACAAATTGTCTTGGCTATATACTAACTTGTCTAGCAATTTTTGTTTGTTCAAGTGGGCTTCGCAAGTCTCTCAACAAAAGGCGGAGTGAAAAAAAGAGTAGGAAATCCTTGGCAAGCAGGTATCTAAATGGGGTAATCAGACTGAAATTGTGTACGTAATTTGTTTTAAGTGTGTTTTTTCTTTTTTTGTACTTTTCCTTGTAGGAGTTCTTCTGGTGACTTGGCTAATGAACCTGTTGAGATCTCGTCAACATCCTCACTTACCTCTATGCCTTCATGTTTGCCCTTCTCCTGGTTTGGAGATAAAACTACAGAGAAAGGGGAGGATCAGGAAAAAAACAAAGAGAGGCTTAGGTCTGTGTCCAGCAGTAGCCTGCCCTATCTGACCACCACTGGAAGAAGAGACCAAGTATGTAAACAAATAAGCTTTATATTAGCTGTCTGAATTCCCTGATCTCTCCTGCATGACCTATAGCAGTAGAATTACTTTGCTGAATAGACATATACAGGTGAGAATGCAGAGGACAGTTCTCTTCTTGCTTGCAGAATACTGGCTTTCCCCTGGGAAGCTCCGCCATGGTGGGTCACGTCTCTAATCACTTTTTGTCTGGGCACTCTTGCACTTTTACCTTTTCATCTACTGAGGTGAGACTGTCCTTTCCCTCTCCTTGCATGAAAGTCATCCAAACCAATTCATCTTTTTTGTTATATCATTAATTCACAGCTGTCTTTATTGTCTGCCTTTTTTATTGTTAGACCTTGGATGATGACTTGATTCCTACCAATAACAACCACCAATGGCAGAGTCTTCCAGTGACTGAGTGGAGCTGTGAGCAGGTGTGTCTGTGGCTGGTGGCGATGAGTATGGACCAGTATGCAGCAGAGTTTTCTGCCAGATGTGTGAACGGGGCACACCTTCTCAACCTGGATACTGACAAACTGAAGGTCAGCTCAAGACAAAAGAAATTTACGTAGATATGAAGTATTTTAGAGATGTATACAAAAATTATTCATGAGTTTCATCATCCTGCTTATCAGTGGGTTTCAGAAAGAGAAATGAGGACCGTTGCAATAGAGATGAACAATTTCAGACTAAATGTATGAAAAGTCCTTCAAATGTTGCGTATAGCAGGAAGCTCAAACCCATGAATGGCACAATGTTTCACACACTTTTCACCATTCAAAGATACATTTTGTTTTAAACTGTTAATTGCTAAAACAGTGTCAGTTTTTAATCAGTCTTGAATATAATGTTTCAGGTAACTAATCTCAACTTTATTTCTGCTTAAGAAGAGTGAAGAAATTGGGTTAAATTATTGATTTTGTCCTATTTGCAACAGACCCTGGGTGTGTGCAATCAGAACGATCGCTCCTTTTTAAAGAAGAAGCTCAAGGACCTGAAGAAACGTGAGGAAAAGGAGCAGAGAGAGAGAGACAAGAGGCTCAGGGAGGAGAGGGACACACACACGACTCACAAGGAATCCAAGAGAGGCACCATCCGGACTGAGTCACTGTTGTAAATCAAATGCCTTTGCCACCTGCATGAGGGTCTAAAATGCCACACGCACATGAACTTGAAATGTACCCATTTTAACTGGTGATACACAACTTGCAGTATATGTTCTATCACATGCACCAGCAGATTATGGCAGTTTTATATAAATATTTAAATGCTAATCTTTTAATTTATTAATGATTTTATTAATAAAGTGTCCTATTTAAGAATTCATATCTAATTTAATTCTATTCTGCTAATACAGAGTTTTCTTTTTTGACAGTCTCAACATGACAAACACATGAATACAAACACTTAAATTTTTATTCCAAAATAACATTATTTACAGCCGCAATGTTTTGGTAACACATGGAATGTCTTTTTAGCAGTAAAATGAAAGAGGATGAGAGATGCTGATAAAACTGAGTTATCTTACATAGAAGAAAGCGTGGTATGGTTGTCATCAGTTTCACTTTTAGAACAGCAACAAAAGTACCCCTAAAAAAATAAATACAAAAAGTACAAAACCCACCCTCCCAAGTCAACACGGAAAAGTATCCACAGACAAAACTTGTGCAGGAGAAGTATGATCTCACACAACTCCCGTCCAGTGAAATACAGACTTTATGCTTGATCATGTGGTTTAGTCCTACAATGTTTTTTCTGTTGCAACATACAGTTAATGTTACAGTTAACATCCACTGTGTGCAAAGGTGAAGATGTAAGAAATGCATTAAAATAATCCATGTGCAACTCAATGATGGTTAGGAAAAATGTCCGCTGTCTTGCCAAGTTGTTACCCAGGGTTTCTTTTCCACCTTTTCCCATTTCTTACTGTTGATATCCCTTTCCTCCCATTTGATCCGAACTGCATTGTAACTGGGAATCTTGTCTTCATGTTTGGCCCGCTCAAAAAAGCCACACTGCAAACGGATAGAGCATTAACATTAGTAATAATACATTGTCATCTGTGAATGTTAAAAGGTATGTTATGGAAGGCAAGAGCCAAAATGCAGTGAATTGCTCCAACAAAGAAAAAGAACCACCAGACCGTGCAAGAAATTAAACGTCACTAGAACAAAATCAGATGTTTACAGCAGAGAACCAAAGTTTGGCAGATTACGCTGTCACCCTTTAGCCATGCAAGTAAGCTGTAGTCACACATTTTATGTGTGAAAAATAGGCAAAAAAATTATTTAGTGAATAATTAGATTTCAAAGGCAACCCAACATCCAAAAGCAATGATGTCTCTTTCAACAAAACACAGCAAGTAATTGGTTTGCTTGCTATAAATTTTAATTGAAGCTGGGTAATTTTACCCTGTTCTTTTACGCATTTGTCAGTCTCTCTTTTTCTGAAGTATCCTCCTTATCCTTTTTGTCAAAGACTCCACACTGAGGAGAGGAACATTGTTAGGTTCAACTTAAATAATTTCTAGCTACTACAGCTGTATTTCAGGACCTGTGGTATGTTGCATTTTTTTCTGTCCTACCTTCCAAAGGAGAAAAGCCAGCAGGGCCAATAAAAGCAGCCCAAACAATATGGACAGGAGAATGATCCACCACGGCACCCCTCCATACTGGGCCGAGCGTCGCTCTGGGAACACAGTCAGGCTCACCTGTGGACAGGGAGTGATTTTAACAGTGGTTTATTATGAAATGCATCTGAAAAAGAAATTCACTGTGTCAAGGCATTCATATTTACCGCTGTCTCAGCATTTTGCAGCTTTGTGTTCTTTAATGTGCTAGAAATGCTCAGAGATGCCTTCACTATCACTTCCACATGATGTTGATCAGAGTAGTCCTGAGCAGAAAAAAAGTGCATTTTAAAAAATGTAATTAAATGGCCATTTAAATGGCTAAACTCTACCTCTATAAAAGTGGTGTTCCAGAGGCGAGAGCTCAGAGTGATGACTGCATTACTGTCCAGGCCCCGCAGGGGGCACTTGATCTTCACACATTTTGCTCCTTTGCCACAGGACTGGGAAAACAGGAAAACCCAAAGAATATATAGTATAACAGCCAAATAACTTTCACACTTTAAGTTTCACACTTTATAATCTCACCAAAACTTTGTATTTCTTGTCAACTAATCGTGAAATTGTGGCCTCATCTTGAAGTGTTACTGCTCTTCTGCTTCTTGTCTTGCTCTGTTCCTGAGCAAAAAAAGTAAAAAAGTAAAAAGTCAAAGTCAAATTTTATATCGCAGAGATAATATTTCCACTGACCACTTTCAGGCTGTTGATTACACTCTTTGGAGAGCAATCAAGGTAATCCAATCCTGTGGCGCTTATTTTCACCAGATATAGGAGCCATTTAGAATTTTCTGTTTCTTTAGGCCAGTCAATTTCAAGAGACGCAGTGCCAAAGTCTGTCAGTCGCTTCCCAAGATTGATGATCTAACACATACAAACAAGAGGGCGGGTGAGACCCAGCCTGAATAATGTATAAACATTTTTTTTCCTGAACATTACAACGGAAATGACCAGTCCTACTCACTCTGAACTGGTGAGCAATGGCACTCCCAATGTCACTCTCTGATTTCATAGCACTTTCCCCTTTGACCACTCCAGAGAAGGAAGCCTGGGATGGTTTGGCAAGCCTAAAATCCAAGAATAAAATGGTTGTAATGGCATAAAAGAATAAATCTGTAGTATATGTTTAACTGTTGACGTGTATATGTGTAATTGCTCCATACCCTGAAACAGACAGCTGTAGTAGCAGGGCCACCTTTGCCTTTGCAATGACAGGGACTATAGTCTGACGGCTTGTCCTTTTAGAAGCAAAAAAGTATAATATCTTTGAATTGTGACAATGGTCTTTTTATATATTAATAATAACAAAAGTGTTTTTCGTACGTATAAGGAACAAGTTCTATTGCCACTTCAGTTGTATTAAGAGAGATTCCTGCTGTACCCAGGATAATGTAGAAGGATGTCTGCATGAATGGCAGTAAAGCAAAAATGTAAATGTAAACAAATAAAGAAAAATATATTACTTTTTCCTTTCTTGTTTTTACCTCTGTCTTTCCTTTAAATGGATTTCCAAGATCACACTTAGTTTTAGTTCCCTCTTTATTGGCTATGCATGTTACTGGATGCTTAAGATGAATACAGATAAATTTGATTGTCATAAAGAATCTACTTGAATCTACTTCATATGAGCCTTACATCAGGTGAACTGCGATAGGCTGAGTAGACAAGAGTAGACGGTAATGTGGCGTTCACACTGGCTTCATATGCATCATCTCCATTCTCATTGGTCACTGTCACTTCCAACGCAATCTCCTTTTGGTCACTTAAAGAAATCACCGGCACACCATTCTCCCTTTAACAAAACAAAAAAAAGATCATCAGAAGTGAGTTATTTATATTGTGATATACCGTTAAACACTTTTAGGTTTAATATTATGAGCACTGGGTGTCTTTTTATGAAATCCATCTTTAAATTAATTCGAGGTGTGCACAACCACACAGACATTCCACCTCCAGTTTTAAACTATTTTGAACAAAACAGGAATATGGAAAGCTCTGGCCCAGAAATCCAACAACCATAATTAAAATGTAATTTCACATCAACACTCAGTGGTCACATTATTTCTTATATTATTATTTATATGTATTACATGCTTAGTGGAGTGAAGGTTTCATCATTTATTGTTCTGTAGCCATATCGATATTTGACCTGTAGGTTGCTCTCACACACATTGTCATCACCACAACCTTGTTTCAGGAAATGCACCTATATTGATCAGAACACAAGAGAATAACACAACTGTACTGACTGTTAAAGGAGTCACTACTACAAATTATAAGCCCAGAGTTGTTACTTTACCATTGAGCGGGTTGAGTTTGGCTCATTGGCATCAAGCACAGGCGCTGGTGTGGCTACACTCTGTCTGCGTTTACGTTTGGCATCTTCGATTTGAATAGAGACATCCACAGGGATACCCTGCAGTTTATCTCGAATATTTTCCTATAAGACACATTAATCAGACATATTTTTGTACCAACAATGATAAACATTCCATATTTGTGTGCACTATAGCGTATACTACAATTACCTGTAGGACAAGCTCACGTGTCAGACACTTTTTCTTGCCTTTACTGTCCAAGGTCAAGGTGCCTTTCGAGCTGGCACCAGCAAAAGTGGCTCTCGAGGCCAGTCCGTTTTTACGATGATCAGCATCTGCCTCCATGGTGTAACTGATTGCTAAATGATTGAATTAAGTTATTTTATGTTTTTTGAATACTGTATATATTTACAACACTGTAAAAATGCTTACTCAGCTTGGGAGAGTAACTGGGAGGATTGGCAGTGTAGGTGAAGCAAGCCTCAACACTTATACTGAAGAAAGCGAATTTAAAAAGGATTCATGTTATATCAATTTATTTTTTCTGAAAATCTTTAAATCAGAGAATTTGGAGAATCAATACTTACCAAACTTTGTCACCACAGTTCTTGTTTGTAAGGTCAATTTCTTTAGGTGTGAACGTAATCTTCTTATCAATGCTGATGACTGGCCGTGCCCTGGAATAACATAAGACATGAACGTTACCATGCATAATAAAGAGCATTATAATTACTACTCACCTGTAGAGAACGACTGCATCAGACAGGGAGCCCACTGCAAGGTCTGGGTATGAGTTCTTGTCCAGATCCATGTTGCCCGCTAAAGAATATCCAAACATCTTCATTCCTAAAGGCTTCCCTAACAAAATCTAATAAAGAAAAATACAATAGTGGTTACAGTATTCCCGTTTAAAGAAAATGGTTAATTGTTAAGTTCATAATAATGCTGCAGCATTCAAGAGCAAAACATTTATTTGTCCCACAATGTGAAAATTGAAGATTAACCTGAGCTGCTCTTGTGGACTTCAAGCCTGTAGGAGATCCATGGTATATATAAACACTTCCCATGCCGTTATCATAATTAGGAGCTCCAACAGCAAAATCTAAAATTGGAATAAATTAAAAACATATTGAGATGCAAACGTATTGCTTTAGAAGTTTGAAATAAATAAATAATAAAGTACAATAAAGCATCTCACCATGATAACCATCTTGATTAATGTCGCCAATCTTTGCCACAGCAAGACCAAACATGGAGTCCTTAGGGCCATCAATACGTGACCGTGTTGCTTCGTTCCATTTTCCAGCTTTGTTAATGTATACATAGACAGCTCCTCCAATTTCTCCATCCTTCTCAAAATATTGAGGGGCTCCAACTACAATATCTTCCCAACTAACAAAGCAATGCTTTGTTAGACTAACATTACAAATACATTTTGTAACATTTTTGTGCTACAAACCCATCTGCATTGAAGTCCAGAACAGCAACGTCATATCCAAATGATGAGGCCAAGCCCTCCCCCTCCAGAATGTACTCCTCCACAACGGCCCTGGTTGCTGGTACTTTTTTCAGCAGCACCACAGCTCCACTGTGGTTGGCTCTGGGAGCCCCGGCTACCACAGTCAGCTGGCCCTTCACAGTCAGACTCGTACCAGAGTCCAGGGAGAATCCTGTAGGGGAAAGTGGGCCTTAAATGAATATATTGGTTGCACATGAGAACAGTTGAAGTGTACTAAAAGTATTTTACCAAGGTAACTGTTAGCAGGAGCTTGAATCAAATTTGGATCTTTCTCACTTTCATCTCCAAGCTCAAAAGGTCCATCGTCATAGATGCCCAACTCAACCAAGGTCATATTTTTTTGCTCCAATCGTACTATACCTGGAATGGAGAAAAAAATAGTTTGAGGACACGACAGCAGTTGAAAGCTTTACACTAATACAGAGCATACAGACTGACTCTTACCTTTCCAATTATATCCTCCGGGAGCTCCAAAAATGACATAGTGAAAGTCATTGTCAAAAATAGCAGCTACACCCTGCTGACAAGAGCCAAACATCTCATGGCCTTTGGGTCGGCCCTCGCAGAAGTGCCAGTTGCCACCCTCGCCGGTCCCTGAGGCCTCGTTAATCGTCAGGTCCTCATTGAGCATGTAACAGCGACCTGTGATGTCACGGGACTCCCCAGCAGTGTTAACAGCACTTCTAATCTGATATCGATGAGCACAGGTCTGCCACCAAAAATTTTTTAAAAAGTCAGTTGTTTATCAATCAATATATGTTTGTTAATACCTAAAACAAATCATACCATGATCTTGCCACCTGGCCCTTGACTGCTGACAGACACTCCCATCCACTGGTTTTCTTTGTTTTCTTTACTCAAATCCTCTATGATGAAGTTGCACCATAAATAAGTATTATGCCAACTGAAGTAAATGACAAATGTACATGTGAATATGACTGAGTGGGTTTCTAACCTTGATTGTCAAAGATGATTCTGTTGCATGAAGAGGAAGTGGAGCTCATGTCACAGGCGTATAGTCCTCCGGTCACTTTAGACTTCTGACCCCTCAGCCCATTTGCTCTCGGTGCACCAACTAGGAGCCTGCAAGATTCACACATATAGTGTTAGACAAGGCTGTCATATTAAAAATGCTTTATAAAGCTTTATAATCATCCATTTATCTGATAGTTCTTTTCCAGGTGCTCAAAGTGATCTTACAATTTTGTGCATTTTTCATTCACCCCTTATTTGATGGTACTGTAGCTACAGCGGTCCCGGGGTAGAATGAAAGGTGCAATGCTGCAGATGGGTGGAGTTTCTTGCCCACGGATGCACCGACAGTAGGCACTAGTTTGAAATGGGTTTGAACCACCAACTTTCAGGTTGGTGAAGGAGTGCTCTAATCATTGAGTCACTGCCACCCTTATTTCTAAGTGCAGATTGTACAATAAAATTTTATGTAGATAGAAGTTAATTGACTAACAAAAACTCTCAAATGTAAACTTTAGCAACTAACGTTCTACTCCATATGACATGCCCCCTCAGCACATTGTGAAACATGAACAGACACTCTTCCATGGCTGATTTCAATACAGCAGCCATATTCACACAGTGACAGACACATAGTGAGGAGCCTCCAAAGCCAATGTTCCATGTCCACACAGTGTATTAGTGTTAAAAGGCTCTTTTCAGCTGAATGCTCTGCTTTACTAGACTAGAACTTCTATCTTTGTCCACACACAGATGCCCTTTGTGGCCAACTACAAGGTCAAAAGCCACACCCATCTTCGTATCTCCATAGGCATCCAATTTCCAGGGTTTTACAACACCATAAATCAAGCAAAGCAGGAATGTCATAGTTCACACTGTAAACTGATGTCAACACACAACATTTACTTCATGACAAAAAAGGTCTGAATGAAATTACACTAAGCAAAGCCAGACAAATCATGCTCTCTTTAACACTGACTGATGCTATATGCATGTGGGAAGGTCTGAAATTTTTGAAATGCATTTGGAGTTCTGCATCATCTAAATGTAACTTTTTTGCCCTGAGACAGCCCTAAGAGATATAATCACATGCGTGTATTCAGATTCATGTAATTTATCCTATATTATGCAAAATTGACTCTTGACGCTTTAAATCATGTTATAATGTTGTTACCTCATCAAAAACATACCTAGAGTTATGTTTCATTCACACATGTTTGAGTGACCCTTTATTATTAGTCTGTCTACATCTCCAAAGCACAAAATGCTCTGTTCCATCTTGTAATGTCATGAAGTGGTAGTTTTCATGTTAACAGTGACCTTTTACCTTTAGTTTGGTAGATATTGGAAATTCCAGGAATGAAATTATCCAAATGATTCTAGTGAAGGTGTATAGAGTAACATAGCTGAGGACTTTCTGTTACCATATGATATCACAGGGTAGAACAGATTGTTTTCTGTTTGAGAAAAGAACTAAATGTGCAGGTTTTGTGTGCTAAACACAATGAAAGTGAATGAAAAAAAAAAAAAAAAAAAAACACGACTACAGATATGTGTGTGATGAGAAAACAACATTATAACATAGATGACATAATAGGGCCCTTCAACTAATGAACTAATTTATATTATTACAGTAGTTTTGTTGTTGAATTGAAAGGTTGATGCAGTGTCAGCAGGTCTTTTGGACAGTGAGCCTGTGGTTTGTTTTATCGTGTGCCGCCAGCTGAGGAAGGACTTAGTCTACAGGAAGCAGCAGCACCAGTGTGAGTAAAAGGACTAACACATACTACTGCAAGTGGTCTGTGTATGCGTATATATTTTATATTTTAGTATATTTTCAAACTTTCTGTTGGTTCAATCAACAATTTTGCGAAGCCCTATGAGGTGAGAGTGCTGTTGTGATTTTGGGCTCTACAAAATTAAATTGAACGTAACTTATTTTGATAACTTATGTGGTATCTGTTAAACCTGCAAAATGATGAGGGTATAATTCTATTTGTGACATAGCCTTGACAATATGGAAATGTAATTATCTCTATTTACTATAGTAGTAAAGATAAGAGCAGAATTAAAACAAAGCTACATTCTGGAAAGTTACAGGTACATTACCAGGTAGTGGGGTATAGAGATAGACCCATATACCGGTTGGCCATTATACTGGGTGGATATTTAGACTTTTTAGCCTTTCGGCTATCAAGCTTAAAGCGCCAGCATAGGTACATAATTTCTTTTTAATTTGATCTGCTGCCTATTAGCTTCACAAAATATGACTGCTCAGATCTCTAATGGGTCAAATCTGCCCAACATCAGCCCAAAAATATCGGTAGCGCTTATCAGCCACTAGTTGCTCTGGCGAAACAATTAGTATCAGCATCAGCCATTAAAAACCCATATCAGTTGATCTCTAGTTTTAATTCTCAAATGAGGTGTCTGGACCAAAAGTTGGGCAGGGTCATGTTCAGGGGTTTCATGGGCCTTTACCAAAATATGTAATCTATTGTTTTGGAAACAAAAATTGGTTTTAATTATGTTATTTATTACACTGACATATTTTATTTGGTATCTGCTTGCCCAGTTGAGAACCATTTTTGACTAGGGCTGGGGAATTAATCAAATTTTAACCACAATCAAGATTCAGTCATGCCTATTCATGATGATATGATATGGTTGGGGGAAGGTGGACAGAAAATCCAGTGTCAGTAAAAGCATGCAGAGCAGACTTTTATTTTGATTTTGAAAGAAAAAAATCTAATCGGTTTGAGATCAATATCAAAGTCTTGTCTATACTTAGTCTATACCTAGTCATACTCTGATCTTTATCATTGGAAGCCTTTAAACACAGCACAAATGATAGGGAGTCTTCAAAACCGCCAAGTGTTACATCTGTGGTTACGTCTTCTTTGAGAGAGATCCAAGTCTCACTCCAGGGCTGATATTTGGTGCCCAGATGTAAAAATGATTTATGTACTTTTTGTTCTATCACCATCCATCAAATTGTTTTTATCTAAAGTTGAAGTTAACCTTAAGAACCCCATGGACATTTTCAAACTTATCTGCAACATTTACACTGACTGAACTAACTTACAATACAAATCTAAAGTACTTCGCAAAAAACACAACACCAACATTACCCTGCCTTCACCTCCCGTAACCATGACTGCCTCGGGCTAAAGACAGTCAGAATAAGAGCTGACAGGCATCGCTGGCAAATGCTGGTGACTCACAGAGCACACCCAACTGTTAGACACAAGAATACACATGCCAAGAACACAGTGTGAAGAACCCTACCAGAATTCATTGAAAGATGGTGAGCAAAGTAGTTTACAGTGGCCTAAGGTTATGTATAAGTACGTGCTAGCTACAAAAACACACTACTTATGCACTCCTCCTATGTGTACGATCAGATCAGGTGTAAAATAAACATGACCCAACATGCACAGTGACCATATATATTTTACATGTAGACGATTTGAAGAGTCCTGAATCCAACCATGCCAATACCAGCTTTACTGCCCATCAGTGAGCCTTCTTGTCATGTAGGGACCTTTTATATTGTCTAAAAGCTTGAGAAGAAGAATTAAGCAACTGAATTTTGTTTTACTTAATAGCCTACATGCCATTATTTCAGTTTAGTTTCATTAGTTTTCAAACTAGAATGGCTTGCCATTATATGACAGTTGCAGTGACAAATACCCCTGATTAATTAAGTGCCCATTAAAACGTCGACAGGAGTTATTGAAATGGTTGGGGGCTAAAAGCAAAGCCCATTTTTAGCCTATTTTTAAGTACATTTGACAAGTTAACCTGGAAGGAGAATAATTTGTAGAATCATATTTAGAAATGTAAAAGTAACTTCGATGTTTCCAAGTTTAAATAGCATGCCAACCTTTGCAAGATCCTACCTTCTTGTTTACTAGAAATAATGAACTCGTGAGCAGCTTCAATAAATTCAAATAGGCTAATTTTAAGTGTACTGTCGCTCTACAGTAGTTTAATATGGAACACGGTGACATAAATATAGGCCATTGCATTGTTGTCCTGGATCAAAATGAAGTGAGTTGATATAGGCTAACTCGCGCACTTACAATCTTCTGTCCATCGGCTGAAGTTGCCGGTGCATGGCGAGAGAGAAGCCGAACAGACTGCCCGGATCCCCGTTCTTCCGCAGCACGTTAACGTCGTCCAGGTTGAAAGCCCAGAGTGAGGCGCATCCCAGCAGAAGACAGAGCCCAAGCGGGCAGGTGATCCGGACCCCCATGACAAAGTGCATTCTGCCTGACCCCACGAGTCCTCGGCCTCAAGGAGCGAAGTGCTTCTGACACGGTGCGCGCAGAGCTGCCCCGTGTAGTGTCACCGCTCCTCCCACCAGCTGCTGCGAGGCTACTTGTTACACAGTTGTACAGTAGGGCCAATCTGACTCCACTCAGGACAATTCCTATATCCAGTAGTGGAACGTAACAAAGTAAACGTAGTAAAGTACTGTACTTAGAGATGCATTGTGAAACTTTTCTGGTGGAGGGGCCATCAAATGCTTTTCTCCATGAAGATATTATTGCTTTGTCTGGAATGTTCCACAGTATGGTATGAAACCTTTCTGTTTCCATGGAGACCAAAACAGACAAATTACAGGTCAGATCTCTGGTGAGGCAATCCCGCTCACAGGCAGACAGTTTTTATAGGTATTTTTTAGCTATAAAACCTCCTGTAAAGAACCCCAACCAAAAAGTTACATAGTGCGCCTTTAATTAAAAAAAATAGGTATTTGTAAGTTAGTCATTTTTTACTTTTACTTCACTCAAGTGTAGTGAAGTAAAAGTAAAAAATGACTAATTGAGAGAAGGTAGGTTATGTGTATTTTCTACTCCACTACCTCAAGGCTCAGGGGGTTAAAATATACAGATAAAAACAACTAGAAAAAAATAGTAATATATAGTAATTCAGCTGTTTTTGTTGAACAAAGTTCTTTATCAAAATCACTACATTTGAAGCTTTAGGCCCATTAGATCACATCATCAGAGTCTAATGTAATACATTTACTTTTTACTCTTTAAGTACATTTAAACAGTTACATTTACTTAAGTAGATTTTTTTTCTTGTGATACTTTTACTTTTACTTGAGTATTTTTTGCTCCAATATCTGTATAAAATTTAATACTTGTTGCACCACTGCCTAATAACATATTATAGGCCTTGGTTGATAAAGAGTATCTTCTTGGTAATGATACCCCTGTTATTAGGATAATTGGCAGAGTCAAGCAGCATGGATCAGTAATAATACATAAAATACATACCATAGATCAGGGGTGTCCAAACTTTTTTCATCAAGGGCCACATATCTAAAGACAGACGAAGCAGAGGGCCGATCTAGGGCCGTAGACTGGTGCTCAATACAGTGAATAATTAAAATATGTGCACATTTAACATGTTAGAATGAATAAAGATTGATGGCTCATTCTAAGAGCTGTAAAACCACACACTAAATATTAAATATGAGCTTTCTCAAGGTAGATTTAAAAAAAAACTTGCAGTAAAAAGTTAATTTTTAATTGATGCAAGGTGATTTGGGCCAATTCACCTGGAAGCCTGAGGGCCAAGAAAAATTTGTCTGAGGGCCGCATTTGGCCCCCGGGCCATAGTTTGGACATGCCTGCCCTAGATTATAGAAAGTCTGGTCTGTGGCAGAAATAGCCTAATGCCTGGTGGATTCTTATTGTAAACTATTATAAGTCCTATGCTGATTAATTTTGTTTTGCACATGGACCCAGTGATGGTGGTTTTATAGTTTTACAGTATGCCTATGCTTACTGTTTACCACATTCACCAGCATTAGATTTAATGTAGCTCATGTCCAGCTTGTCTCCATTCTAAAGGCCCATAAGATGAATGACAAACCCAGAGGGACAAGTAGCCCTTAAGACATTCCAGTAGATACTGACCCACAGCCTCACATCACAACACTGGCTTTGTTGCACACAGGGACACACAGGGAGAGAGAGCTGCCCACTTCTGTATAAAAGGCACAATTAATGGTGGCACAGGGAAAGGCCAATGTAAGAATGTACTCTCTGTACAGGATTCTTATCCCATTGACTTTGTATAAATAGACTCTAAGTGAGGTTCATCTTAAAGAGACTTTTGATAGTGATTGTGTGGAAATAATTGGAAACGCCTACATTAATTTGATGAGTTCAAATTGATATACACGTTGTATTTAGTTCTAAAACAATCAATCTGGAACATAACTGAACGTTTCAGACTATTGTATGCAAGTTGATTTGTACATTGGGGATGTCCTGTTAAATATACCAAAATCAGCAGTGACTAGACATAATTTAGTGCTGGATTCAAAGCTGAAAACACAGGTTTACTCTATCAAACCAAGCAGAGACTCCTTTGGGTTGATGCGTCATAAGATCTGGAATTAAGATTCAGTGTACATTTGCCTGTTCACATTATTATGACAACTCTGTGGAAGTAAAGGTCACACACAGTGAATATAGCCATGCAGTTTAAATTTTACATCAATTTATTGACACAAGGATTAGATTTAAGGAGATTAGTTAACAAGAAGGTTTACAGACTATTCGAGGAAGATACTGTAATTCATCAGACAATTTTAATTTGATGCAGTATGTGGCTATGAAGCCTATATTACTGAGGGAAAGTATAAAACACATTTATCCATTGCCTTAGTGTTCATTAGAAAATAATTAGTCACTGACTTTGAATCACCCCCCAATACATATTTCATTTATTATCAAAGGACTTTCACGCACTTATGTACGTAATTTAGCAGCGTTTGCTCACCGTGTTGTGCCCTGAGGTACAGAGTCAAAGTGCCTGGACCTGCCCCACTACAGCTCTGTGATTGTTCTTAAAGCTGCAGCGTCACTTAAAAAGCCTTCACCTGAGGGTGTGGTGCAGAGCGAGGCGTGTGCTGTACAGCCTGTAGAAACACATAGCCTCTGGGTCCACAAACATGCACAGATTTCACAAGAGCAGTTCCAGCCCAACACATTTCATAACAGTCACAACTCGGCTCTGCGGCTTATGCTGACATGTGCTGCTCATTCTGAATCAGCTGTAGCTCAGTATTAGTCAGATCTGTAGGAGGAAAGGAACATATGTCTTTTAAAACTCTGCTGATCTCATGTCAATATTGACAGAATTATTGATGAAGTTCCTAAAAGCCTACAGTGTTAACAAAGAACTCACTCAATAATTAAAACAGTCTCTTAATTTACTGTAATTTACCCTTTTAAAATCTATTACATAAAACTTTTCATCTCTAATACAATACATTATTTTCAACTTTGCATAACAGTTCAAGAAGCCACAGCAATTCATGTTTGCATTTTGATTATAGAAAAGCTATCCCTGAGCTAAAATAATAATAATAATAATAAAATTACCTAAATAAAAAAATAAAAATTGCTTTGTTCAATGCCATTTGGGGGCAAAAATCTGAATCTAACAGGTTCCAGTGTTGACAGAAGTTGTTCTATAATTTGACTTGTGGCATAACACACAGTGAATGCAGATGAGATCTCTAGACGCATATTGATTACAGTCAATAGGATATAATTAATGTCTTTTTCTGTGAGCCCTCGGGGAATGACTAGCCCTTTTAACAATCCACCACCTGAATGAGCAGCTCACACCCAGCCCATGCCAGAGGTTGAAACGTGATCTAGAAGGATGGGCCCCCTTGACAGTCAGGTGTGCCTCAAAAGATTGCATGAGGGTAAATGAGAAAAATCTATTTAATTTTTCCTCTGTAGATTGAGGTATGGTGACAACATATTGATTTTATTTGTAGCCAACCTGAGTGATATAACTAATGTATTCTTCTAGGGTTATATTGCTACAGGGTCAGTGCTCTAATCTATTAACAGTAACCTACATAAGAACTATGCAGTAGTTAGTATAACCAGTGTAGTTTAGTTGCACATGCTATAGTCTAGCAAAACATCCATCCATGCAAGCAGAAGACTTTTTGTGTCAAACTAAAATAATTTAAAACAGAGATAATCTGGCATAAATAACTAACTAAAATAACCTTGTGTTTTCCCCATTTAACCAAAAGTGGATGTACATATTAGATTCCATAATACTTCTTTGGCCATGACATTTGCAGCAGAGCAACAATTACTGTGTGTGAATAAATCCTTTTTGTATTTCTGAACATCAAAGACATTCATAAGAGGTGACATAACATAGTGTATGATTTCCTGCGAAAAATACGAAGAAACTAGTTCTGTTTAGTCTTCTCTCATGTGTCCAAATGTCTGCTAGTGTATCTGAAAAACTGGTTTTCCCCTGGTCCAGCAAAACATGGCATTATTCAAAGGAGTGCGCTCAAGTGTAGTCTATATGAATGCAACTTAAGTTCAGTTGTTTACAAGCAGTGTTGGGGAGTAACGGATTACATGTACCGCCGTTACGTAATCAGAGTACAAATTATGAGTAACTGTATTCCGTTACAGTTACTGCTTCAATGAGTGGTAATTGGATTACAGTTACTTTGCTGAAATAAGTGGATTACAAGGCGGTATTTTCCTGTTTTCACATTTTGTGCTACATCCCATTTATTTATTTTTTTATTTCGGTAATTCCACTTATTGCCGGAAACCCAAACAGAACGCGCGCAATAAGAGCGATGTAAACGTCATCAAACGCTGATGTGAGATATATATAAAAAAACAAAAACAAATATAAAATCGCCTACAACTTAAATGTGAAACAGGAGCTACTGGCACTGGTGAAAACAACCTGCATAGACTCATAATATCTGCACTACTGTCATATACACAAACACACACAAACACACACCTTCATCATCGTCATCAACCTGAGAACCCGCGGACCACGTCTCCTTCCGTAGTTACTGCGCGGACACCGACGTCTCGTGCGCCGCGTGTGGACTGTGTTTTCTCGCATAAACCGCGCTTCCTCCTGTGCGCCTCTAAACCAGAACTAACACCAGGACTAAAACCAGGACTAACCCAGGACTAAACCAGGACTAAACTACGACTAAAGCAGGACTGAACCAGGTTTAAACTAGGACTAAACCACGACTAAACCAGAACTAAAGACCTGATCTAGACCTGGTCTAAACCAGGTCTAAAATCAGGAGTAAAACAGGTCTAAAAATCAGGACTAAACCAGGACTAAACCAGGTCTAAACAACATGACACCTAACAGTAGGTTGACATAATTTAAGGTGATCTCATATAAAAAATAATTTCTCTATCAATAATATTTTTTAATATGGTGAAGGAAAGACTGAGCTTGTTACTGTCTTTTAACAGACAAAACCTCTTATGTTAAGATATCGTGGTCTTTGTTTCTCTACAGCAAACAGTTGCTTATTCATGGAGACTTGGGCTCAGACAGTTTGAAGACAACAAACAAGAATTTTCAGGATGTGGTTGCTACATTCATGTCGTTTAAAAAAACATGACAATATCAAGTAATCCAAAGTAATCAGATTACGTTACTCACTTTAAGTAATTTAATGGATTACGTTACAAACTACATTTTGGGGTGTGTAATCTGTAATCTGTAGGGGATTACATTTTAAAAGTAACCTTCCCAACACTGTTTACAAGTGCCTTCAAGTGAAGAACATGGTTTAGCAGCAGACAATGCCTCCCACTAGAATATTTCCAATGTGTCAAAAACAACTAAAGCATTCCACCAGTCAAAGTGTGAGGAGGTCAAAAAAGAAAGTTTTTCCACCTTGTTAAAAGCCCTTCAAAACGAGACCCTCCCTTTTCTTATCTGGTGACTCAAATTTGACTTGAGTCTTCGTCTGGCACACTCACATGCATTCTTTCTGATTAACTGATTAACTTGTAACACACAAATAGACTTGAAAATTCCATATCAATGCACTTAGCTGGAAGGTCGGTGCAACAAACAATGCACACACTTTTGCTGTAGTTTTTAGCTATAAAACCTGTGACAGTGTTTGCCTAGGGGTCCTTAAGAGTAAACTTTTTAAAAATAAGGAACAAGAGTAGCCATGTTGGTCCCAAGACACAAACAAGAACGTTAATAAAAAACTTACATCAAATTGCTTTTTTTTTTTTTCCCTTACAGGGTTGAAAAAGGTTTACCTGTAGTTGTTAAAAACACCAGTTCTTATGGTTCTAACAATATTTTTCTGTACTTTCTCTGTTAACCAAGTCTAATGGAAGTGCAAGGCATTTTTTCAGAATTTAGGTGCTATGAATGCTCTTTTTTGAATCACAGCATGTTTCCATATGAACGAAGGATGTGGCTCACAGGTCTGAATATCATGTGTGACCTACAAATTTTTCAATTTTACACATCTCCATGGAAACCAGGAATTTGTGGCAGTCCGCAGTAACATCTCAGGTAGGTGTGATATATCACACTCTCAGTCACACAGAGGCAGATGGACAGACACACACCTGTCTCATATATACAAAATGTGTTGTAGAAATGCAGGTTAATATTCAGGACATTTTATATCAGTCTCCTTTCATTATAACTTTCAACAGCTTTTAAGGAAAGCACTTCTATTTTATTTATTTTTTTATATTCTTCAAACGTAAATTGCTCAAATGTTAAGGACACTACTTATAGTTAAACTATATTTTATGTTTACATATAAACAGGATAAACTTCAGTTCAAATTCATGGAGGAACACGCCAAGAGGAGTGAGAGGAAAAACAGGGTGAGAGGAGAAACAAGTTTGGACGTGTTAAAGAATGAAACAAATGAGAGAATTCATGACAAAGATCCAGTGCCTCTCCCTGCCACTCCCAGCTCCTCCCAAAATCTACTCATCTTACTACTCAGAGGTGATTGTACTCATACACCTAAGGTTTTTATAAAAAATGTACAAATTTATTTATGTGAATCATTTAGTAGCATGTTGTGTGATCAAAGGTGGATCAGAACAGCTGACCCTCCTTTATTTGCACAACTCAGTGTATCCCGCTCATAAACTGGCACTCATAGCGGAGTGCACTGGCAGGAAGTGAAAACACCCCATACACTGGGAGGAAAGCCAATTCATCTTCATAAACATTTAGTCTGACACATCATCGGTCTGCCATGCCCACTGTGTCTGAGACCATAAAACTCATATAAATGTATACTTATATTTAATAATAGCCAAATAGCAATGGGGAAAGACTGATTCAGTTATTCAATTTAAAGGTTGATCATTTACTATAATGGTGGGCAATAAATAACTATTCTTTTCCACACTTCAAGGCCTTTGTGCACATGAACTACAGTGTCTACAATGGGCTTGCATGCATGTAAGAATTATTAAATCCACCTGTAGACGAAAACAGAGAAGACAAAAAATATTGAAAAAACATGAGCCTGAGGTTGATATGTCTGGAATTTAAAACTGGCATACTTCTTTACTCAAGTGCAGTTTTGCATTTTGTCAATATTCTAATTAATTCTAAGTCTAGCGGCATAAAGGTAGAATACAACAATACCTGCTATGTATACAGGCTTATAAATTGAGTGTAAACTATTTATTGTTTTTGTGAAAGCTGCCATCTACAGGACATTCTAGTTAATGCAGAGGGATTTGGGAAAAGTAATAAATTATTAACTGATTCAGAAAATACGTTATGATAATAATGTGTGAAATAATGCATTTAAAATAAAACTTTTATTTACTGACAAATAAATAAGAGTAGAAAGATAACTGGTCAATTTGTAGTTATACAATTTAGAATACAAAACCTCCAAATTTAAAAAGTCAAACCAGCATTTCACTGGAAGTAGCTTTAGATTGATATATCGGTCATGCATTGTCCTCTTCAGGCAGTTTAGTGAGAATATCCACCCCATTAGCCGTAATGACCACGGTGTGTTCAAACTGAGCGGACCTGTGCAGATGAGAACATTGTACTATGCAGCAGTCTTGTACCATATATGAAGTCTATGTTTGATTAGTAATAAAGGACTAATATGTACCTTTTGTCATCTACAGAAACCGCTGTCCATTTGTCTTTAAGAATCCTGAACTCTGATGACCCCTCCATAAGTATGGGCTCTGCAGATAGACAGTCATATCTAGATCATGTCTTCTTTCTGTGTATTTTACCAATTGTTGCATAATATGACTAATACAGTGGCAAAACAATTGAAGAAAAGATTAATGGAATAAAAATAGAAAAACAGGGATCAGTGGTCCATAGGGAGCACTAAAAACATACCTATTGTGAAAGCCATCCCTTCGTCCATAGTCATGTCATTGTCATTTGCTGAAATTAGAAAAAGAAAAAAAATAGTGAAACCATAACAAACATGGAATCTAGTTTGTTCATGCATTCTCTTCCTGTCATTACAGAGGACTCACCGTGGTGCCAGATCTCAGGATGACAATGAAAACTAGAGCCAATTCCATGTCCTATAAAATACGGACACACTTGGAAGCCACTGGCATGTGCTATTTTGCTGCAACCAAACCCACAAAAGTCCAGTTGTCAGAATAAAAAGCTCAAAGTTATTTGCCATGATTATGTGTACCTAATAGTGTTTCCTATAACACAGAGGGGGGCCCCTGGATGGCAGGCGGCAATTGCCTCATCTCTGCAACGTCTGGCAGTTTCAACTAACTTTTGTGCAATCTCATCCACCTCACCAATCAGAAAAGTCTCTGAAGTGTCACCGTGGTAACCGTCTAGATATACCTGTAATGAAAATGTTTTTATAATATAGGAGTGAAATATCTATTTTGCTATGTGCTTAAATGTATAACTTACAGTGACATCAATGTTAATAATGTCCCCATTTTTAAGTTTACGGCTGAAATTTAAAAAGTGAAAGCCATTGGAAATACACACTTGATATTCATAAATAGAAGGAGAGAGGCATGTGTAAACCCAGACCTGTCAGGAATGCCATGACACACCACATTATTGACAGAGGTGCAAACAGATTTTGGAAAGCCTCCGTATTTGAGAGGAGATGGATAGGCATCGTACTTGATTGTCTCCTGATGCACGATGAAGTCTATTTCATCTGTTGTCATACCAACCTGAAGATCAAGTTGCATGTTTCTCATGGGTTCTAGGACCATGATTTGATTTTCAAGATATGCCTACCTGCAGTCCCTGTCCAGCTAGCAGCAGCACATGTCTGGCTAGCTGACAGGCTCTGGCCAGGCCCTCGATCTGCTCCTGGTTCTTTATCTCTATATAGTCCGGCCATTCTGGGACTACTCCAGTGCCCACATAATCAGGGCGCTCTATATGCTACAGAGAAGAAAGAACAATAGACATTAAAAGGCATAGATAATTAATGAATTTACTGTATTTTACAGTGAGAGTTTTTTCAGCTCAAGATCAAGATGTAAATGCAGGTCTTAAATGTAAATTAAATAAAATGTATACTTTTGGTACTGGGTAGGCAGGCCGGACAGTCTCTGGGCGCACTACACTGTGGGACTGACTTTTCCATTTTTTCCAGAAAAAACAACGAGATTGCTGAGACAGAGGGGCTGTTTGTGGACCACAGACTTTAAACCCACACACGCCCCTCAGAAAACCTCCAAGTCCTATAAAAAAAAAAAGAAAAAAAGATTTTTATTAGCACAGTAAATATTGTATGAGAACTGAAAGTGTACAATAATACACACTGTTTATTCAAATGATTAAAGAGCCCATATACTTTCTGGCAGGCTTTTGTTCACAGCATGGTCTCTTGTTGTATTGTGGTGAAAGTTAGCTCGGGACCTGTCACCTAACCTCAGCTGCCAAAACAACGATCTTTAAGTCAAATGTATCGAAAGCTGTCCGCAAAGGAGGCGTAAACTGGGAAGACACACTAAGAAATATGCTTAAATACCCTACAGGTGATGAAAGCTAAGTGATCGATTTACCTCTTGTAAGTCCTGCAGAGCAGTGTGCCGCCATGACAGTAGTACTTCTCACGTGGTTATGAAATCACGTGGTGCACATTCTTGTCGTGGATAATCATTCATACTGTAAAATTACTATAGTTTCGCTTTCTACATATTACTGCTTCTATAGTGCAAGTAGCCTATAAATTTCATGTTGTTATTGTTTGTGTTTGTCATGAAAAAGTATAATTTTCTTTATTAATCATATCTGGGTATAATCTATCATGTAAGATCGGGTTTATGATTTTTGGTTTGTGCAAAGCTGTGCTAGTAATGAGTAATCATGTGTAAGAGAAACGTTATAACATTTTCCACATGGTTGCCCAAAGTTATGTAAGAATACACCAGTAGGGCAGGTAAGAATAAGGTCATAGCTTTATCAGTGACACCGGGGGTTATCTCACAGTGACACTTTCCCAAGGCCACAAAAGATAAACTCGTCTTTTAATAGACTAGACTGTTTCCTAAAACAGAACAAAGATGGTTTAAGGTGAGGGGCTCTCGTAGTAGCTCTCCTGAGAATGTGCGGTGGGCGTGCCTCCAAAGCAAAAGCCCTTGTTACATCAGCGGCAGGCTGCAGCTAATCGAGCGGTAGCCCGAGCAAACAACACATTAGCCGCGTGACCTTAGGAAAAGTACTACACTGGCTGTGGATGCGGAGGAGAGAGCAGGAGGGGCAAATTCCTTAACAGCATCGGCTCGTATAATTGTAACTATCATGTCTGTGGATTAGCTACGGCGGGGGTGTCGTTTTCCGTGTCGTTGTTGAGGAGTAGCGCCGAGGCGGTTCCTATTTTGTTACCGAGGACGCTCTGCCTCACTGTACGTGACGTCAAACCAGCATGGCGGTCAAGGTGACTTCGGCATCTCATTCCTTTCGCATTTTACTCAACATTTCTCCTAATGTTGCATGATTGTTGTCCTCTTCTTTAGCGGGGAGTGTCGAAATTGTATTTTGTCTTGTGGCTCGTGTAGGTTTTTGGTGGATGCGGCGTATTCTGAGTGTGTAGCATCATCAGGTTTAATCCCTGGCCTTGGTTGGAGAAGCAGTGCATCAAAGTTAGCTCATTGCAGCTAACCGGCTGCTAATGTCGTTCTTCTAACCTTATTTGACAGAGTTATTTGAACACTTTCCCTTTTACTCCAACCTCTTTTAGTATACTATTATTCTCTCCTAACATCTGTCGGTAGGTTAGGACGGCAATGCAGTGTATGTCCTCTTGTTACGGTTGTATAGCCTCTAATAAAGAACTTTCATTTTTACATCATAATGTCCCAATGTTAGTATGTGCATGATCTCTTCCGTGATCTTCTCAAGGAGACGTAGCGTAGCTTGGCTTTGGGCTTTATATTCCTATCACTTTAAAATACTGGAAAAAGTGTGTTTTGTCTCTAATATTAAGATGTGTCGTGTTTTGTTTTAGGTGCAATCCACTAAACGAGGGGACCCACACGAGCTGAAGGCAATCTTCGTAAAGGTAAACAGTGCTTGGCTAGTTTGTCATTGATTTGTCAATGGACAAGGTCAGAAAGCAATTGTTGGTGTATTGAGAATGTTCTTAATTGTAAGAGTCTGTAATGTTGTGTCATGGGGTTTAAATTACAACATTAGTTACAGCCATGGGTTGATCACACACAGCTGCTTTTACAATGAAGGAAGATAAAGTCGCAGCAAAAGTTTGGTCCTGTTTTAAAGTCTCTGTTTAGTTATTTATTATATTATATTATTTGTAGTTGTTGGGGGGGAGGGGCTTACATCATTGAATGTACTGTATTTAATGTGTAAATATAGAATCACTTTTATATGTAAATGTACAAAGCGCAGGATTTTATGAGTGTAACATAGAGATCTAAGTGCCAGGACAAAGGACAAGTATAAAACGTTAATGAATCATAATGACCCACAACATGCAGAGTGTCTAACTTGAATTGTGTAGTAGTTAATATAAGGATACACAAAGGTCAAAGGGTTCACAAGTTATGGATATTTAATTCTGTCTTTTCTGCCACGTCATATGCAAACAACAGTTCACATTGTATGTTAAATGATGGCATTGGGGCTGTTGTTGACTAAAAGATGTTATTGGCTGACTGAAGAAATATTATGCCAATTGATTAGTCGACTAAAAAGGGATGTGACAAAAGCCCTCAAAACTCTAACATATCTCTATGTATCTGACCTGAACTACCCTCAAAAGACTGCACCTACAAGGGAGTTCATGCAAAAACAACTATTTCCACATAAAAAGTACTAGGAATCAATGTATTTATATTGACAGATTAAATTTGTGAATCATAAATCTGCCTCTTTACACCAAAATATCAAATCTACTAACTCACCTCTCATTTTATGCAGTCATCCCATATAAATCCTTCTAATCAAATTTAATGATTAATCCACTAATACAAGTTTTGGTTGACTTAAGACACCATTGACCTACAGCCCGAGATGACAATTGGTTGAAGTTTATGAAATAAAAAATGTATTAGAATGCTAATACTTAATTCTATATGTAAAAGTGTTTGTATAAACTTTTATGTTATTAGATTGACTGCTTTCATAGACTAGATGTAATGTTTCACAAAGGTTTAATAGTGTGGAGATATGTTTAAGGTTAAGGTTGCTGTTTTCTTCCCTTAGTATGCCAGTGTGGTGGATAAGGAGGGAGAGAAGTTTATGACCCCTGGAGATTTTGTCCAGAAGTATTTGGGATTACACACTCAGATCCACCACAACCCCAAAACGGTCCAACTTATTGCTGCTGTTGCTGACACTACAAAGGACGGGTATGTTAAAAATTACATTATCAAGCTCTAAGTTTATCATTTGTAATTGTACATTTATTAGCCCATATCAGATTCAAATGGCATAGTAGTTAGAACTACTGTGATTAGATAACACACACTAAATGACTTGAGAATAAAGGGTGACTTTGGTGTGTGTTCTGAAATACACTTACTTCAAGTTTCAGTTTAATATATTTAACTTACTTTATTTTTCACCTCAAACTTTGGTTCTTTTTAATTTAGATGTAAATACACTCTAATTTTGTTTTTGTTTCCCTCTGAACACAATTGTTTCCACAATGGCAGGCTCATCTCATTCCAGGAGTTTCTTGCTTTTGAGTCAGCTTTGTGTGCACCGGATGCCCTTTTCATAGTCGCCTTCCAGCTGTTTGACAAAAATGGCACTGGAAACATATCCTTTGGTAAGTCACTCTCTGTGATTTCTGTTTTCTTTATTTATTATTACTTCGCTGAATGGCAGTGTGGAGGAATTTTGTTTTTAACCCGATTAGTCTATTGGGTAATTCGCTGCACATGCACAGGCTTACACAATTGGTCCTGTGGATTTATTTCCTCTCTCTCATGGTGTATGTTACTCAGTTATTGTGTATGTGATTACATGTGATGAAAGGTCAGGACCTGGACAGAGGAAAGTATCAGTCTTGTTGGTTCAGGGATCACACACACTTTCAGCTGATACTGTGCTTGTTCTGTACAGTGATGTGCAAACCATTAATGATCTCTTTTTTTTTGTTTGTTTATTTTTGTGCAGAAAATGTGCGGGACATTTTCAGTCAGACAACAGTGCACCACCACATTCCGTTTAACTGGGACTGTGAATTTATCCGATTGCACTTTGGCCATGACCGCAAGAAATGTCTAAACTACCTTGAGTTCACGCAATTCCTTCAGGTACACCATGCACTGCACTATTTTCTGTTTAACTTTAACCTTTAACACTACACTCTTCAGTAGATCCTATATTTAAAGTGGTATTCTTTCTTTGCAGGAGTTGCAGTTGGAGCATGCACGGCAAGCGTTTGCCCAAAAGGACAAGGGCAAGAATGGCGCCATCTCTGCAATGGACTTCAGTGACATAATGGCCACTATCCGACACCACATGCTCACACCTTTTGTGGAAGAGAACCTTGTCTCAGTAAGTTATTTTAATATATTCAGGGATGTCTTTATCATTTTCTTTGGAACAATTAAAGACAAATTTGTTTGCATAATGTTATCGCGAGTGTTAGAAATTTCTACAAAAAAACATAGTTTTTGTTAGAAGTGCGTGACATATGGGGTGCTTGTGGTGTAAATACCTAGATTCAGCTGTATCAAACCTTATCCATTTGTTTTTACACCTGGAAACAGTAGATGTGTCTGTTTTACCACATTTGCACTTTTGATTCGTATTAGATGTGTCACATTTTATTTCTTTTTAAAGAATGAATATTTACAAATGCGCTATATATTAGCACATATTGTAATAACCAAATGCAATTAATCCACACTTACAAAGAAATCAATCCATTGAAGTCTGTAAATTATGTGCAATAATGTGAAATGACCCTTGTAAAAATTATTGAACACATGGAAAAAGAGGGGTTCAAACCGGAATGGAAGCTAAAACTATGTGCAGTGGCTACAAGAGGATTTGTAAACAGAATGTTGCAGTGCACACTGTCAAGGCTGTCATCTGATAGTTAGAAAAGGAATATCTTTTCACCGTAGAAATTACCCTGGCAAGACTGAAATACTGGGAGACTATAGTTCAGTCAATGACACCATGACACCATGACACCACGATAAGTGCAGTGTAGTTTGATGGTGACATACTTGTGTATGGCTATTGACAAACATTGAGGAAAGAAATTGTGGGAACCGTGTGGGAAAAGTAGCCAGTGAAAAGTTCATGTCTTGTTAGAATGGGCCAAAAATATAATGGCATGGGCACAGTGTATTAAATGGGGTTTGAAGCAGTAGCATTCATTACAAACTAAGTATATCTGTATTATCTGTAGTATATCTGCCCATTTTTCGCTTTTGTTTTTATAGGATTTTTCCATGAGTCACTTTATATTACTGCACATTATTATTGTCATCTATAGGTTGATATTATTTGCATGTGTGGGGTACTAGGGTTAAATATTCCTCAATAGCAACTTTTTGTGGATTTTCTTTTCATGAAAAAATGGTGACTTGTGCATTACCTATTGCAGCTGATATGAGCTATCTATACTTCACTGTTGGTACTCAACACAGTGCCAACAGTGATTATTTATTATTGCTTATTAAAAACTGCTTGCATTGTGTTAAATGGTTTATGTCACTTTTTTCACAAACTAGGCTGCAGGTGGTGGAACATCCCACGTGGTCAGCTTCTCCTACTTCAATGCTTTCAACTCACTACTGAACAACATGGAGTTAATCAGGAAGATCTACAGCACAATGGCTGGCACAAGGAAGGATACTCTAGTAACAAAAGGTATGCATCTGACATCATAATTGATTAAAGTATCAGTTTGAAAGAACAATAATCCTAAATAATTTTCTTTCTCTTCAGAGGAATTTGTTCATTCTGCCAACAAGTTTGGTCAAATCACTCCAATGGAAATAGACATCCTGTACCAGTTATCAGGCTTGCATTCTCCCTCAGGGTAAACCATAAAAAATGTCTGTATTTAAGATTAATTGTTTTACTTGCAATGTCTATATCTCATTCAAACCTTGGTCTACATGCACTAGGCGTCTAAACCTTGCTGACATTGAAAGGATAGCGCCACTAGAAGAAGGAAGTCTGCCCTACAACCTCGTCGAATCGCAAAAATCGGTGCATGGCAGAATCTGTGGCTTGTGTTCATAATTTAGCAATGTGTAGTTTATTTGCTTGTTCTTTTGTTGCCAGGCAGGAGATGGTTCAAGGCCTATATGGCTCCAAGCTGCCGAGTCAGCCTACAGGTTTTTTCTTGGCTCTATTGCCGGAGGTAAATTACTCAACAGTCAATAACAAGTTGCATCTTGCCTTTTTCCTAGATTAATGCAAATTTTTTTTGTAGCTACGGGAGCAACAGCTGTATACCCTATTGATCTGGTAAAGACTCGTATGCAGAATCAGAGGTCAACAGGGTCATTTGTTGGAGAGCTGATGTACAAAAACAGCTTTGACTGTGCAAAGAAGGTGCTGCGTTATGAAGGATTCTTTGGCTTCTACAGAGGTAATATCTATAATCTTTGGGTCTGTGTTTCCTTTACACTCTTATAATTAATTATTTCCACAGGTCTCGTTCCACAGCTTATAGGTGTGGCTCCAGAGAAAGCCATTAAACTCACTGTGAGTAATTTTTTTTCAATACATTTAAACGATCCAACATGCATTATCATCAGTCATTCATGTTGGATATTATGCTAGTTGCTAGCATTGCATGTTCGAAAACAGTCTTATGTGAAACACATAAAAGCCCCACATTTTGGAATGAAAAATACATAGATAAAAAATGGGCATGTCTTTGTCTTTCAGGTAAATGATTTTGTGAGAGACAAATTCACAGAGAAGGATGACTCTATCCCTTTATTTGCTGAGATTCTGGCTGGGGGATGTGTAAGTAGCATTGCACACAACACACATCTTAGATGATGGTTTATGCAAACCATGTGAACTTTTCCTTCTGTTGTCTGTATCAGGCTGGTGGCTCTCAGGTTATCTTCACCAATCCTCTTGAGATTGTGAAGATTCGCCTGCAGGTTGCAGGAGAGATCACCACTGGTCCTCGGGTCAGTGCACTGAGCGTGGTTCGAGACCTGGGCTTCTTTGGGCTGTACAAGGTTTGAGAATAATGCTCTTTCCTTTGGACTTGCGGTTTTAATAATTTTCTAACATTTTGTTCTTTGATGTTTTTACAGGGGGCTAAAGCATGTTTTCTGAGAGATATTCCCTTTTCAGCCATCTATTTCCCTGTGTATGCACACACCAAGACCTACATGGCAGATGAGCAGGGCAGACTAGGCCCACTGCAGCTGTTAACATCCGGAGCTATTGCAGGTAAGGACATCGACAGCATGTCAAGTCCAGTCTCTCAGTACTTTTCACCATTAGAGTCACAACATCCACTGTGGTTTTCATGTAGTCACTACTGTTTTCCAGGTATCCCTGCTGCCTCTTTGGTAACTCCTGCTGATGTAATCAAGACTCGCCTGCAGGTGGCAGCACGGGCTGGGCAGACTACCTACAATGGCGTAGTGGATTGCTTCTGGAAGATCCTGAAAGAGGAGGGATTCAGGGCTTTGTGGAAGGGAGCAGGAGGTGAGCTTGTGTGCAATGTGAATCCAAATGAACATGTACCATTTTAACATCCACTTTTGTCTGTCCAGCTCGTATGTGTCGATCCTCACCACAGTTTGGTGTGACTCTGGTGACTTATGAGCTCCTGCAGAGGTGGTTCTACATTGACTTTGGCGGACAGTAAGTACAAAAATTCACATGTCTTTTTTTTGTTGAAGTTGATTAAACATTTTCTGATGACTCCTTCTCTCTGAAGTCGCCCAGCAGGATCTGAGCCTACTCCCAAATCTCGGATTTCAGAGCTCCCCCCCATTAACGCCGATCACGTTGGAGGGTACCGGCTGGCTGCAGCTACATTTGCTGGAGTGGAGAACAAATTTGGACTCCATCTCCCCAAATTTAAGTCCTCTGGTGTAGTTTCTCTACATTCCTCAGAGCCATCCGTTGCTGCTTCGGCTCAGGGACCATAGCTAGTTTAATATCATAGCCTTGTCATTTCCTATTCCGATACCAAGAGAAGACGTAACACAAAGAATACGCACAATAAAAAAGCACTCCACAATTGAGGATTTCAAACAACCACCAGAGTCCCTCATCTGGGGGTTCTCTGGCCCTGTGGTTCGAGCCACGGAGGACAGTGGCTCACAGCTGTGGGTTTTTCTACGAAAACTAAAGCCTCAAGCACCCTCTCAGAGTAGCTATGATTTTTATTTTTTTGGGCAGATACTCGTGTGTGTAGGGCTTCCTTCATTGGACAAATATATAAAGTGTATGCTATTTTAGATCATGATGAGTGGAGCCTCACTCTTGTAAGACCGGCTGTTCATACTGTATACCACTGATGCAGCTAAAGAGAGTTACAAAGTGCTCTCCAACTGTAACAGCAGCAGAAATGTGGGGCCTTTGGTCCTGAACTCCAGGAATCACTCTTACTGATGTACAGAACATTAAAGTGTTTTCTTGATTAAAGATCAAAAGGAAAATTAGCTAATAATAAATTAAATGTATTTCAATTATGTCATTGTATTTTATTGATTAAAATCATGGGTTTAATTTTACAAATGCCTCGAGTTTGCTTAAGTGCCACAATGACATTGTTAGAAAATGAATACAGTACAGATGGACAATACAAAGTATTTTCAGTTTATATTTTTGTTTCAATATCACAATGCTGTGTGGAAGGAATAAAGCTGAAATGACTTTACAGTAAGTTCGGTTACAATTCTGATGTATTTGGAAATGGCTGCCCAAAACAGGTTTGGTTGTAGAGTAAAATAACTTACTCCTGTACTAATTACCAGCTACTAATTGAGAAAAGTAATTAAGTATTTATTTGACCCGAAACTGACATCAGATTTCACAAGAAATCAGAATATGTACTCTCAAGATGTTGAAACAAATTGCAAATCAGTTCATATAAATATATATTTAAAAACAAATAATACTACACAAAACTTACTTTAATTTTAGGAATCTACCATCTAAATGTTATGGAATAAACAAAAAAACATACATAAATAAATAAGTTATTAAAATGTATGAAATTATACACATATTACTGTTTAGTTCAGAGTAGTGATATACTATTTCAGTGGTAGTTAACACTGAGGAAATGGTTAAACAAAAGCAAAACCTGCAATAATGAAATAAAAGGTGCCAAGTACAAAGGTTTGCACAAGTTAAAAAAAGAAGATTGATTCATTCTTTAGCAGAGGAGTGGTATGTAAGGTCCTGAGGGTCTTGTAGCATTCGTACATTAGATGGCATCACTTTCAAATATTTTACTTACCAATACTAATCTTTACAAGGTCAACAATAAAAACAGTTACAGTTTTAAGCATAATCCCTAGACACACATTCAAATCCTTTCTAATTCATATCACTGCACTTCTCAGGCCAGTTCAAAGTGAAGATAAAAGCAGAGTAGGGTCCTCAGTCAGTGTGCAGTGTGCTTAGTGTTTAGTGTACTATACAGAGCTATTGTAGGTTTATAGCATTAGGCATTGGCCAGCTCCTCTGCTTCATCTCGATTCTCGTTGATTTCTGCCAGTGTTCTGACAAACCGTGTCCACTCATCAGCTTTAGGCACACAAATTTGCTGCAAGAATAAAATTCAATGTCAGTCTTTAATCAAACGTTTGATAAATCAAACCTCTTGCTTACCTCTCCAACATCATAAACCTGCACCCTCCCTTCAGAATCTCCTGTGGCTATTTCTTTGCCTGAGTGAGCCCATCTGACACGATTGAGAGCGGGAGCCCCCTCTACAGACACACTTGCAGTAGGGACCTAAAAAGAAATCATCAACAATGCATTTACAGAATTGCCTTAAGCGAATTAAGCAAATCAAAAAAGAGCATATAAAGTATTTGAGCATACTTCAGTATCATTGTTCAAGTTCCAAAGATCCAAGCGTCCGGACAAGTCCACACAAGCGAACAGCGCAGGGTGAGTAGGTGACCACATGGCATCGTACACATAATCACAGCTGTCCTCGAATGAGTACAGTGGACGAGTGCTCTACAATGAAACAAGTGAAAAATTTATACTGGTGTTTGATAAAAAAAGGGTTGAATGAGGCTCTGTAAGGCACCTTTGTACTCCACAGTTTCACAGTCCAGTCGAATGACGAGGATATGAAGAGATGGGAGAAATCCACCGGCCCCGCAGCACTGTGACAGCTCAGGCCCGTCACGGGACCATGGTGGCCCTCAAACACCTCAGTAATGCCCGCCTTACTGTAGATCAAAATCATGATGAAAACATTTGAGACTGTTTAAATAGGGATGTAACAAAAGTGTTGTCTTTGATTAAATTAATAGTTATGATGCAGAAATAAACAAATAACTACAGAGACCATGATCCTTTGCTCCATCTCAGTGCTGCCAACATGAAGAAATAACTTATAAGCACTTTAAAATCTTAATTCTTTGGATTATGACAGAACAGAAAAAGTAGCATATTCACAATTTTGTTAGCCTTCACAAAAAAATCTCAATAAATATCGTATTGTGAGCTGAATATCAAGAAAATGTTGTACCGAGAGATTTGGAAATCGTTACTATCGTTACTATAATGTGTCATATTATGTAAAAATGTTATGAGCTTTTAACAATGTCAAAAACAATTTACTCAGAATTTCAATCAATTCATGCATGTTAAAGTAATCCTGCATTGTCTTGCATTTCAGACATGAGTGTGCAGAAATGTTTGGCTTTCACCTTGCTTCCTATATCCACCCACCGCTCTGCACTCATTCAGACTCCAGCTCATACACGTAGAGTTAAAAAATGTCATGTAGTCTTTTTTCAATAATAATAATGTAAAATCTGGTGCTTGCTAAGCTTGCAATCATTTCTGCAGCTAACAGGAAATCTAAGGAAAACATAGATCTTTAAATGAATGAAAAGAGCGGTTATCTGACCTTCCATGGCGACAGGCCGTGTAGACAGAGCCATCTTCACTTCCCACCACAAAATTGTTGACGTCTCCCAGCGGAAAAGCCATGGAGGTGACGGCCACTGCTTTGCTCTGTTTGAACACCAGCTCCAAACTGTCCTGTATATTATAATACAACAACCACAACACAATCATTAAACTGCTTTCCAACCATGCGAGTAGACTGGGATCAGGCAACCGCACCTGTGGCTGGGAGAGCATGTCCAGGCTCCAGGAGCACATCTTGCCATCAGTGGAAATACTGATCAGATTGTTTGCATTTTGCGTGCCCACCACATTCACGCAGTACACTGGGTGCTGCGCAAGAGACCACATTAAGTGTTGAAATGTTGAAATAAATGATAGTAGTAATGTAGTAATAAATGATAGAGCAAATTAAGTTAGAGGAGAGTGAGCGCTTACAGTGTGCTGCTGCAGACAGGGGAGTTCTCTGCACTGGTGTACGCTTGTTGCTTCGATTGTCCCATAGAACTATCTGTCCTGAATATGTCCCACCCACTACCAGATTGGGATGAAATTTTGCAAAACCCGCTGACATAACTTCAGACTTTAAGCAAAAAACATAAACATAAATTACAGAATGAAACTTTTGGCAGAATGTAAAACTGGTACACCACTCACCTGGCAATGGAAGATGTACTCCGGTGTCCCCTTTTTGTACTTCATATTCCAGACCAGAGCCACTCCATCAGGCTCATGGGGGGCATCTTCGTTGTTGTTATACGAGGCCACCAGCAGCTCGGGATACTGAACAAAACATACTGTGATTGTAGATAACTAAGGTTTAAGAAAAATACTGTGACAGTGTGGCCAGCTTTACCTGTGGGGACCAGTCCAGACAGGTGACCACTCTGTTTTTAGTCCAGCGCTCATCTGCAAACTCTCTGGTCACAACTAGCTTTGCCCCGGCTTGCAGCTCCCTGTAAACATACCAATTAAGGTTGTCTGTCTCTTTACTTTAACCACCTATAAAGTAGTTTTCTCACCCCTCCTTATCATCCAAGTCCCTCCCACTGTAGTCAAAGCAGACATCAACTTGTTCAGCTAAAGCTCTCTCAACAATTCTGCTGCCGCGCTCAAAAAACGACACAAACTCCTCTGAGTGCAAGACCTGCAGCTTCTCCTCCTCTGTCAGCTCTTTGGGCGTATCTGCACACAAAACATTAGAGAAAGCAGTAGTAGAAAATAAAAACTAAAAACATCAGTGTAAGACTATGTAACTTCTCTAAGTGTCACCTGTATGAATAATTGGAGATGTTATTGCTTTGCCTGGAATCTATCAGCATCTATCTTGCATATATTCAGTTACAGTTGTTTTTATTGCTCATAAACATTACTTCCCCACAGATTTGACATTGTTTTAGTGTGGAGCATTCCAGACAAAGCAATAATTTCTATGGAAATATGCAGGTTGTACATCTTTAATTTATCACAACCTAACATAAAGTACTTTTTTGTTCTTTTTTTTTTTAATCTTGTTATATTTTACCTTCTTCTTGGTGATCTCCCTGGTCACCTTTCTCCTCTTGAGTATCCTCTGATGGAGGAGGAGCCGTTATCTCCTCTTCATCATCATCTTCTGCAATATACAAATTTTAAAAAAAAGTTATTTATTTGCCTTTATTAATTATAGTGTTTTCAGTTATAACTGATTTTACCTGCTTTTTGATCAGTATGTGCTTCGGTTGGGGTCTGAGTCTCTTTAGAGTAGGACACCAGTTCTTTAGGAGCAAAGTCCACTTGGGTCACTTTAGACATACCCAGCCTCACCGCTCCACGTCTAAACAGTAAATACTAATTAGGCATGGAAACAGTGCTATTTCATAAAGAATTACTGTAGACAAAAATGCACAGATAAAATGCAGGTACAAAACACCTAACGACACTTAGACAATATAAAGGTGAAATCACATAAACTGAATAAAGCTGGAAGACACATCAAAGGGAGAGAGAAGGAGCAGTACCCAATCAGCTCAGAATCGGAGTGCAGCTGCAGAGTGGAGGGGTCAGGATCCCAGTGTAAAGTCCTTATACAGCCAAGCCACCAGGTGATATTAGTAAGATATTGTCAACAGGAACAGAACAAGCAAAAGGTGAGCAAGAAATGGGAATGGATGGAAGTGTTGAACAAAAGACAATATGCAAAAAAAAAAAGATAAAGAGGACAGAGAGAAAGAAAGAACGGAGTGTCTGTTAATTAACATCGACGAACCAGGTCAGATCTTTTTACTCATATAACTTTTATTAGTTATTACACATGTTATAAACACATTGCATGCAAGTAACTACAAGACCCATGACTGACCTTGGTCCTGCGTTGCCATCCCCAGAGTCTTGGCTTCCTGCGTCGCTGCCCACTGATTTGTTGGAGGGAGACATGGGGGCGGGGACTAGGTAGTGAAACAGACATGTATCCTCTGTTACTACCCGAAGGGGCTGAGCTGTCAGTGGTGTGTTTTGATGAAAAGGAGAAGGGGAGACATTTATGTGTGTGTGTTGGAGTGTGTGTGAGTGAGTGAGTGAGCATGCAGTAAGTGGGACAGGACACACAAGGGGAGACAAAGGGGGAGAGAAAAGAGAATGAAAATAAATGGCAGGCAGGTTTAGGAGTCATGCAATCAAACTGTTAAAATGTAAACAGACAAGGGAATAAACACTGCAAAATAGTTAAGGGAAAACACCGCAAATCAATGAAGCAAACATCAAGGAATGATGGGAGTGAACAAGTGAGTTAACACCATGCAAAGCGGTGTGTTTTGTAGTTTTACCATGTGGTATGTCAGGAGTGATGCCAACACTCTGCAACAAAGCCTCTGCCTCTCTCCTTTTCCTTTCAAGGTCTGAGTCTTCATGACCGGACGCCTCACCCCCACGTTTTGAATCCACCTGTGTAATATAGAAAAAATAAGAATAATTACACAATTATAATTACAGATCCATAGTTTAATGTTGATTAAAACATACATCCTTCTTTTTCTTCTCCTCTTCTTTTCTCTTCTTCTCCTCCCGAATCTGTGCGATCCGTTGTTTCTTTCTCTCAAGTTCAGCCTTCAACTCACTCTTGTCAGACATTCTGTTAAATAGAGAGAATAGAGCCTAAAGTTAGAGTTTACACTTTCCATAGTTGGTACTCTGATACAATTTGTGAAGTAGGCGAGCTAATTGCTCTGAGCGAATCACACTGTAGACATGTGAACGCCAACCAGCTGTCTATAACAATGTCTCCATTATATTTATGTAATAAGACACTGAAACGACTTTGTTGTGAGGATATTAATACAGTTTGACTACATTTACATTAATGCTGCACACATTTGCATTTTATTAGATGTCTTACGGGACTGAAGTTGGGTCCAGTCAATTTAAGAGGAGGTTCCTCTGTAATAAGGTCCCTACACAATTCTTACTACAGTGACACTGAACCGAAGCGTACTGCTGTGTGTCAGCATCCAGAGCTCTTACAACATTAGCTAACAATTAATTTCACACTTCGCATGGCTTCATTTTAATTATTACAATCACTACTACAACTACTACATACATTTCTAACAAAAATTTGATAGTTTAGTGAGCTCCAAATATCAGTTTATTGTGTCAGTGTGGACAGTTAGCTGCTTAGCGGCTAATCTCCATGGCAGCGCCCAGGCCCATCGTCCCGGTACAATGAAGGCTAAAGCATCGTCACCATATAACGCCTTTTTTTCTCGCAGCATTCGGGTTTTAGTCGCGTTTAAAACCTACATGGTCATAAAACAAATACCTGGCGTTAGACGTCAATACAAGAGGAAATGTCTGGTGTTAATCCAGTTTGTAGTGTGCAGAGGAGTGATGTGATGGAAACTGATGATGCTGGAAGAGACAAGCCCTCTTCCTCTGCGTTTGGACGGTCACCATTAATGTAGTTTTTGCGCCACCTACAGTTTTCTTTAAGTCACCAACAGTGGTCTTGGTGGCTTGAAACATCCATATTACCCTACTTTAAAGCTTTTTTTTTGCTAGCCTGTTGCCAACCTCTTGAAATTTCAAACAACTAAAAAAAAGAGAAAAAGCTTAGTGTTAGATCTGTTATAAATATTTTAAATTATACACCTTAGAGTCCATCCTATAGAGACTTAAAAGAGACACACAGACAGATTGATTATAGTATTTAATATAAATGTATTTTTGGTTGTGGCAGTGACTGTGTATCTATACTGACACACTGAATGAGCATATGCAAACAGTTTATGGTTTGGTGTTGGTTTTTACAGTTGCTGAAATTACTCCTCTGGCTCAGCTGCTGGCATGGAATAGGCAAAGGGATCATAAAGATCACGTTTGAAATCATATGGGTCAAAGGACGAATAGAGAGTTTTCTCTGTGGCTGGTGCTGGGGGTGCACTCTCTTCTGCTTTTACCTCCTCCTTTTTGACCCCCTCAGTAGGTAACACTGGAGCTGCTGGAGCCTCAGGTGCCTCTACTACAGCCCGTGGAGGGTGGTCAATGAGGCAGTCAGGGTCCCAGTATGGATCACAGTCGTACTCCATACCTTTGATGCTGACGGCAGGAGGCGGGGGCGGAGGAGGAGGGGCAGTCTTTTTGGGAGCAGGAGGAGCAGCAGGTTTCTGGACTGGAGCTGCAGCTTTGATCTCCTTCTCTGTCCTGGGACGACAGTCGGGGTTAGAGCGGGGGTCACAGAGCACAGGGACAGCGCCTGTCGGCAGGTACACTATCTGAGGTTTACAGAGAGGGTCTTTGGGATTGCAAAGGTAGATCCTTTGCGCACTGGCCAGAGGGTCCGGTGTGGGAGCTGGAGTGGTGGGAGGTGGAGGAGGCTGGGTGGTGGTGGTGGTGGGGGCTTCAGTGCTGGTGAGCACACCCATGGCATTCTGGTAACTGGACGCATCTGGACCATAAACGTTCTCCAAGTAACGCATTTGTTGGTACAGGATCCTGATTTTGTCTATCTCATAGATCTGCAGAAGAATTCACACAAGCACAGAGTAAGTGCCAATGAAATAAGGATATATATACTTTTAAGTGTTATTAAAGTCTCACCCCCTCATGATGCCCAATGCTGCTGTAGAAACGGTAGTAGGACTGAAAGTTTGGATCGGCACGATACCACCTAGGGTCAACATTTCTCTTGGGTCGTGAATTTGTTAAGAAATCATGTGCTTGAGCAGAGCCAATACTAAATGGAGTATCTAAATAATTAAATAAACACAATACATTATTACAGGAAAAACAAAAATAAAACAAACATGTACATAGAAAATATTGCAAAAAATAGTAGAAGTAAATACCTGCTGATTTTTTCATTTTCATCAGAGGTGATGCACTTAACAAAGCTGCAAAAAAGATGCAAGCATAGATTACAGAATACAAGTCCTTATAAAATCTTTACAGTAACACATGAGTTAATCAAGAAAACAAACCTGGGATTACAAGTAGACAGCTTAATGCTCTCATCAAAAACTCCTGGGATCTCATCTTGACCATTTGCATTAAATATAACGTCACTATAAAGTAAACATTACCATAATTTATCATAACCAGAACAAAAAGGGAAACACTGCAATGCTACTTAAAATATACAAAGTTAAATTACAGCATTAGAGGTCAAATATAGTAAAATGATCATCTCACCCTGTGCACCACCTTTCTTGGTCTAAAGAGTGGTAGTGCACACAACAGTTCATAAATAGTGCAGTTATCACATGGTCCTTCCCATTGGTCACTGAACTGAAAGCATAGCTGACTCCTCCCTCTGCCATTCTCTGGACTGACGTGGATGAGCTCATTAGACCCGTGAACATGGGAGTGCAGTAAAGGGGCACTTCAAACAAATATCACTCCTTGTAAAGCAGCGGGAAACACCTCTGTGACAGCAGGCCACTATTTTGGGTGTGCAGCCAGTCCAGTTAAGTACTTTGTTGATTATATTAATATATAATCCAAAAAATACACCCCTGTATCCTTTACAGTAATATTGTGCTCTCCAAATGAAAACACTAAAGTAGCATCAGTGATATTGGTACTGGTACAGTAGACATACTTGACTAAACATGTCTGGAAGTTAAAAATTAGCCCTCTGTCCCAAAACAGCTGGAAATGTCCTTTAACTAACTCCTGGATGCACAAAAAATTGAGGGGAAGACTCCTCTGTTATCTGCTGTTAGAAACTCCCTGAAATATGCAGGAATTATGGACCAGCTTGTTCAAACAATGTTAGTCATGTCAAGGTGACAAAGCCTGGGAAATTGGATTTGAACTGAAAAATGTATGACAAACATTAAACTTTTTGTCTAATACAACCACTATAACCTATGTTATAGAAAATAAGGAGAAAATAACAAATGATCCCTATATAAAATACTAACAAAATATACTAACTTTTTTGATGACTGGGCCCCATTTAGTATGTCAGCAAGTAAGTGTTCGATCAAAGACTATGCGCAGGAGACAAGGAGTCTGCAGGCTGCAGCCAGGTGGCTAATGATCAGCATCATGTGTAACTGCTCTTTCAACATGACAAAATACAAGGTTAAGGGTATATATTTTACTACCAAAAGGCTCAGAGAACAAAATCCCCATAGTCACTGCATATTTGTGTGAAATAGGCCCAAATGATTTAAAACTATTTAAACTGTCATTTGGATGAAATCACACCCAGACCCAGCATATCAATGTAAGAGAAATACAAAAGTGCTCTTAATTCACATACATGTTCTCTGTGAAATTACATAATGTCCTAAAAGACTTTGTGGTGAAATTTTCTTGGAGACTGATCCTATTAACCTTAAAATGGTGGCACATGCAAAATATTTGGCCTTTATCAGATCTAAACCAAATCTATAACAAACTATTCTAGGTCTTAACTATAGGCTCCATCAACAGTGAAAAGTTTGAAGTAAAGTTTAATGATTTTTTTCATTTTCGCAATCTGAGTAAAACCATTGAATTTTCTCATGGGTTTTCCTCATTGGCTACAGAATTTATTTTGGGCTTAATTTAAAGCTAATAAACAGAGGAAGTTCTGTAATCTATTTAGGTAATTTAACTGGTATTCTTTGTACCAAGTGTGTATGTGAGACATAGTTGTGCATGCACAGCACTGCTTACTCGCCCACAAAATCCAGTTTGAAGCTTGATTCCTGGGAGTAGGGACCAAACGCGGCGGTGTGGAAAGACCCCGAGCCTGTAACGGCGTACGTGTTTAGTATACAGTCAGCCAGATTTCACTCAAAGAAGAAGAGTGTTTTGTAGTCCTGCGCACGCGCTGTAGTGTCTGTGCTGCGCTCTTGACCTGTCAGTGTTGTACTACAAGCTGTCATGTTGATAATTTCTTAGTTATTCATTTAGTTTGAACATCCGTAAACAGCCACATTGAAGAGACATGTCAACATATTTGAGGACAACTTATTGTTATTACGGGTGCTAAGCTAACTAGGTGGAGTTAGCCAACAAAAAAATCCAACTTGACAACTGTCAGCTAGTTAGCTATTAGCTCATCGCTAGCAGCTTTAGCCACCTCTTGGTGCTGGCAGTAGGCTACAGGGTTTGGAAGCCGCCCACTTTCGGCAAAGCAGCATTCCGGGGAAGGTGAACGGTAAGGAAGAATCCAAACCTGTGATTTGATGTGATTTATTACTTTTTCTAAGACAAATTAAGAAAGACAAGTTATGTGACGTTTTAGCACTTTTGCTTATTATAGACGGCATAGCGCGCGGTATAGTGTTGACACTACCCCAACTCTCCAGTCAGCTGTTTTAGTCACAGATTTAATGCAGTCCAAGTAGATCACGTACGAATTACGTGTGTGCCCATTAATACACCTCTAACGACATTCTGTATGTGTAACTCATTTAAGCGCATTTCAAGCTTTGCTGTGCTTATCTAAGTTGCGTGTATTGCACCCACCGTAGCATGTTTGGTAGAAGGAAGTTGGGAACATTTTGTTATGTCTGAAGTATGACGTTGGTCTGCCCAGGGCATATCTTAAAGCACATTTGCATAAGATGTTCCTCTTTTGTTTATATACTTATCTACATACTACTAAACAAACGTGACAGACATGAATATTGTTTCAGATACAATTCTTTTATTAGTATCTTAGTATGGCAGACATTTTAATTTATGATGACTTTCTGCTGATGTAAATCTCGTCTGTCATTGAGTCCCTGCTGGGCTTCAGAGCACAGCTGTTACAGGGCACAGAGGGAGGAGGGGCGGCACAAGGAGCCACTGTGGATCAGGTAGCTGTCACCAGTAGGACGGCACAATGCACAACTTGGCATTGTACCATTGTACCAATATACTGTTTTATACAGACAGACACTACTCCAAGGGCCTGCCAGTAACAATTACAACTTAAATGGCTCATGTTTACATTATCATACCATGTTTGGAGAGTGCAGACCTGAGGTAATTTTTCTTTGGTTATATATGGAATGCCTGGAATTGGGGAGTGACTCAACCTGCAATACAGGATGCTCAGCAAAGAAATAATGCATGTTTATAGCGGGACCATTGTTAAACTTCTGAATAATTCTGTCTGTGGTGCGTTTTTTATCCAGATGGAGGCTGAAAGCTCTAGTGGACTGTTACTGTCCAGAAAAAGAAGAAGAGAAGGATCCAATGGAGAGGCTGAAGAGAGTGAAAAGCTCGGGAAAATCCCCAGATTTACTGTGGTGAGTGAGCTGTATAGACTAGATGCTCAATAAGTATGTTTAGTGATGACACGATAACTTTAGTTAAATTTGAGAAAAAATCAAATATATTTACTAGTCTAACTGTGCCTAGATAAAACTAAACCAAAGACTGAAAGACTGAACTAAAAGACTAACCCAAGACCAAAACACAACTGAGTTAGTTAAGGTTGTAGGAGAAGGAGAAGTGTTAATTTGTTTCATTTTCAATAATTTTGTAATGCTCCGGGCAGTTGGAGGATTTTATGCAACACATTTTAAACTTGAATTTACACCTCAGTTTATATATTGTATAATAGTTATATTTTTGGAGATTATAAACACAAAAAATAGTGTTCAAAATACAAATTCATTTATTATGAATACTATTTTTTTCTTAGGGTTTAAAGCACCCTGCGCCTTTTGCCGACGAGCTTGAACCAGCTGACAAAAAACCATATGCCAGAGTCACTATGGAGGAGGCCAAGAGAGGGACGCCTCGTGAGTCACCTCCAAGTGTTCAGAACACTATTGAAGCCTCTTAAATCAATGTATTTATTTACATTTCTTCTGTTTGTGCAGCTGAAAGACCAGTGCGGGTCTATGCAGATGGTATCTTCGATGTATTTCATTCAGGTCATGCCAGAGCACTTATGCAAGCCAAATGCCTTTTCCCAAACACACATCTTATTGTTGGAGGTATGTGTTAATTCAGTATGTGTTAAAATTCATGTGGCGAAAAGTGACTTTTTTCTGTTTGAAGTTTGCAGTGATGACCTCACGCACAAATACAAGGGCTTTACTGTAATGAATGAGGACGAGCGCTATGACGCCATCAGACACTGCCGCTATGTAGATGAGGTGGTCAGGAACGCTCCATGGACACTCACACCAGAGTTTCTTGCAAAACACAGAGTAAGTGGACAAGGATCTCAACAATAAATCTTGAAAACATTTTTAGAAAAAATAAAGTAAAGTTACTGTAATGTCTTTTCAGATTGACTTTGTGGCCCATGATGATATTCCATACTCTTCAGCTGGTAGTGATGATGTCTATAAGCATATCAAAGAGGCTGGTGAGTTATGGCTGCAACATTAATCACAATGACGTCACAATGGCAGTTTAAATAGTTGCAAATTTAAAAGACTTCAGCTAGTCACCTTTCATCTATTTTATTATGACGTTAAACTGTTAACACTGTCTAAAATAATGTTTGTATTAGTTTAGTAGTTGTTGTTACCTCATCAAAACCATACAAAGAGTTGTTTGTTTAATTCACACAGATGTTTGAGTAGTCCTGTATTAGTAGTCTCTCTACATCTCCAAAGCTCAAAATGCTCTATTTCACCTTGTGATGTCATGTAGTGGTAGTTTTCAAGTTAACAGCTAACTTTTATCATTAGTTCAACAGAGATTGGCCATTCCAGGGCTGAAATTCTCTATCCAGATGATTCTAGTAAAGGTGTATGGTGTTTAAATGCACAGTGTAGGGCTTCCTGTATTATTACATGACATCACAAGGTGGAACAGGATATTTTCTGTGTGAGAGAAGGGTTTGTGTGTTAAAATGTGTAAACTGAAACAAAGCACAACTCCAGGTATGTTTGTGATATAGTAACAACATAACATATCAGAAATAGTGTAATATGGGCCCTTTAATGCTCCTTAACAAATACTGATTTCAAAACATAAATCTCAAATGTTATTCAAAAAATCCTAAATCATTCAAACTTAGAATGCACCTTGAATTGCACCTGTAGTCATAATGTTTACATGTTTGTTATCCCAGGTATGTTTGCTCCTACTCAGCGCACTGAAGGAATCTCGACATCAGACATCATCACTCGCATTGTACGAGATTATGATGTGTACGTGAGAAGGAATCTACAGAGGGGTTACACTGCAAAAGAACTTAACGTTAGCTTTATCAATGTGGGTAAACCTAGGACTATGATTAAACAATGCTAAATGATATGTTGAACTAATTGTTCAAATGTTGGTGTCGTTGGTGTGTAGGAGAAAAAGTACCACCTGCAGGAACGTGTGGACAAGGTGAAGCGGAAAGTGCGTGATGTGGAAGAGAAGAGCAAAGAGTTTGTGCAGAAGGTGGAGGAGAAGAGCATCGACCTCATCCAGAAGTGGGAGGAAAAGTCCAGGGAGTTCATTGGCAACTTCCTGCAAATGTTTGGCCCAGAAGGAGCCCTGGTGAGATATGTTTGCTTTTCATTTAAAAGTCTTGTATAAAAATATTTTTTTTTGTGATTTAAGATATATTAGAACATTGTTACCACATCAAAAACATAGCAAGAGTGGTGTTTTTGTTTCATTCGCATGTTTAAGTAACACTGCATTATTAGGCTGTCTGCATCGACAAACTTCAAAATGCTCTGTTCCACCTTATGATGTCATGAAGTTAGCAGTTAGTTTTACATTTTTTTTGTAGAGATTGGCAACAGTAGGGTGTTTCTAGTGAAGTGAAGTTGGAGTTTAAAAACAATGGAGCACTTGCTGTATTACCATATGACATCACAAGGTGGAACAGTGTTTTCTGTTTAAGAAAAGTACTCTAAATATGCATTTTGTGTGTTGAACAATAAACATGTATGAAAGAAACAAAATTTCAGGGATGATTTTGGTAAAGAAACAACATTATAACATAGATCACGGAATAGTGTAACATGGGCCCTTTACAATAAACATATAGATAAACTACTAATGTATTTGCACTGACCTTTACATAGCATACCACCATTAAAACAACCCTTCATGTTAAGTAATAGAAAATGCTGCATCTTTTTTCTGAGAATCTGTTTGTGCGTTCTCTTGTAGAAACACATGTTAAAGGAGGGCAAAGGGCGAATGCTCCAGGCCATTAGTCCCAGACACAGCCCCAGCAGCAGCCCGACCCGAGAGGAGCGCTCCCCCTCTCCCACTTTCCGTCTGCCTTTCTTCAGTAAGACTTCCCCTCCCCCCTCTCCCCCACCCCAACACAGTGGGGCCCGTGGGTACCTCATCAGCGAAGATGACGATGAGGATGACGATGATGATGATGAAAACTAGGGTGATGTGTGAAGCCCACTCTATCACAGTTCATCAAGGCAGTTTTAGTTTACTGTCAGAGGCGTTCATCAAGGTCCTGCTCACATATTTTCATATTCTTCTGTTTAGTTTGAATATTACAATGACTGTTAGTTGTAGGCAACCACTTTCACCTCCAGTTTTTGAAAGGATTAGGAATTAAGTTTTGAAAGTTCTTTTTTGATCAAGTCTCTTTTTAATGTTTCTGTCACTGTCAGTATTGTTATGGTCAGCACTGTATCACACTCTTTGTTGTTATGTTTTTCTTTCATTAGCAGGTCTTGAGTACTCAGTTTCAAAGTGCACATTTGGTGAGGTAGGAGAGTATCCCTTATGTTTTATGAGGTTTTAGGCTGTTCATGTCTTGGGCCAGGTGCATTCACCAAGCATTTAATCAACCTTATCTTTGTTCACAACTGAAATTCAGTTGACTTTTAATAGCAGAAAACTACAGCTACTACGACTAGACTACAGTATTCAGAGTTGAATCTGAGAGTTAAGTGTTACATGTCTGCTTCCTATGTGTATGTAAATTTTGTGTAAAACCTTGTTGGCATGTTTTAAATGTCTGTCTGTCAATCTTGATTTATTGACAGAACAACTTTTTGCAAATGTAGTAACTTGAGCATATTTGTTCCTGCTGAAGAAATGAGACATTTTGAAAGGCTAGAGGCGTTTCAGTGGTATCTCATAACTGTGACCCATGTAAATGCAGAAATATTTTTGTAGAGTTAATCTTTTCTCAGCATTTACTGTATGATTACGATCATCAGCACTAAACACATTATTTTTGTGATGTATGATCAGGCTGTTACTGTCTGTAAAATGGTCAATTAACCGCACAGCCATGAGTTTAATTGGGTAGAAGCACATAAGATGTATGTTTTTAAACAAACCATGCTTTCACTCTACAGCAATTCACTGCGAAGGCATTGCCTCTTTCTAGTAGAGGATTAAAGGGCAACTGTTGGTTTTTTATGGACACAAATCTTTACTTTTATAGGGTCTCCTGTCACTCTTTAAATTAAATACTCCTTATTCATTTAAGGCAGTTATGCAATACTAGACCTATGTCTATATCTGCCCCAGGCTGGTTTTCCAAAGGCACTTGATCATTTAAAGAATACTAAGCTACCATGTAATTGCGCCAACAATCACTACTTAAGTTAAGCTTAGGAAATAACTGAAAATAACATTGTTCAGTTAACAATCATGAGCATAAATTAAAGCATTGAACAAAGAAATAGGGTACAAGTTGGTGCTTATGTAAAATTTTTTGTCTGGGTAGCCATCTTCATTCAGTGAAAGGTCAGATGTGACAACATTGCTGTAAGTAGTTTGCAGCTTGATTGATGGCACTATCCAATGATGTTTTAATCATGTATTGTTTCTGAGTTATTTCTAAAAATCTGGGCAATGCAAAAGGTATATTAAACATGTTAGCCAAATGCTTGTGTTCCATGTATGCATTGTCTACAGACTCAACATGCTTATAAGCAAACGCTTAGAAAGTTATACAAGTTGCCCTTCTACAAAAACTAATAGCAACTCAAATGTATCAATACAATTATTTCTGAACCTACAGATCAAGACAAGATTATTAAATAAAAAACTGATGTTCCACACCCATTAGTTTAAAGTTTGTTTGTTTTTTTATTTAAATATTTAAAACAACATGAAAAAGCATGGTCTGTTTCTAATTACCTTTAATAACAAAAAATCCAGACAGTGGGTTTGGTTACATTGTCAGATTTTATTGGACACAACGGTCACCAGGGCAACAAACAGAGCAGACAGTGATGAGGCAAACACCAGGGGGAGACATCCCCTTAATGTGGACATACTCCCCTAGTGCCAATCTTCCCTTTGTGCCTCTTTCTACAAGCAGAAGCTCAGAGCCAGAGTGACAAAGCTTGAGACACAGATGGAGGCATCATAGCCACTTTAAAGCTCACAACAAAACAGCACAATGGTCAGACCTCATATCTGCCTGGAATGTTCAACATTTCATCTTTGACCCAAACTTACACCGGCCAACCTTTAAAATACTGTCTTCTCCGGTCAGTACATAACATCAGTCTTTTTAAGCACACTTTCCAAGCTACACATAAAACATTATGTTGATAATAATTTGCTCTCATCCTGCTTAATGGCAAGAGACAAAATTTTGAGATCTTAACCATTTTCTGGAAACAAATACCAAATCTGCTCACAATACAGCAACGGACAAAGCAATTCGATTTAAAGGGTCAGCTATATTGACAAAAGGAGTAACTCTTAATCACAATAGCTAAAAATTATCATAAAGTGTGTCGCTAATTTATCTGAAAAGGTAGCAGGAGAGGAGATAGTGGATACATAAACACTAAGTAAACACATGTAAGCACCCCATATTCTGCCTCCTGCCCACCCCCCCCCTGGCTTCCTGCATCACACGTCTAGTTCTTTCACACCATTTTTTTTTTTTTTACAGGTTTACTCATCACTACAAGGTATACAATTACAATGGTTCACATTTTGCATATATCTGTGCATTATACCATATTTACTTTTTTTAAACAATGTAATATGAATCTCCAACACTAGTTAAGATATGGGGTGAAAGAGAGGCTCTAGATTGTAGAGGGGTAGACACAAAGTGAAGAGAAAGAAAATAACAGGATAGATGAGACAAAGTGGTCAGTTTGCTGCCAGGCGATAATGATCTTAGCAGCGAGTTTCGTAGATGCCAGAGCGGCCGATGTAGCGGACCCATTTGATGACGTCGTGGTCACTGTAGTTGAGCTTGGACTCAAACACCTTCAAGTAACGCACCTTTAACCCAGATGGAGCGAAAGGAACCTGCAGAACGAGAGACAGGATTTACCACAAGTCAGAGCATGTTAGCACCAAATCGTTACACATTACAAGTGATAGAATAATAAAGCTGAACTGAATATGGGTGTGATACAGAGAAAATATGGCTGCAACATGTAAAGACTAAAAGTCTTCCTAATACAACCTGTTAAAAATATTATTCTATTTAGAAATACTGACCTCAGCATAGGGCTGTGCAGTTAAAATTTAAAATTGGGATTCAATAATTTCTTTTTCAATAGAGGTCTAAACCAGTCCAGCCAGTAAACGAATGGTTTGATTCAAAGTACATACTTGGGAAGAAGACCATTTTGCGTGTTAAATTGCAATGCTTAAAAGTATATTGTATATTTTCAGCAAGTTAAGTTATTAATGAGACAATGGATTATTCAATATGAGACAAAAAAATATTTTCTTTGGTATATTGCTCTTCCCTACCTCAAAGTTCATAGAGATTGGAGGCCTAGCCCATTTCTTCTTATCATTGGTTGGCAGCAGCTCAATCTCAGCACTGATCTGAGACTCCTTCATCCCAGCCATGCGCTTGATCCTATAAGATACATTAACTTTTAGTTATGGCAATATAAATCAGGGTTGCCATAAAGACATAGGCAGTGTTAAAGATTAAGAAAATGTTGAAAGCATGTGTGATAGCTTACTTCCAGACGATGGCATTCTCACTGGCCTTGTACTTGGCTTTTCCCTTCATACAAATCACCTGCACGCCACTGGTGTTGAGGGGTGTGGGGATGCGCACCTTAATTAAAAAAAAGTTACTTATGCCTTAATTTATGAATGATACATCATTTAGACAAGTTGGAGTAATAGAGCAAGTAGAGCTCACCTCAATCTTCTGAGCCAGCAGTGAGGGTTTAAAGTTAGACTTGATGACCACCTTAACCTCCAGTTTGGTGCGCCCTACTTCTCGAACCAAGGGGATAACACGGAAAGGCAGAATGATGTCTTTTGTGGTTCGGTACCTGGAATACATAATAAACAATAAGTATATAATTGTAACACTGAATACTGTGTTTGAGTAACTATTCTGCTACAGATACTTTACTTTCATTTGATGGTATTCAAAATACAGTTAATCTAAGGAATACTTCTTCATACACTTTTGGCTTTGAACTGCACAGTATCAGTGAGAGAGAAAAAGAAAACCCCGCTCTTGCAATGCGTGTGCTTGCAATTTTCCTTCTCTAATTAGAAAAATCAAGTTGCTTGAAATAATATTTTTTTACTACAATATAATGCAATTTGGTATAAAAATATGTATTAATATAAGTATTTAGAATGCAATACTCTTATTGGCCCATGTATCGGAATACGTTACAAAATGCAGGTATTTGGTATTCTGTAAATAAATACATTTGTTAGTATTCTTTCCATCACTGATTATAATTCCATACATTCAATCACTTACAAACTGTAACATAGGTATTAAAAGCTTTTGTACGAACCTCATGAGCTCATATTCTCCATCAGGAGGGATGAAGCTGATGCTACGCTCAGAGTCAAACTTACTGAGGCGCACACACTGGTGGAAGGTACAATCGTCGATGGCTATGGACTGCTTCCCACTGTAAGACAAGGCAAACAAAACTGTATTAGAAAAAAGGCCCAACTATGAATTTTACCAGGATGTATTCTAGTCTATTAATGTTTACAACAAAAATATGGTCACACACAAGCACCAAGACACCACAAACCCTGCTGCAGGTTAATGGCTAATTCTGTAATAGACCAAGTCACAATCGCTGTTACGTGTTTGGGGAATGGGTTAAGAGATCAGGCAGGTAGGTGTGGGGTCATAAAACAATCCAGCCATACCAAAAGAAGGCACAATGAGTCAAGTAAACCAGGCCAAATTGGAGTGTGTTGGAAGTGAGGAGCTACAGTGCAGAGAGCAGACTGGAGCAATGTGCTGGTTTGATGTGCCACATAGACAGGAAGGAGTGTGTGAGTGTGTGTGTTTAAGGATGGGCAAAGGGTGAGGACACTTCAATACAGTACCTTCCTCCCCCTAAATCACTGAGGTACAGCACATAGAAAAGAAAGAGGGAAAGAAAGAAAGGAGAGATGCATCCAAACAGAAAACAAAATTAAAAAACAAAAGAAAGGCAAAGTTTCCCTTGCTGAAAGTAACAAAGCACCAAAGACGCAGGGTTTATGGTATTTATGTTGTATTTGGCCTACCTCTTCCCTGCGTCATCAGAACCACCGCCCTTGCCCTGTTTGTCGATGACAATCTTATCATTCATCCCAAATTTACACTCTGGCATCCCGCTCAGATAGCTCTTCATCACTACTCTGCCAGACACGTGCGCACTCAGGACTTGACCTATATAAGACATTATATTACAAACAACAGCACCGCTATAGATGAGCATGTGTATAGTGTGATTTGTACGCTTCAGACCTTGTGGGGACATGAGCAGGTTAACGCTCTCCAGCACATCCAGGAAAAGCTCATTGCGGCGATACTTGATGCCCTCACGTCGCCAGCCAATCTGCCCTGTCACCTGGCTGGTGATCTGAGACTGCTCTTCTTTTGTCTGTGGGGGAAGCACAGAAACCTTAGAGTCAAATACAAAGACCATGCTCACAAAGGGGCAAGGCCCATATCAGGGACCAATAGGCACATGGGACAGGTGGTGCAAAGCAAACAGAATGACCATCCAACATTACCTGATGCTGAAGAAACACATGGCGGGGGGCAGGTGAAGAAGTGAAAAAAAGAGAAAGAAAAAAGAAAAAAAAAAGATTACAGATTATAAAACAAATTAGCAACAGCAATAGTTTTAAGATTAAAAAAAACATTTGTTCATTTACACCTTGTGACTTACCTGTCCCTTGATGCCCTGCTGAGTAATAAAGGTTTTCAGAGCCCCAGTTTCAGAATTCTGAGGGTAACCAAAATCCAAGATCTCTGCATGAACAAACAGCATCGATGACATTGACTTTTTTGTACTATTTATGAAATAACTTTAGAGATACAAAGACACTAAAACCTAATGCACCAAGTGCATGGTGCTTTAGTACCAGTTCAAACATTAGTTTATCAATAACATTAATATGCAGGTTTGTGGTAAAAAATTGCCAAATGGCCAATACATTTCAAGAAGTCAGTGACATCATGTATACCTTCACTCATTTGCATTTTTGTATTTCATACATCATGCATAACATTGGATTTAATAATAGTTTCATAAAACAAAGCTGTTACCATCCAGCAGCTCATAGATGAGCACAAAGTTGTTCTTGATGTTCTCCTCGCTGATCTTGCCGAAGTATGCGGTCATTACGTCGCACATCTTGTAGAGGAACTCGAACACCATGGCAGCATTGACATTCTGCTTGGTGACCGCCGCCAACCAGATGTTGGAGCGTTTGACGTGGAAGAAGCTTGTACGTGCAATGTTAGTCACCGGGGATCGGACCTGCTGCCTGGCATGGATGACGTTCACACGAAACGCATCCACAGCATTACGTCTGTGGACAGAGAGGTTTACATTACAAACTGTGGCACATTTTAGGCCGGATGCTCTTCCTGAAAACTAGCCTTTGGTTCAATTACGGTCAAACACCCAATTTGTTGCGAATGACCAGGTTGAGACAGCCAAAGTCACACCCAGACATCAAAACCACTAAACTCTGGATAAACTCAGACTATGTTCTTTATTTTGTAACATAAGGCATAATTTATGCTTGCCCTATGAGGCCAGTACAATAATGTGAAGGTGGGAAAAGAAGCCCGGCTTAACATGGATTTGTAAATGACAGTGTTTAAGTGTTGTGAAAGCAAATGTCGTCACAAGAGAAAACAAACATAGACCCAACTTGGTTAGGCCTCTGGGAAAGTCATAGTGCTGAAAAGAAGTCCGGTGACTGTCAGGTCTTTATTTTTAAAGGATAAAAGTTGGACCTACAGGGCAGGAGGACCCCATGCTCAGACTACATGCTCAACACTTGCAGCAGGGCTGTGGGCATCAGTGCTCTCTGCAGGCCGCTGGCAGTGACAGACTAGTTAATTTGCTGATATAGTTTACACTGAATAACATCTTTGAGTTTATGTTCCTGAATATTGTCACGACAGGTGATTCATGCTCAGGAGGTTCACTGTGGAGGTCAACAACATGCAGTTTAGGGCTGGGGTGGGCTGACCGTTCAGATCATGAGAGGGAGGGCTCATGCTAGACAGGTTGGATTATCCTTACCTATTCCTACAAGGGCCAAGATGGACAGATGATGTAAAATGGTGGTACAGAGAGGAAAAGAGGATGAGGTAAAAGGAAAGGCAAAAATGCACAATACATTTTCGTGCATGAACGCAGTGACTACCATGGCATGAATGTTAAATATGATTTGAATTTACAATTTCTGTGGATGACACATTTATTCCACGTTAGGAACAAGGGACAGTTGCCAACTGTGTCCGTGTGTGTGCTACATACTATAGAAGATGTGTATTACATTTATGAAATGACAGTTTTGTAAACAGAAATCACAGTGTAAAGGTTTGTGTCAACAGAAATCACAATGGAGGTGTGAATGAAAAGAAATAGAACTAATGAAACTCAGCTGTGACAAAATTTGCTGAACATGAACACCAGTTTCCTCTTTTTCAACCACACAGAGAACTACTGAGTTCCATTTATTTGTATTTCCATGCATCTAAACTTAAATTTATGGTCCTATATAATGCTGATCTTTTTGTAAAGAATTCAGACTACGCAATGGGTGGCAGATTTTTGTCATTTTCCCTAAATTATGTGGAAAGAATAAAGGAAATAATCTCTACAGCAATGAGACATCCACAGCCCTGTTTTACTATACACCTTTAAGACAGAAATGTAGACACATTCTGTGTAATATCTTTTTGCACTTTAAGGTTCAAACTAAGTTTCTTGAATACCCTTTAGTCTGATGTTCAAGTAAAAAAAAAAAATTGGCTAAACTAGAGTTTTAAGGCTGTTGGCTGACTAAATTGTAAATAGTGCCCACTGCATGTCATCTGGTGTTAATCGAAAAAAACACTTCAATTCGCGTTTACCAAACTCATTCTTGTCATTTTGGTGCACACATTACCCGCAAAGCTAACAAAGCTTTCCTTTTTACCTTATTTCAACGTCCTCTTTCCTCTGTGACGCAGCAGATAGACTCTTAGCTTTGCCTTTCTTTGCAAAAGTACTTTTACTTGTTTTACATACGCATTATACTACATTAAAATGCCATGGCAATGGTGACCAACAATAAACCTACTGTTGGTCACCATTGCCATAGTATATGGAAGAAGACTTTAATAAATAAAATAATGTTTTTAAGTATCAAAAAGGTTTTTGACTGTACCATCCTGTATATTTAAGGCTTTACAGCTACAGATTACATTTGTTTGTGTTTCCCAGGAGAGTAATGTGTGTAAAGGCTAAAAGTTAGCACAAATAAACTTCAGTTGGCGCGTTTTTGGCTAAACAAACAAATACACCCAATCAAATAAATCACCAATACAGTAAAGGTGAAGCCTCAATTTAATACTTCTACTTTCTACTATACAATGTGAGGATATAATATAAACATGCAAAGTAATCTACACAGCCTGAAGAAAAGCAATTTGTCCCCATTTCAATCCGAAATGGAAAATAGTTGAACATGACTTCCTATATGTTCATGTTTTCTTTGCATTTCCAACATTTGCAGAGCCTAATATAACATAATATAATATGTGATTATTGACCATTATAACAGTGAAACAGTTCACTGTAAACCAATTGGCCCTAAGGCTACTTTAACACTGTTACGGTTGGGCTATAGCAAAAGAAACATACGACAAAAGTCTTTTGAGTGAAGACGTTGGGCTACATACCCAATATCATCTCTGTAGACCCGAGAGATGAGGACCTCCCCCTTGTGGTTGTAGATAAACAGTCCTCCAATCATTGTGGCTGTTTCTCAGTCCAAAGTGGCCATGGTTAAACCAATCCCTGCCTGAGGAGAGATAGAGCATGGGTAAGAGATAGGAGGAAGGATACTGGTAAAAGAGAGTGTGTGACAGAGAGGACAGGGAACGCTTTGTCACATCCTCTTTTAGGATCCTCTACTTTCATACAACCATCACAGTCAGGCAGGCAGCCTGTATATGCCTGCAGCTGCCTCTCACTGGTGACTCAATCCTGTTCAGTGCACACACAGATTATCCCACTTCCTCGTCAAGAAGCAATGATTGCAACTATTCCCTTTTCCAATTGCAAAGGTTAAGACAGCGTAGTAGCCACCAGACTGAGGGCAGGATGCACAAGCAACTGCTGAGTAGTTAAATGCATGGTGCCCTTTGGCTTGAATAAATGTCCGCTTTGAATGTGGTTTATGAATGAAAATTTTTCATAATACCACCCGGTGTTTACTAAACACCATAAACAAACATCTTACAACATTGTGTATGATGATAAAAATAATACTCTATAACAAAACTGTTATATGTGGCCCAGTTTTAGGACGATTGAAGCGCTCGTGGATCAAGTCTCTCCATCCAAGGAAGAAGATTCTGGAAATGTGTTTTAATTCCTCGAAGGCAGCGGGTCTAAATACGCACAGTAAGCAAGTAGACACGGCACAACCACGACACACGTTAAGTTAAAAAACCCTGAGTAATTGAAGCCTAGTCTTCTAAATGTGCACTTGGATGAGCGGGATTAATCGCCCTTTATTGGCCGAAGTCAAGATGTCTGCTCGCTAAGGCCATTTCCGAATGAACATATTACCTATAGTTGTTTGTCTCCATGTAAAAACTGAATATGAATGGCGTGATTAATTACTTCCAGGAAATTAAAATGGTTCAAATATCGATGGTGACATGACCTTCAGCTAAGATCAAAGTGACGGAGAAATACCGAGGTAAATGTAGCAGGCTAATTTAGCTTTAGCATAGCGGGCAGTGAAGTCTACGGAGAGAAATACGGAATACTTAGTACAGCCTTTGCAAATAAAAGCATGGATATTTAGTTCAATTCAATCTGGGGCGTTATACAAATAATTCACCTGTCTAACTGTGCATACAATAATGTGCACATTTTTCACAAACTATGTTCTAAATCGAAAATACTTTACGATACTGTGTATGTAGTGAATTTTAACCGAACGCGTCTCCTCTTTTCCGGTCACCCAAGTCCTACCACCGTGAGCTTAATGCTTCTAACGGGAGCTAATGTGGCTACGGCTAACACTCGCCCGGGATGATACGATTGTGCCGGATTTGAACCGCGAACGTCGAGTGGATGTTATAAATCAAGCCAAAATCAAAATAAACTCACCCTACTACACTCTCCGACACCTCCAACCCGACAGCCCCTCTCCTCCTTCGGTCGTGAGTACGTCAAGAAGGTCCAGTGAGCCCCACTTCCACAGCGCCGTAAATTCCGCTGGCTCCTCCGATGATCGCCGTCAGCTGACCCGCCGTCCTTACGTACCACCATCCACTGTGACAGGAAAAGGCGCGGCCGCAGCGAAGACGTGTACCGCACCCAAGCCTAGCCGTACCGCGATAAGATGGACTACTACAGGGCCGATTATTGTGTAGAGGATTGGAATTAATATAACATATTGGTGAATTTGCGTAAATTACCTAAACCTATTTAATCTCCTCTGAATTGCATTTGGTTCCAGTCATTCAGTCCCAGGAACCAAAACACACTACGGTACTATGAATAAAATGCAATTATTTATAACATATAAGTATCTTTGGAATTTCATACAAAGCAATGAGAGCCCCTCGTTTCCTCTGAAATATTAACTCAATGTCCAGTATGTTGGAAAGTCTGCTATCTTCCCTACATCTGTGCACCAGATTTCCCAACCTTTGAATTCCTTTTTTGGAGAGTCTGGAATTTGACTTCTAAATGCAAATATGACCCCAGGTACAAACAAACTAGAAAACTAGACTGCTATTCTATATTCATACACAAAACAGCACAAAGAAGACACACATAACATGTTAAGTCATAAAACTATATTTATAAATAAAAAGACAATTTCCTTGATTGATAGTAGTGTGAAATGTTAAGAAACTTGTTATCTATACGTCATCAGAAGATAGAGACTGAAAAGGCTCTAGGTTCCAGATTACCATAATGTAAAAATGAAGTTGATGTTCATATAAAATGTAGCGCAATTAAACTATTTTGTCCATCTAACTTTAAAAAACAAAAGAAATGCATTGGTACAGTAAAATGACTGAAATTCTCTTATTACAACAAACACATTTCCATTTCTTACTTTCTTGGACCAAACAAACCTCTGACCAGTCTGAATCTCAGGTTAAGAGTTAGTCTTTATACTTTGTTATTGTTGGACATCTGCATGTGAGCCATGGAGGAGCAGACACAGGTTGGCCTGATTCATGTGCAGGGCCAGGGTGGAGGAGGACTGACAATGTTACACACAGAAAGCAGAGAGAAGAGAGAAGAGTGAAAAACATCCAAATAGGAAAGCTGAGTCATCTCCTTCAGCTGTCCGATTCCCCCTTTCTTGTTGTGTCTTTGCATTAACTCTTTCCCAGGGAGCAGGAACTGAAAAGGCGCTTTGGTTCCATGTTGAGGGAATTTCTTCACTGAAGAAAGTATGGCTATGGTAGGGGAAAGTATAAAAGAAAAATACAAACAGCTTGGATTCCACTTCATAGGAATCTAACATTTACAGCGTGCATCCTTCCCTCCCGCCAGCCCTCCCATATGCGATACAAAAATGCTGCGTTTGTGCTTTCTATCTCCCGTATCACATCACATCAACAAAAAATTCTCCAGCGTTTCCAACTGCCATTCGCAGGGACTGCCGTGAAGCTGTGAGCTCAGGGGGCACAGAGGACAGCTCTCTGCCTTGTGGTGCTCCAGGGGCAGATATGGAGAGATGTTGGGGCTGTGGGGGAAGACCAGGGGGGCCATAGACCAGGCCGGGCCCAAGGCCTATTGAATGAGAGTTGGCACTACGGTGGCTCACAGAGCTCCGAACACTGCGCTCACTAGGTGGCGCCACTGAGCGCTCACTTGGAGCCCGGCTCCTGATTTCAGTCTCACTGCCACTGCCACCAGATTTCCGACCCTCATTTTTGCTGCAGTTAGAACCACTGCTCCCTGTAGTAAAACAGTGAAAAAAGTTCTGTCAACTATTAACACAAGTGCAATGTTATTTTTTACTTTTTTCTACCAATACAATAATTCAGGGTCCTATGTTACACACTACTGTCTCTTGTGAGCTTTAAGCCATGTAATAATGAGGTTATCTCATCAAAAAATACCTGGAGTTGTCTTTTGTTTTCAGTCACACATGTCTGAGTAACTTTTTATTAATCTGTCCACATCTCCAAAGCTCAAAATGTCTGTTCCACCTTGTGATGTCATGTAGTGGAAGTTTTCAAGTTAACTATCTTTTACCTTTAGATTGGGAATTTCAAGGCTAAAATTATCCAAATGATTCTAGAGGTGTATGGAGTACAATATAGGCACTTTAATCTACACTCTGAGAATCTAGGCCATCTAGGTCATTGTTCCACAGACTACAAAGATTCCCAGAGGAGCTGCCTGACTAAAAGTGCTAATGGTCCATTCATTGCTTTCCACACTTAAACAGCAATGCTGAATGGCAATTACACATTTTTATTTTGTAACCACACAGTGAAATGCTCTTGAGTGAAATGAATATGTGTGCCAAATCATTTATGCATTTTCAGTGACTAAAACGAGTCAACAAAAACACTGTCTACGGCATGGGGAGTTGTAGCTGTTAGTGAATGCTACATCTCAGATGCCATAATATGTGGCGTCATATTCTATAATCCAACAAAATGATGTATGAATTTCCTTCTTAAACAAAGTAGAAACTTAATGTGTACTGTACTACTGTGAATTGATATCAGACTAGTTAACACTAAAATCTTTCTCACCACTGTGCTGGCTTCCCATGCTGCCACCACCAGGCCCAGTGGGGAAGGGCTGTTGAAGCTCGTAGGGATGGGGAATAGGAAACTGGTAGGGCATGGGCATGGGCCATGGGGCAGCCCCAGGATGGGGCAAAGGTGGGACAGTGTCCTGGTCCGATGCTCCACTAGAACCATCGTGATCATGAAGAGACAGGTGGGCCATATCTAGAATTAGAGTGTAAATATAACAGATGGTGTTAGAATAAAATACTTTAAGATAATTTTTATTTATATTTTTATCCAATGTTTGATGAAGACTTACTACCACAAAGGTCTCCAAAAATGTAGTAGCACTGCTCAGAGAATGTGATCTTGTTGACAGTGTGCCTAATATACCCAGCCTTCAGGAGGTTACTGGCATATTTCCGTGCTTCACGCCGGTCTGAGAAACCCTCAACATGATGGAAGAGCCAGTCCACCACATCAGAGCCTAGAGGAAAAAAAACAAACAGAGCTTACAATCTATGACTACTACCTGATCTGTTTCAGATATAAGAAATGACTCAGTCAGTACAACTGTATATTAAAAGACTTCTGTTCAATAACCGACTCTGTTTTGGTACACATACCAATAAATGCATTTGCGATTGTAATCTTGAGCCACATCCTGTCCCGCACCTCCAGACCAGATTCTGGGCAGGCCATGGCCTTGGCAACAGTTCCCATATCACTATGAATGGAGAGGTGGAAATCATCGAATCCTGGTAGAGAGTAAACAGATGCAGGTTATTAAATAACATACAATACCTTTTTTCCAATCATGTCAGTTGTATTTGTAAAGTTGTACTTTAAAAAAAATGACAGAAATGGGTAACTGAGCTCAAAAATAAATAAAACCAACAAACCCCGTGATTACAGGGAAGATCAAAGAGGTGTGGTTTAGTTATGACAAGAATTATTGACCAGATGGGAGCTGTGGAGCAGTCTTCACTGGAATGCAGTACGATATTTGTGAGATTTACTGACCCAGACTGAAATGACCCAGAAAAAAGTAAATGGTAACAATTGTCAAGGTCAGCCTGGGTTTGTGAAAAATAACCAGCGCTACTAAAATGGAACATCTCGTAAATGGTAAAAAATGTAAATGCATTGCACTGAACCTATGAAAACTGATTATGATACCAAAACATTTCAGTTTATAAAAATATAATGAATATTTAAGCTATGAGTTTGTGTTTTCTCTCACGTTCTGTCTCGGGGATGGAGCTGCTGATAGAGGAGCTGGTAGAGGTGACTGTGCTCATGGAGGGGCTCATCCCATAAGGGGGATACACTCCAGTCATAGCTGCAGTGTGGGACACCCAGGCAGCGGGGTCTATCGGCCGAATAGGCTCACCTGAAAACACAACAGTTTTGTGGTTAAAAATATTCTAGAGACACATGTAGGAAATGATTTCAGGTAAAAGTGACCAATTAGCACTTACTCCTGGGAAGAGCAAAGCAGCTGCGGGGGTTTGGGTCCCAGCACTTGGCCACAGTCAGCGTAATAGGACTAGTAATAAAAGAGAAAGTTTATACCCACACTGCTGAAATAAAACAGCCTGGAGTTCTGGCTTAGTTTACAGCTATTCTCAATTTACACATTTGTTTTATGGAATGATATCTTCACTTTAATAAGTTACATTTTAAACTATGTGACATTTACCCAGGTTTGTGCACTATATCTCTCAGTACCCGCACTGCATCATCGTTGCTCATGTTCTCAAAGTTGATATCGTTCACCTATCAGGACAAAAACAGGTTTAACTTTTGTCTGTGTGGTTGCCATTGCATTATACATTTACACGCTCACTTTATGACTGCTAAGAGTAACCAAGACGCCAGACAGTTTTGTACATGCCATTTTACAAGCTCACAGTCAATAAAGCACACAACTCTGCTGGCCAAGCTAGTTTGCAATGTCAGACTTCAGTTTTTAACAAGGAATGTAGGTAGCATTCAGGCATGGTAAGAGTATTGTATTACAAATTTGTCTCTAATTTTATTTTTACCTGTACATATACATTGATATAATTATACCTTATTTGACATCAGTCCCTTGCTATTTTTGCTACTTAGTTTATTTATATTGTTGCGCTTTGTTATTATAATATATTATTATGTGTGCAAGTCTAATAATCTACATTAACTGTATACAGAGAGATATTATATTTGCAATCATACTTGCTTCACAAGAGAAAAACATACTCTTGGACAACATACTTTTCTGGCATTGATCAATTTGCAAATAGCTTTGGCCCAAACATGTCCAATTTGACTTTGTAGTATGTTGCAGCTCTATTATCACACCAATAGATAAACCAATGTTACAAACCCAGTTAGTCAAGTTTGTTATTTAGCTAATATAGTCATGGTTTATAATGAAGTTAACACCATATACTTTTTAGCCATTATTTTTTTATTTATTGTAATTCATTTGCAATAGATTCCAAGAGCATAGTGGTCTAAACACAGTGAAGCAACAAAACAAGATTTGATTGGGTGTCATGACTGGCTCACCTGTAGCAGCATGTCCCCGGGCTCAATGCGTCCGTCTGCAGCCACAGCTCCTCCCTTCATGATTGAGCCGATGTAGATCCCACCATCTCCTCGCTCGTTACTCTGTCCCACTATGCTGATGCCCAAGAAGTTGTATTTCTCTGTGGCATGTTTTAGGAACGGCCAAAAACAAAAACACATTCATCACAAAAATATATATTAAAATTAGATAAACATAAACTGTAAGCTATTGGAGAAGTAGGGCCTAGACAAGGACTCATACTTTAAGATCTTTTATCTATTTTACTGATAACTTTTGTGTTATTAAAGTCTGACACAATTACAGGAAATCTACTCGAATAGAGTGTTTAGTTTGAATTTTGCATTGTCCTTATTATATTCCACCTTGAAATGTTATAAATGTATTCTTTGACCAACCAATTCTTAAAAAGATTAATTTTTAATGCAAATTTAATTTTTGATCCACAGTCCACAGGGTAAACAAGCAACATAAGAATCACACTTATAAAGTCTTTCCAAAGCTACATACCCATGTTGAGTGTGACCGTGATGATGTTCAGAGACATAGTGGAGTCTGTGATGCTACTGAATGAGGACGACTGTTGGGGAAAAACAGCACCAGGTGTTTAAGGCTTATCTGATTTAAGAGAGTGATTTCCTGAAGAGCGTGAGGTCATACCCTGTCCATATTAGAAGCCTTTGGTTTCCTTCTGCGGCGCCGGTGACGTCTCATCAACCGCGAAGAGCTCTGCTCAGTGGAGCTGCTAAACCTGGTATTGAGAAAATAACAGAACATCACTGATATGATACTAGATGATGACCCTGTTTCGATACTTATGCTGTGTTAAGCAGTATCGAGAACAATCTAGAACAATAAAGCAGAATATTAAAGTTTAAAAATGTATCTAAAAATGTTATGGAGTTTCTTTCCACAGCAAAATGCAATGTGCATGTGCTGCTGCTTCAACACTAATCCACTATCCTTTTAACAAAACTTTATTTCAGTGGGAATAGCTTTCATCTCTTTGGACTATAAACTAAAGAAAACATCCTGGACAAAGCAGGGAGCGTAAGACTGAGAAGACTCTTGTTACTAGAACTCAAAACTCCTGAGGGGAACCATGGGAGGTGACCACAGGAAGTAGCTCAAAACTAGGCATTCTCTGCCAACAGAGTGTGTTTAACTCCAGATGCATTTCTTCAAACTAAGCATGCGTGCTTATGAGAGCGTCACATAGACACTGACCTGCTGGTCGCATCATCATCCTCTGAATCAAAGCAGGAAGTGGACTCCAGCTCACTGCTCATAAAAGACGAGCAGCTGTCATAGTCTGGACCTCCGCGTGCCATTGCCCGGGATGAATATCCATTCTGCCTCCCACCTGCAGCAGAGAAAAGAACTTTACCATTTATAAAACAGTCTGAACAATGTATTAGGAAGACAAAGAGATAAATCTGGTCACTAACCATGTTCATTGGCATGTTTTCGTCTTGGTCTCTCCCTCTCTCTTCTTTGTGACGCCGCAGAGCCCGTCTCTGCGTCATTGTCCAGAGTGTCCCGGCCACTGACTGTTTTCCCACTGCACAGAGCAAGACCAGGTATTATTAACCAGAAAATAATTTATTGTAACTGCATAGAAATGTGTTATCAGTATTTGACACAAGTATACACTAATGGCCAGATTGCAGAAAAAATTATCAACACTTGAATTGTGATTTGAAAATATATATATTTTTAAATAGACAATATAGAGTCCCTTTGGATAATTACTGTATGTTCAGCCACTTGATGTGCCCTGGCGTCAAAGGCATAAAGCTGATAATGATAGGACTCATCAATCTCAAATGATGATAGAGTGGTTAAGGTTATGTTATTTTTACACATGCACTCACTAGCCAACAGATAATGTATTTACTTAAATCTAGGTGGTAACATTCTTTGGCCACTGAGTGTATAAAAGATATCTGCACCTATTTATTCAAGCTAATGTGAAAGCCTAAAGGCCTTTGTATCACTTTTTGACTCCACTGTCACAAATGCAAAAACTCTACAATATTGTGTAATAAATTACACAATATAAATCACTAAAAAAGATTAAATATGCCCATCCATGCGTAAATTCTTAAAAACTCACTGGTATGAAGGTGGTCTGGAGTCACCGATGCCCCCTGTCCTCTCCAGAGGAGGGGGTCCCTCTGAACTGTCAGCCACAGACCCTGCGTCTGTGAGAGCTCCATCCCCAGACACCAACTGGAAACAGGACAATGAAAAAAATCACAAAACATAGGAAAGTTAGAAATGACATAGCTGAACACATATTTATTAAGAAAATTAAGAGTATCAACATTTCTGCAACTCAAACATCGAGTGAATTAGGTTTACAACGATGAGTCTCATTAAGGAAAAATGTACTCTGGAAAGGATTACTTGGTGGTAGGCAGGAGAGACATTCAATACTTTAATATGTTTTCTGCATATTTGATTAGTTTTATTTGTACTTGATTCTGTTTAGTTAATATAGATGAAAGGCTGCTGAATAAGCTTGTCTGATGTAGTCATGTGGCATGATAAAAGCCAGCCACAGAATCCCAGAGAGCAATCTGTTAAGTCATTGAAACAACAGATGAAGAACAAAGACAAACACATGGACATACCCTGGCAAAAATAACATGGAACATTTCAGCCCTCTCCAAGTCATAACAAACACATGCCCCACAGTCTGCCTTCACATGGGACATGGCTTTGAATCAAAAACAGCTAATCTTTCAGGTTCTGATGAAGCTTACCACAACTGAGAGACAAATCAGGAGGAGATGGTGGATTGTAATTATTAACATATAGATATTATTACCCACTGGATGAGTCCTAGATCTGTCGCATTATAGTCTGTATTAAATTATCCAAATGCATCTGTGTTTCACATCAGAGCACAAAACACTCTTTCTTCTGGATCTACTTTCTCCACCCATTGAGATCTAATCTTCTTGTTAGGCGACATGGAGTGTGATTCTTTGTTACGGGCGTTTTCCTAGTGTCCTGTGATTTCACTTGTTTTAATTTAATTTTCACTGTATACAAGAGAGGAAGGGTGGTGGCACTAGTACCAGACATTTGAAAACTCAATTTAACATACAAATACAGAGTAATAGCTCCTATACCTACAAAAAGCCATACATAATGTATAAAAAGAAGCTAATGAAATTCATTAATATGTCTGTAGGAAAGGAGAAAATATTAGAGAACTGTGTTACTACGCTATTTATAAAGCTTTAGCATTGCTGTTTACAGTTGTAAATGGCAACTTTTGCAAACATACTCTCCAAAGCAAACAGGCTTAATGAACACAGAAACACAAGAAGCACAAACTTCAGTGAAATAAACAAATAGTAAAGAATGTATTAAAAACTTACCCATGACACAACACGGCCATTAACACAGGGCAGCTTAGCGTTGTCGTCGGAAATTTCCTCCTTAACCACCCTGTTAATAGAGCCAAGCTTTGTTTCAGTAAACCTTTAACAACACAAAGCACTCAGGCAGCAATAAAACACGGGGCTACATTTAAAGCTTTGGACATGGGCAACAGTGAGACATAGTGACATCTGGGACAAACAATACTGGTTTAATGGGTAATGCTGCCACCAACAAACACCCAACAGCAAAAATGCATCTTTGTTGTAACAACTTGGGTTCTTAGTTACCAGTGTTTTTAACATATGCCTTACATGTTGAATTATTTGTTTGTCTAAGATAGACAAGATAGAATAAGAAGAAAGAGCTCAATCATCTTTGACATTCTTCCATTAGTTATTCAATGCTGATCTCTTTTCATGACAGACTGATATGTTTTCAAGCATGTTCCAAATGTTTGTAGTTCGTGCCCCACCCAATGAGAGTTTTGCCAAAACCAACTTTAGAGATCTAGTTTATTTAGGTGCATTAATTTAATTCACTAAACATGTGTAGGACAAGCTAAAGAATTTGGGTTTCCAGAGACTTTTGTGCCCAGAATTACGTGCTCATAAAGCTGCCACAGTGATGAACAGGGCATTCCTGAGTCTGAAGCTGCATTCCTCTGAGCTGATACACAACAACTGCAGGGCCTTTTCATTTTGACATTAGCCTCTTAGCTGAAGCTAAACTACTTTTGACAAGACCAACTTACAGTTTCATAATGTGTTGCACTGATGGCATTGTGAACTGTCAGGTAGATTTTTTTCCCCCCAAAATGAACAAAAGTACAGGTCGCAAAACAGCAGTAATACCAAACATGGGCACACAGTACACGCAGGACCCTCACAACCAGTCACACAGGCAATGTAAACATTGGGGTAAGGACGCTACACAGCTGCTAACGCTAAAAGCTCACAGCTAGCAGCTAACAAAGGGAGTCAAACCCCTGCAGAATAAACGGACAGGTTGGGTAAACGCAGATGACACGCTAACTGGATCAGGTAACAGATGCTGCTAACTTTGAACATTTAAGTGCTACGGGGATGACAGTGATAACGATAAAATCAACAATAGAAAAGGTGAAGGAGTTACCCGAAGTCATCATCCATAGATTTGAAGTAAAACTTGTAGTTTGGTTTCTTCAGGACATTTTTGAAGTCTGCGAGAGTGACTTTGTCCGCCGGAACCGGTACTTTCACCAAATACGGCGTCTCCTGGTCGTCGAGGTGGTAGATAATCTTGGTCTCTCCCATCGCGGACTGCGGCTGTGGTCTTTAGGCAGACAGGGTGCATGAAGCCGAGGGCCTGGCAGGCTCCCTCTCGGGCCCCGACTCCCCAAATGTGTGCCGTGGTCCTGCGGCTCTGGCTGTCTGACCGACTCGCTACGTAGCTCTCCTCCTTTACCCCCAGCTCGCAATGGTTACGCCAGACTTTCAATTAAAATCCACTTTTCAGTTCTCAAAATCTTCTAACACAACCCGAAAACCCTTTCACATTTGTACTACGCGTATAAAACTAAAATAAGTCACCGCTATTTGTTTAAAATGTCTTTAAAAACGAAAAGGATAAACAATCTCCGTGGTCGGGTTGGTTTTCTCTTGCAGCAAAGATCGACACTTTGTGGAACGAAGTGCGCAGAATGGTGTGGTATTGTACGGCCGCGCCCTCTAGCGTAAAGGAGGCGCATAGTGGAAACTGGCAACGACACTGCTGATTCAGTTCACTTTCCCCCATCAATATCAAATGTTTCTAAAAAGTTTAGATAAAATGGGATATATTTAATGTTTAATTTATATAGGCTTTTGTAGCCCAAAAAGGACAGGTGGTAACTATATGAATTAAAATATGAATCCAAGCCCATAATTGTTTCACTATATATTCTGAAATGATGGTATTTGACAAATACAGGTACAGTCACCGTATATTTATTGAATAAAGTTTGCATTCAAGAAATCACAATTGCTGGAACATACACAATAAACTGTTAAACATTTCAGGCTGTAATATACAAAATAAAAGAGAGATGGACAAACTCTACTAATGCTCTGAAACTGATATCGTATTTTGCTAAAAAGTGGAGCATGACAGCAATATAATATTTAAGTACAAATACAAAAATGAGGAGGGCTGTTTGGTCACTTTCTCCCTTTATAAATAACATGTTAATCCTCCAGGAAGTCATCATCAAGGTTTACATCAGTGGTGTCAATGTCTTCCAGCTCCAAGTTGTCTAGGTCCACTTCAAGCTCATCCAAATTCTAATAAAAAAAATATAAACATTTCAAATTTGGCAAAATAAACTTATTTGTAATAACTAAAAAAAAACATATTATTACCTTTTCTTTTTCAGATTGTGAAAATGTAGGAATTTCCTCTTCTCTTTTTTCCGTAAATGGAGGAGGTTCAGACTGTGCCTGGACCACATCCTCTACCACTGAGGGAGACTCTTCAGTGTCCTATGTAGAGTTGAGAAAAGGGGGAAAAAAAAAAGTATAATATGATACACAAACTGAATAAAGGCATTTTTTTTTCTGCTTAACTAGATTGTATCTGCTGCAGTTATACCTTTGAAACAGATAAAGAAAATGTTCCTTTTGGTTCATATCCTTGAGCTTCCTCAAGAATATTCCTGTCTTCATTTGGCTTAAAATAAGAAATATATACCAAGTTAAAATGATATACACACCATTTGTGTTTTTTAAAAATGGTGGTCTTACAGTTACTAGTGGGTAATCTGTAGCGGGTCTTGAATTGCCCAAACATGTTTCTCTGAGGTAATATTCTGCGGCAAAGGCTTCTTTAAGTCCAGGAAACAAGTTCTCATATTCTGTCGGGTCAGCCAGAGACTCAGCAGCCTGCAAGTGGCATAAAAATACTGTGTAATGCTTGATAAGGATTAAAGAACAAATATTATTCATTTTAATTCTGACCTTCTGGTTGACTTTAGCAAGGTTTTCTCTCCACAGTTTGACCACACGAGACACCTGGCTGGGCAGATAAGTACGAGCGAGGAAGGCAGCTTCAGGTAATCTGTTAGTTCTGATCAAAAGCTCTAGACACTGATCCAATCTGTAGTAGAAAACATATCCAGGTATTAGTTTAAAGCTTATTAAGGTGGGCCATATAATGAGGACACAGCCATTCTATGTACTTACTTTCCCTGCAGGAAGTAGGTCATGAAGGCTACATTGTTCTTTCCATCCCTCTCAGCTCCTTCAGCCAGTTTGCCCACCATAGTGGCATTACCAGAGGCAGTAGCAAGTAGCAAAAGACCACCATAGTCCTGAGCGTGGTGCAGGCACTCTTGGGCCAAGCCAAACTGGCACTTGCTGATAGCAAGCTCTGCTAACTGCTTCCATTTCTGCTCCGACTGGAATTAGAAAAATCTTATTTGTTGACTTTAAAACATTAAAACATGTTTCAAAAGTGACAATTCAAAAGTGACAATTACTGAGAACAGATACTGCAACAGAACAGATAAATGCAAATATTAATTCAATCTCACCTCTGCCTCCACAGCCAACTGGTAAGCGATCTTTAATTCACCAAGTTGCAAAGCCAACTCAAACCTGTGCTCTGGGTCTGTTGACACAGCCAGTGCCTGTTGCTTGAAACCCTGTAAAGAAAAAACATTTTAAAATACACATATTCATACCATAGCATCAGAATAATCTAATGTTTAGATAGAAAAAGAGCTAAATTTCCATACTTGTTTCTCGAGAAAATGTGCGACTCTGGTGCGCTGCTCTTTGGGGATTGTGGGAAGAACTTTATCGGCCATTCCAAAGTCTCGCCTCATTACAGCAGTTTGATACTCAAGAACCGATACCAGCAGGGAGTAGCTCACAATATTGAGCTCTTTGTCACCCAAATACAAACGGTCATCTTTGGGTATGTAACCCAGCAGATACATGGTCCTACAAGATTTAAGTTAGTATAACTGATTAGGCATGTCTATTAGAATTAGACAACAGTTTTAAAATATGACACAGTCTCACCTGTCCAGGTGAGCTATGGTGACAATCTCTCCTCCAACATAGTAGTTGAGTCTGTTTACAGAGCTTGTGTATATGAAACAATCTCCCACCCAAAGACCAGTTTTGACTATCTCGTGAATCTCTCCTTGGACCTGGGAAAAAAAAAAAAAATGTGTTATGAATATATAGAAAAGCTCATAGTCAGCTAAACAATCAAATTAATGACTCAGCTAACTTCATGTTGAATATATTTTTAAAACATCAACAGCAGACTCTCACCTCAAAAGCATCTTCAATTCCATCCTCTGTAACACCTTCATTGTTTTCTTGAGAGGCGGCCACTTTCTCTGCCATGTAACGCAGAATAAAGAAGGACTCCTCTGTTGCAATACAGACAAGCTCACCTGAATCTGACCAAAAGATCTGAAGAAAGTGGGATCACGCACAATTACTGTAAAATCAAAACTATTCTATTATAAAGTACAGATTTGCTTCAGGGACATACATGTTTAGGCTGGATCTCAATGCGGCGTATAAGTTCTGTGTTCTCCCAGTCATAAAATGCCAGTCCATTAACTGACCTGACACCAAGCAAGAAGCCTCCGTAGATTCCTGCAAATTAAAGACAAAACAAATAAGGACAATGACAAAAAACTAACTATAAATAGTAAATAGTTTTACCCTCAGCTCCAAAGTCAGGCTTGAATGATTTCTTTTCTTTGAAATTCTTAAAAATCTTCACAATACTGTTGCTTTCTCTAATGGCATATCTGATTTGAACACAAAACAATGCATAAATACAATAATTAAGAACAAGAACTCAAAATGTAATAGATAGATTAAAGATACTTACTCAGATGAGTCATGTGCCCAGACAAACTCCTGGGCAGAGCCGAAGCTTTTGTTCCTCAAAGCCATAGCAGTGTATATAATATATTCCCCATCTCCACACACTACCACAAATCTAGTACACAACAATATTGTATATATACATTCTATAAAAATTCTATAATGGATTATGAGTCATTCATTTAAATCTCTATACCTTCCATTGGGGTTGTGTTGAATGGTTTGTGGGTAAATTTCACAGCTGCCCATGTCCTTAACAGCCAAGGGAAGCCGCTCGCCATCTTTGATCTCTGCATCGCCCATAGCCTTCAGATTAGCCTGTTGAATTTCACTATGTTTGGCCCAAATAATCTTTCCATTGGCGTCCATAGACATGGCTGGCTCCTCCCGACCAACCTACAAAAGGAAAAATAACAATTTCAGATCCTTTACTCTGATAAAAACGGTAATAGAAGGATCAGCACCAATGTCACTTTTCTCTTTACCTTAATAATAATGCTGCCTTCATCATAACCCAGTGCCACATTGTTTGAGCCCCTGAGGCCACAGACGCACCACACTCTCTCCATGCCATAATTCAGAGTGCTCTCCAGGCGATAAGTGCTAGAGTGCCAGATACGCACAGTGCCTAATGGCAGAAAAACAACAATTACAAAAAACAAAAAGTAACAAACAGATATTATCCATTGATATAACATTTACAACTCACCATCTTCTGAACCAGTAATAATGATGGGCAGCTCTGGGTGGAAGCTGACACACGAGACATTTTGTGCATGGCCCTCAAGTGTCTGAACACATGTTTTGTTCTAAGAGAGAAAAAGGTTCTGTGAGCAAAGCAGTTCTTAAGCAGAGGAAATTCACATTTATTGGGTGATTCCAAGTAAGCTGGTCAAAGTTTGTTATGTAGTGTATAAAAATAAACACAAGTCAAATGTCATACCTGATAGTCCCAGATTTTCACTTGTCGATCATCAGCCCCAGATATGAGATAAGGTTTGTCTCCTCCACTGTAGTAGTCAATACAGTTAACCCCTTTCTCATGACCCTCCAAAGTAAAATTTGGGGAAGATGAACCGAGCTGCCACACCTTAAGAAAGAGCATGTGAGAAACATTATTTTAATAACAAGCAAGTAAAATAAATGCGAATTGTTCATCATTGTTCAGTTCACCTTTATTGTTCTGTCCAGAGATGCACTGGCAAACTGATTGTTGTCCTTGGGATTGATAACAATCTGCATGACGTAGTGAGTGTGACCCTCAAACACTTGGCTACAAGACCACTTCTTCTCCCAGTCCCACAGTTTTATTAACATGTCATCTGTGAGTGTACACACAAAACAATTCTATATTAAAAATGTCTTGTAAATAATAATAAATTCACATGCATGTTTACAATAAATGTATTTTCAAAGGCTAAAAAAACATACCACTGCTAGTGAGGATGTACGGCTGGGTTGGGTGAACAGCAATGCAGCGGATGTAGTCCGAATGAGCCTCAAACATGTGGACTCGCTCCAAGGTGTTGTAGTTGAACACACGGATTTGCATGTCATCCTAAACAGAGTGATGATAACTTTAAATACACATTCAGCATTTAACCAGCTGGTGGTGTGGTGCAACAGACAGATGTTGCCTATTATTTTATGAAATGTATACATAGAAAAAAACTTACTGCTCCAGTGATGACCCAATTCTTTCTTGCAACAAATTTAGATGCTCTTACTGGCAGATCACAAACTTCAAAAGTCTTCACAAGCGTCTATCAAAAACGTATAAACCAAATTCATTTTAGACCTGGAACTACTTTTTTTATCTTCTTAAAGCTAATCACAGTTTCCCAGTAGCACCTACCTGTGTTTCATGGTTCCACACACAAACACTGCCGTTGTACAGACTGGCCAACATCCACGGCTCTGTGGGATGGAGGTCCACACTCTTCACCCGGTCTGACCTGGCTGTCAGCCGCCGTTTAATGTCCAGTCTCAGAGGCTACATGGCGATATTTTACAAATCAATATTAGTTATCCATACCAAATGGAAAAGTGGCCTAAACATAACAACACAATAGACTTTCACGTAGCCGCCATATCGCCGAGGCTAGCAGGCTAACGTTTAGCCTAACAATTTAGAAAACCATATTAAATACTCAAAACTGAGACCATACTCTGGTAATTAATTATTAATGAGCCACATTCAAACTTCCCAAATGATACTGCATGTCATATTATTACAGTTAACATGGCATATAAAACAGCAGCTTCAAGATCAAGCTACGTAGCCACCACAGAGATATTTACGCAAAGGCATTCATTTTACACTTGCTTCGTGTCCATCACTGATCACGAAAATGATTTGTCTATGGAGGAATGTACAAATTCATCTTACCATTTTGCACCCCTAGCAGTTGCTTTAACCCCAAAAGACACCTTTTTAAAGTATTGAAATCGGCTTCAAGTGCCAGGATTGTGTGAATGATGCGGTGGACTGACGTGGAACTTCCTGAAAGTCAATCTCGCGAGAGTTGGGTCACATGCGGTGACGTGCCACGAAAGCTTCGACCCCAACTGCCAGCTGGATCAGCAAAATTTGCATATTTCTCCCATTATTCAGAAAATAAAGACTGTGAGTATAAACATGTACATCCATATTTTGAAAAGAGCCCATCTTAGAGGACTAAAGAGATTAATGAATTAGTGAACTATTATGAATTAGTGGCCTGAATGGGCCTAGTCTATGGCATGGGTCTACTCTCTAGATGGCGACAATTAGTCCTTAGGTTTCTTTATGCTCAACTATGCTCAAAGTTTCTATTAGTGACGTAACCATGGATCTGTTAAAATGCAGAGGTGAGATATAACACAGACTAAGTTGATTAGTTGATGGACAGAAATGTGGATGTTCCCAGGGCACTCAGATATTTAATTAAGCCTACTCCATTCATTTAGAATAAAAACACTTTATTCAAATTGATCAAACAGAAAAAAATATGCAATAAAATATAACACTGTTTTTTATTCTTTTTTCTTGAATACTTGGGTACAAACTACATCTTCACATGTCAGCTCCTGCAGAAAGATATACAAAATACATAAAAACTTGAATACATTACCAGCTTAACTGATTGATAGTAATTGAAAAACTTAATGTAACTCACTAGGTAAAGTTTGCCATCCTCTATCCAGTGTTTCCAGCCACGGTTTGCCTTCTCTCCTTTCTGGGTGCACACCAGCTTATCCCCCTCCCATACGACTAAACTCTGTGAAAATACTTACAATTTAGCCTTATTTACTATAATAGTCTTGTTAGACTAATACAAAACCTCCACTCACCTTAACAGTTCGGTTGTCTAGTCCTTTGGTGTACTCTTCAAACTCTACTCCTACTGTAAAGGGCAGCTCATAATTCCTTAATGTGCTCAGGGTTTTGACCTCAAAATCATCTCCATCTTGAGAAACAACTTTGGTCTGAGACAATGATATTGCAATTTTTCTAGTTGCAAAGTCGATATCTGATAAGAAGAACAATAAAATCAAATAAGAATGAGCAACATCTTGCAGATGTGAGAGACATGTATTTCACAACCTGTTATCATGGAGTTAGAGGAAAATTTATGACAGTAAAAAAACATATTTCTTACTTAATGCTTTTAAATAGTCTTCAAATTTGTTGCTGGTTTCCAGTACCCATCTGCCGCTGTAGTCTGCAGGCATGGTTGCAGCCGATTACACTATAGACTTTAGACACTGAAGGAGTGCAGTGTCCTCTTGCTTTTATTTAAGTCAAGGGGCAGGTGGGTAGAACTATTGATACAGAGTTTACTGCCTCAAAGGGATTGGCGGGGTCAGTTGTGTAGGAAGGGGAGGAGACAACTTGCACATTTCTTTTTGGCCTCTGAGGAGTCAAAGGGGGGTTGGTTATAGGACAGCGTCAATGTATGGGTGCCCACATAGACAAACACTGCTCAAATATTCCTTTACATATATGCACGTAATGGACAAATGTACAGATACTGATAAATATTATGTAATAGTTACTTCTGTGTTTGCCTTGTCTATAGGGTAATTTGAGATCATTGGGGTTAAGAAAGGTTATGAACACACTACTGCACTTTTGTTGTGGCAAGATTTTTGAGGGTTTTCAAAAGCAGGTACAACTATGAACATAAGTAAAAGTATACAAAGTTTACCATACTTCTATTATTACTTTCTGATATAGATCTACAGTTATATAGTATAATAACAAGTAATAATTATATTGCTACTTCTACATACATATGCATTGGTATGTTGATTTGGAAGGTTTTATTTATTTATTTATTTATTTGACAGGGGCATTGCACAATAAATGTTTCCTATATCAAACCTTACGGTCACATATTCTTATCCCTTCCGGGTTTGAAAAGTGCAATGCCTTGTATTACTATGACATACAATAGTAAAAAGGCTCATCTGGACAAGACTGAGGTTTGACTACCTTTGAAACCTTTGTTACTATGGATCATTACTGGATAAATGAGGGATTACATCAACATGTATTCCTATATGTTATTTTATTGACAGTACATGTAAATAGAACATTAACTTGGGCTTCAAATTCTCATTGGGGCCTTACATGAGAGAGAATCATTTCTGAAGCAGCTAAAGCAGGGAGGATCAATACCAAATCCCTTGGAGAGGCATAAGTAAACAGTGCCTGCAGGTAGATACAGGACAGATAGTGGCTTAGAGTGAATGCACAAGAAGGAAGGAGGAAAGTCACTGAGAAGATACTACATTCTACATCTGCACTGAAATACACAGATAAAAATGGTTTCAGTTTTGCTTTATTTATTATTACTTAATGACACAATTCACATGGAATTGGGCATACAACATATTTACACATATAGTATTTTCATGCAGACAATTTCAATGCAATTCTTATAATTTATCACTACTATTGCACACAACAGCAAGCTTAAAACACTTGTAGACCAAAATCAGTGCAGATTCCACCTTGAAAATGAAATAAAATTGGGTATATCTGGGTATAAATGTATATGGGATTATCAAAGTGCATCTGTTGCCAGGCAGCAACAGGCATTTAAATGGACAAAACAGAAGGCGAGCAGTGGAATGTGTCCTCAAAGAAGTTCATAAAGGCTGCCCTAGGTCTTCTTGAAAACTTGCTTGCAAACAGCACCTGCAGCTCTCAGTTCCTGCAAACATATATAATATTTTTTACATATTAGTTATTAGGACGATTATAAGTGAATAAAAGTTAGGCAGAGATAGCACGAAAATGTCTGAGATTGGAACATTGTGGAAATTCTTGAATGTAATTAGTGGATTTCTGCCACTAGAGGTCACTGCTCATCTTCAATCAAATGATGCCCTCTGACTTTCTGGTAATAAATAATTTCATGGTTTTCTGACTACGACTGCTGGAATCACTTAATTTTCCCTCCCTTGGTGACACTGTGAAGAGTAAACGTCTGTGGTGCTGAAAATGGTGTTGTAAAATGTATTAGACTTAGACTATTCAGATGCAAATGTTTTCATTAGCCATTCTCCCTATTTAAAAGAAAAGGTTAGTGAAATCATTGTTACATAAATTAGGTTTGCCAAGCAGTGATAAGAACATGACACTAGAAGTTACATTTTCAGCTGCCAACACTGTGTCACATTTAACTATTATGGCAATGCCTGGGGATTAATTAAATTGTAGTCTTTTGTTATTCAAAAGTTTTTTTTTTTCTTTTTTTACAATGTAGGTAACCTTATGCACCCAGCAAAGTCCTGCAAAATATATTCACATCACACTGAGCGCTGAGAGGCACTTTAAGTGTCCAAATGGAATGTATTAATATTCACGTCAGGGAGGGATGTTTTCTTACCAGGTGAAGTTCATCTCCTTGCACCCAGTGGGTCCAGCCTCTGCCTTCAATCTCCCCCTTCTGAACACATACCAACTTATCTCCTTCCCACGTGATTGTGGTCTAAGAGTACAGATAATACATAATACACTTTATATAAACATATCATTGGCAAAAGTTCACAAAAATTTTAAAGAATATAAATTCAGTTATTTAAGTGGCTTTGGGTGTGGATCTTTTTGTATTTTTTACTGCCTTTCTATAACCTGGCCAGCAAGATGATTTCTTGCTCCATTCAGAGTGCTATAGATCAGTCTGGCATTAGCAAGGTTAGCCTTTCTATAATCTAGATTAAAAAGTATCAGACAAGGCATCATAGCAGCCTGTGCCAAAGAACTGCTTCTCACTGAATATACTTTTCTGATAAATGTACAGGAACTTTGTATGAAACTACAAGCAAAGAATTGAGCTGTCATTAAATGAGACATATTGTCCATATTTTTAAGTTTATGTTACATATATCTATATACAATACCATGATATCATAGCTCAATGCCTATTTGCCATAAAGACTGCAGATTTGAATGTGTGTTGGTAATTAAATGTCTTAGATTAAAATTCATGATCTCACTTACCATACACTTCCTGTCATCCACGCCAGACAAGTCCTCCTCAAACTCCTTGCCCACATAGAAGTCCATGTTGTAGTTCTTAAAAGTGCTAAGGGTTTTGATCGTTATGTGGTCTCCGTCATGGGTGATTTCCTTGTCCGGTTTCAGTAGAGTGGCAATTTTTCTGATGGCAACGTTCACATCTGCAAGTGGAAGCAGTAAGATAAATGAAAAATTGTTTATTAAACATGCAACAGTCCTGTGGAGGAAAACTATTTATTAAACCAATTTTCAATCAAATATGTGATTACATTAAATAATATGAAGCAGTAAAAGGTTGTGAGTAGTTTTGAAGATATTACAGTTTATCTTTTGCACTTACCAAGTGCCTTCATATACTCCTCAAAGTTGTCATTGGAGACCATTTTCCAGTATCCATTCAGATCAACAGGCATTTTGGCAGGTTTTCTAATGTTACTTCTACGGAACAAGGAGACCGGGGGTGGCTGGCGCTGGAGTGCATGGCCCGCTGTCAAAAATCCCAATTTGAATCCCACTCTCTCTAATCCGATTATCAACACTGGCTCATTTGTTGTATTGAAAGTGACACTTGCACCTCCTACTCTCCTCCCACCAAAAAGTCCACATAACCAATACAATCTTTATGCATATAATATGTTTAGAGACACGTGTCCTAAATAGGGAGTATAGTGTAGAACACAGAGTAGAGCATGCACAGAGCTTATCCTGCCTCAAAGGGATTAGTTTGAATGTGGCTCCTTTGTTGCTGGAATAACATATGGAATTCCACGTGTGACAGATTTGTACTTGTTGAGGCTTTGTTGTTAAAGTGGCTTTGGAAGATGTTTCCTGAATGCATAACCAGGAATGAGCCTGTATGAATAGAAATGATTCTGAACATATCTGACTACTGCTCCTAATATTCATACTGCAATCTAACAGAATCACAATTGCCTTAGAGCTGTCTCTCACTTTAGATTTTAGATTGCTTTAGTTCCCATCCAGCCTTCCATTTCTTTTTAATTTATGGTTTATCATTTCAGTGAATAGAGTAGACCATGTGAAATCTTGATATCTGTTTGAAATAGCACCTCTTTGTTATTATCATATATACTAATATGTGAGCTTCTGTGTCCAAATATTTCTCTTGTGGATCAATAAAGTCTGTGTAAGTCTAAGTCATAATGTCAAAAAATAGTCAAAAGTCAAAGTCAAAAAATAAATCTAAATATAAGGATAGATGTAGCTGGTGTCTGAATGGATAGTTTGATAGACAGCAGATGAGTTATTTGTTGGACATGTCCAAGATCAAGCATATATCCCTAAAATTTGATTTAGGGGCGAATTAGGTAAAAAGGAAAAAAAGTCCAATTGGAATTGATTTTAGAATATAATTTTAGGGCAATTTTTTGTATTTGTGGGAATCCCGATTTGCCCCAGAATGGGTGATAATAAGTGGGTTACGGCTTTCTGTTTATGTTTTACATGTTCACGAGCTTGTAAGACAAAAAGAAATACATCAAGAAAAGTCCACCTACTCCTTAAGAGGGGTAAAACGAAAGTTGAATAACCTATTTTAAATGTGGCCTTGCTAAAATAAACCTCTCAGACCTATCAAATCTTCTTTCCCACAACTTGATTAATTTGATAATATTCCTTTTGTGTAGAGCTGAGTGAACACACACATTAGTGGACACACAGTGGAGCTCAGAGCCAGTGAACTGAGTGAGAAAACAGCTACTGTAGCTGGGCAACTAATCCTTGAGAGAAAACAAGTGAGGCTAGCACAAACACAGAATGATAAGAGTAAACTGAATAGATGGAGAGTGAATAGCTAGGAGGCTGCTAGGCAAAAGGGAAAAGAAAAATGAAGGGACTTTTACTCCACTGGAACGGCATAGGCTCAGCGGTTAAAGTGTTCACCCACAAGCCCAAAAGTCATGGGTTCAACCCAACTCAGATCAAAGTCCATGCTGTTGTTATGTCCTTGAGAAAGACACTTCGCCCACTTCGCCACAAGTATGAATGTGCTGTGTGAGTGAATGATGGTCAGATTGGTAGCCTCCCTTCAGGCCATCTATTCCAGGGCAGCTGTGTTCAATTGTAGCCCACCTCCACCAAGTTTATGAATAATGAATATACTGTAGTAAGAGGCTTGTTCATCTTAAGTGTAATGGAAGTGTAAGCCATCCCTATTATTAATACATAAAATTATAATACTATTACAAAAAAAAAATCTGTATTTCATATCAAAGCCAATTGCAGCTATTAAAATGCAAGAATTAAAAGGTGGTTTCTGAATCAACATTCACAACAACTACTAGAATAAAAAACACTAATATTTGATATTACTGTTGTACAACTGTATAATTTTTTTGGTACATCATATTGTATATTGTGTTACTTATGTTAAGTGTTTTGAATCCCCTCAAAAATGAGATAGTACATCTCAAAAAATTAAAGTTAGATGGCACTTGTTATAAGTTTTATTCACAAATCTGCACCCCTCAACCACAAACTCACCCCCAAAAATAGATTCCCATTGTGACAGCAGTTTGGCACAAATAGCTATTCTTTTGTTTAATTCTATATAACTCATAAAACAGTACTTGGGAACAGAAACTATACTGCTGTCTGGCTGACAGCAAACAGTGTGACTGACTTATGGCTGAAAGCAGGTGTTGCCTGACAAAACACATTACATTACATTTGAGCTTGTGCAAACCTTTTCCTCGGTGCAGTCCAGTGGAAATAAATAGATGCTGTCCCTGAGGAGAGGCACTGATGCTTGAAGCTCTCCCGTGTTCTGTCCCTCACTGCTCAGTCATCCAAGCTGCTCACTGGATTTGTGGCCTGTTTGGTGAGAGGCCTCAGCAGTGTGCCCTGGTTCCTCTTCTCGCTGTCCTGTGTGTAGAGGTTGTGCTGGTGAATATATTGTAGAACAGAGTCAGGGATGAGGTATTTCACACTAGCATTGCGTCTCAAAGCCCGCCGGACCTCTGTGGCGCTGGACTCGTTCCTAACCCACTCTGTTACTAGAAATATATTATGTCTATGACGTGACAAAATGTCAGATTCGTGCACTGTTCTTTCAGAGTGCAGTCCTCCTCGGCTCACACAGACAAGGCCGTAATGACCAGACACTTCTTCAATGTGCTCATCCAACCACAGCCCTGGGGTTCTAAAACTATCGAGAAAATCTGCCCCACAAAGAAGCTTCAGCTGGATAGATGGATCTATAGGGACAAAGAGGGAAAAAGATTTAAATGTTAAATATTTAGTGTAGATTTTTGACTGATATGAAAATGCAACATACAATGTCATCATCACATTGAAAAAAAGTGCAGCATAGTAGAGGATAAATGAGGTTTTTCTCCTGGTGTTCAGCTGCTCAATCCCAATACTACCATTTTTACTCCAGAGAGTACTTCTACAATTTCAACTCTGTGATTTTTCAACTACCAAACTACCTCTGCACAGGATGACAATAGCAAGATGCAAAGAGATTCTTACTTGAGGTGACAGTGGGGTTTTTATCATCTGAGAACTTGTGCATTGTTGTGCTTTTCTGGTACTCCTGAAGAATACGATTGTAATGATACCTATACAATCAGACACAGCAAATACAACAACATTAACAACTGAACCAAACTTTTAACATGCTAAATGCCTTACTTTAATTAGCACATGTTTATAATAATAATCTTATCATAAAATAGTATAATATATATATAAGCAACATCAATAATTTACAGCAAAGCCTCTTACACATGAGGAGCTTTGCATGTCAATGAATGGGGAGAGCCATAGTGACGTGATCCAACCTCACCCGAGCTGAGGACAACGGGCCATTTCATGTGTGGATCAGCCCTGTGGTTGCGCAAATACAGCTTAGGGCAGTTCAATCTAGAGGTCACTAAGAAGGAGATTTAAGATTGTGCAGAGGAGGCACATTGGGTATAATGGGAGGGATACTCAAAATTATGCCATATGGTGATTATAAATTAAGAAATACTGTCTCCCAAAATCAATATAAATAGTAAACAGAAAAAAAAAAACACTTCTAACTTCTAATCAACATATTCATTAATTAGTCTAATTGTGAACATAAACCATATACTGTACTGTACTATTTGTAGAGTTTAGTTGACTTCAGTTTTCTTCTTTAAAGTCGGAAGGCCCTCTAATCAAACACTCTACACTAAATGTTTCCCTTTAATAGATTCTGACCCAGACAACCTTTTAGATCCAATTATTCCCCACGGACAGATAAAGTTTATAATTGGTGATTCTGATGTCACCACATAAAGACCTACTCCTCTCATTGTCTCCACATTCAGATATGTTACAAAAGGTCTTGCTACATAAGTGATGACAGAAGAAAATTATATTTTTTGAAAGTACAAAACCCACATTAACAAAAGCTGAGGAAACTTGAGTACTTGAGATACAATACACACTTTGTTTTTGGAATGTTATGGTCTTTTTAAAGCAGGAAATGGGAGAAATAACAGAGATAGATCTTTGTCTACATACTACTGTGCATCACCTCTGTAAACCAGGTAGACAGAACTATTGACATATAAAATATCTATGTAACTTCACATATAAAACAATATCATTTAACATTATAATATATATTTTTTTTATCATGTTACAAGACACATTATCACAGCTAACAAAGTCTCTTCCTTTAAAGGATTTCTGCAAAAATAGATTACGTTATTAACCTCATGGTGACCACAGTCTCTGTCCAGTCTGGCTGCTGGCTCTCCCATTCATCTACCCTGATCCAGTCGGAGGTCTGTAGGGCTAGCTTCGCCATGGCGATTCTGTGTTTAGCCGGGACCAAACCTTGCTTTCCATAGGCATCACTCACCGGAGACACAATGCCTTCTAGTACCTTGTACTGCCCTAATATTGTAAGAAAACACTTTTTTAAAACAGTAAATGTGCACTGTGCAACTTTTCTGGTGGAGGGTCCACTTCCTACTTGTTTCCATTGGAGATGTTACTGGAATCTTCCATTAAACATATCCATCAAGCATTTATTCATATACAGGTTTTTCTGTTGCTCAAAAATACCATAGTTCCTCCTGTGAATAGGGGCAACTCTTCACAGATCTGAATTGTAATGTAGCATAGTGCTGTGACCTGCTTGTCTCCCTCACAGTAGATTGTTTTATACTGCAATAGCATTTTCATGGAGATAAGCAGGTGGAAAACCCTCCACTAGAATTTTTTTTGCAGTACACCTTTATTACATGTATGTATAAAACATGTACTGTACATACAATGTATAAAACAGTGTTCATATAATATTATTTGTCTTGTGACTTGTGACATAACAATGCATGGTAATAAATATATTGGAAGAAATTGATTTTTTTGGTTGACTGCATGTATTCTAAACTATATTTAAGACATTCCTTAGACTAAAATATCTAAGATATCAATAAATAATAATGGGCAGGTAAATGTATCGTTTATGTTTACTTAGCTCGAACCTGTGCTGTGCATGTGGTCTCGGGCCAGCTCAAACAGTCTCATGTGCTGGTTTGTGATTGGATTAAAGGAGCCACAGGCCAGCAGTACAAGAGGGATCCGGCACCTTGCCATCTTTTCACTCACTCTGAACAAAGAAGACAAGAAAACAAGAGAATGATAATTGTGTGTGTCTGATTTTAATTGTACATTTTAATATACTGATACAAATTTGCCTATCCGTAGAGCATAAAATTGATATTATTCATTATTATTAATTAAAAAACCATAAATAAATAAATAAATAACTACCACAATACATGCATAAAAGCATGGCTTACTATTTACTTACTCAATTTACTTAGTATTACAAAGAAGAAATGTGACAAGAAAGCAATAAACACGTACTTTGTCAGTGCACTATATACAATTGAAAGAATGAAGGCTGCAGTGCGTGAATCTAATTATGACAGAATGAAAAACAAAAGACAAACCAAAAAAATATAATATTATCACCTCATAACCTGTCTGACATTGAACGAGCTTTAATCAAACCACGCAGAAAAACGCAAACACAGCATCAGTTTCTTTTACATGTAAAAATGCGTCGCTTTAGGTGACTGTGTAATAATACATACAATAAGATACTGCCATAAAACATCTCTAACGTTACCTTTATAGCATTGTTATTGTTGCATGAGACGAGTGCTCCATCTTTCTAATTCCCCCTGAACACAAAGCTTCAAGTATTTGGTTCCTAGTACCGAAAACTGTGGGGCTCCCTCTTGTGGTGGTCGGTGAATAATATTATTGGACACTGGCGGAGCTGTCCGTGGTTCTGAACCTCCTCTGCTCTTGCACTGTAATTACGGGGCGTGTTTTTCACAGGGTATAATTTAGTCAGTCCCGGGAAGAGGTCATGGCTTAATCTTTAGATCGAAAAAGGCAATGAAATCGTAGCTCCAGTAGAGAAGTATGTCATTACATGACCTTTAGAGCCAAGGCACCACTATGCCCAGAGCCCTGTGTGCCCTTGTTGTCAATAGTAGAAAAGAAAAGCTTTTCTAAACTCTTACTGGCAGCAGGCGAGCACACGTAACAGGTGATTATTAAATGGGTCTGGTACAAACTCCCCAATAACCATCTATTATTAAAACTATTGGCTTATCTTTCTCGACTTTCAGCATTGTGGTGCTGACCTTTTAAAGGCCACAAAACTATTGTGGCACTATGAAGTACATGTAATTTCACATAAAGGAGGCAGTGGCTCAGTGGTTAGAGCACCCAAAGGTCAGAGGACTGATTACCAGTCAACTGTTGTTGTGTCATTAGGCAAGACCCTTCCCTTTGCCCAAAAAAAACATGGTTGGAGTATGGTAGTTAAACAGGCAGATGGCACAGATTCACAGCCAAGTCTTATTATTAACATTATTATTTAAAATAACATTATTTGAAATAATATAATAATACTATACTAATAGCAATACTATACAATAATAATGCTTATATTATGGTTGAAAAATAATATAAAAATAATGCTGTTTTTAAACTTCTCACAACAATCATAAGGCTCAAGTCCAATTATATGTTCTAGCAGTTTAAGTATAAAGCCCTTAAGTATTAACTGAACCTATTTTACTTCAAAATGTGTACATTTGATGGAAACCACGAGGAAAACAAAGTATGTGATTGATAATGATCAGCCTAAAACATAATAACAATGCACTGAATGGCTGAAGTTGAAGTGGACATACTGAGGACATTGTGCTCATTAGATTTTTTTGCTGCTGCAGCTGCTGTAACTTCATTGCCACTCTCCGTGGAACTGCCTTGGGACAGTGTGTGGTTGTGTGCCTGTGATTTGTGTGCATGTAAATGTTGCCTTGCATGTGTTTTGTCTCTGGATGCTGGCTCTGTCTTTGTTATCCTCTTAACTCACTTGAGGTCTGCCCGTCTCTATAATCCCAGAACGCACTTCCACACCCACACAATGAGAGCACAGGGAATAAGTGAAGAACACACTGCTGCTGGAGACAACCAGTGATTCTGCCACAGGGTGAAAACTGAACCAGTGAAATCTGTGAGGGGGAGTAGTACAGCTCTGCCTTTTGGGCTCTCGTTAAGAAAAAGCGGCAAAAACAGCACGCTATGGCAGATGTGCATGAAAGAAATGTGCTTGCAACGGTTGCCACGACACTCTAAAAAAAACCCCAAACAAAACAGCTCTGACTGAAGCAAGAAAGCAAAATTTAGTGCAATGCAATGAGGAAATCTGTCAATGGATTATGTAACTTTCTTCAGTATTTTTGGAGCAGGTTCAATGAAGAAGTGTTAGTCATAGCATGGGCAAATTTAGACAACAGTAGTCTTATGTTGTCTTAAAGATATAGTATGTTGAATTTGGTGTTTAAAGGTGCACTATGTAACATTTTGTGATGGGTTCCACCGAAGCTTGTCTCCATGAAGATGTTATTCCATTGCCTGGAATATTTCACAGTATGGCATTAAACTTAACTTGAATATTTTCAATTACAGATATTTTTATTGCAAAATACAAACCATTCTTGAGCTCTCCTCAGATCTGACCTGTAACCTGGCCAGGTTATGTCACCTGCTTGTCCCCATGTATAGAGATAAATACATTCAGTGTTGGAGCAGTAAGATATACTGTATATTGGAATATACTGGAGCAGTAAGATCTTCAAGGAGATAATTTGCAGTGTCTTAATTGTGGCCCAATTAGCCCATGACTTTTCGGATAGGCTAGTTGGTATATACATACATACATACATACATACGTACATACATACATATATATATATATATATATATATATATATATATATATATATATATATATATATATATATATATATATATATATATATATATATATATATATATATATATATATATATATATATATATATATGCTACTAAATTATTAGTAAGCTTTAAATAATGTACTACGCTGTTTATTAATAGAAAGAAATTGTGTTTATGTAAGTATGAATTTATTGATGTATTTGTGTATTTACTTACAAATGTATAACGCTATACTTTTTATACAACCTATTCTTGGCACTTACTTACATAACTTACTATGAGTGCGCGTCATCACGTTTAAATGATTCATCGTAGAGTAATGTTTATCTTGATTTGAAACAGGAAAGGAAAAGCGTTGTTATTGACGCTACTCTCTCCACTGTAGTAAGTGCACGCTCTCTCTCTCTCTCTCTCTCTCTCTCTCTCTCTCTCTCTCTCTCTCTCTCTCTCTCTCTCTCTCTCTCTCTCTCTCTCTCTCTCCTCTCTCTCTCTCTCTCTCTCTCTCTCTCTCTCTCTCTCTCTCTCTCTCTCTCTCTCTCTCTCTCTCTCTCTCTCTCTCTCTCTCTCTCTCTCTCTCTCTCTCTCTCTCTCTCTCTCTCTCTCTCTCTCTCTCTCTCTCTCTCTCTCTCATCTCTCTCTCCTCTCTCTCTCTCTCTCTCTCTCTCTCTCTCTCTCTCTCTCTCTCTCTCTCTCTCTCTCTCTCTCTCTCTCTCTCTCTCTCTCTCTCTCTCTCTCTCTCTCTCTCTCTCTCTCTCTCTCTCTCTCTCTCTCTCTCTCTCTCTCTCTCTCTCTCTCTCTCTCTCTCGTCGTCAGAGCGGAGCGGTGGAGCGCAGGCAGCCACTGTACAGGGGACCGGGATTTGAGAAGAGGAGAGGACGGGGAGACATCTTCACCCACTCCGCCCTGAAAACAAACATGCAGCACCGCGGGACATCGCTCCTTCTTTTTTGGCTCGTGTGGGGCCACTCGTGTGCGTCCGCGGGAAAAGGTAAGAGGAAATGCGATTAAAGTGCGCCTCGGTTTATCGCATGTGGGTTGTTTGATCCAGAGGGAAACAGTGCTCAACTTTGCAGCTGTTTCTCGCATTCTTTTTACTACGCGCCGTAGCGTCACCGTTATGTTCATGCACCCAAACTTATGCATCAGATCTGTTCTTGTTTTAAAAACCACTGCAATTAACGGGTGGGACACGTGTCATCTGACAAAAAGTTAGACGCCAAGTTAGCTACAAATATTGTAGTCTTTACTATACGTCTTCTAATACAACTGTATTATTTTATTTCTCTGAGGCATTTCTCTAGGCGTACAGGCATCACGTGACATTCATTATTTTTCCCCATAAATGAATCGGTGTTGCCAAAACATTCATGGATGGACTTATGTTTGCATTGACCAGATAGATACGTCTCTGATAGCAAATAATGAAACTAGTTATTAACTGTCTTGTATGAACTTCTCAAAGCACAGGTTACAAAATATAATACACACATATCTTCCTCTTTTTCAATAAACCGTATTGGGTTCTTTCTCACATTTTTAGAGGCTGAACACTAGGTAAAATGTTTGAAGCATTATGCAACATGATCCCTCAAACTTACAAAGTTACATTGTTTTAAGGATTTGTGTATTTGTTAAAAAAAATATTTAAAATAATACATTTTCAACAGAATAAGCGTCCAGTACCTTTGATATGCTCACATGTGAATGAGAGAGAGAGTCAGCCGTTTGCTTGCTGGTGCCCATTAGCTTGTTGGCCCCTAATCAGAAGATGATTTCTGACCATTCTTATTGATTAGTGCTTAGTGGTGGGCAGGTAGTGGTCTGGCTTGTTGTTTTCAATCACCATGTACTTCCATATTTCTCCCTCATTTAGACATGCACAGAGCTAGCGTGTCGACTGGTGGAGCCTCTGAAGTGCAGCTGCGGTTTACACTGGTATTAATTGGGTCTCTGGAGTGAGAGTGCGGAGCTGACTGTCTGTCTGCACTCCACCAAACATTATCATTATTTTCCCTGTTTATGAAGGACCTCCATATGGCTCAGGGCCAGCCTGAAAGGCTAACTAGCTTCAGATTAAGGTGAGAGTCGTTTGTGGTGCCATTTGCATAGGGCATATACAGTGCATGTGCAGGTGAGTGGCTGGCCACACACTAATGAGGATCTAGAAATGATTTGCGCTGTATGGACTTATTTCTGTTATGCTGCTTTAGGAGGGAAAACATTTTCAGTGTTGGTAGAAAAAATAGATCAAGGTCTTTCTTGGCCGGATGTGTGTGCTTGTCATTTTGTATTTACAAGCTCCACCACATCAGCAGAATGTGGTGAATACCCCAGGCTTTACAGAAGAAGACAGGAAATAAAGCCCAGCCCATGAATGCCGGCAAACAGAGAGCGAGTGAACGCACCAAAAGTGGGAATGGAAAATCAGATCAGATTTATGGTAGTCTTTTCAACAGAGCCATCGAGCTGCATTATCCACACTGCAACATAAATTGTGGAAGCCATGGAGCCGGCAGAGGCGTAACTCAGGCTCTGCTCTCTGCTGCAGAGACTGGCCCTGTCCATCTTTCCCTCTTTACTGTCTATCGTGGCCTTTCTATTTTCTGTGTTTCTCCCTGGTTCCTCCTGTGTGCTCTGCTCCACTGAGCCGATGTTATTCAGAGGGCAAATGTCACACAGGCAGACCATGTTTCGTCATCCACTTCACTGTCTTTATTCCAGCGCTGTTTGGCTTTCCACACCTCTCTACCCAGACTTTAGAGCTCAAGTGAGATGTAGAAAAAGACACATTTTCCATTTACTGCAAAATAACACTTCTTTTATGTGGACTGAAGTTCAAATCAGTCAGGTTTGTTTATGACAGGAAGGGCACCTGGCATAAAACTAGGCAGATCACTGTGCTCTTAATTATTGAGATATGAAAGCTAAAGTGATTTCATATGTTGCATCAGCAGTAAAGGGTTACTAAAATCACAAACCATGCAGTATAAGGGCTTTGCACGGCTTTCGTGGTGTTATCTCTTCATCGTGAGGTAGGGCTTTAGTGGAAGTCTTCGTTCTCTTAGTGCTCTAGTTTATTACTAGTTTGCATTCATCTTGTCTCTGGCTATTGGTTCGCTAACCCCTACCACATTTTACAAAGACCAGCGGTGCAATCTGAAAGTCCCCATAGAATGAAGTTTGGTACACAAGTGTGGTTTGTTTGTTTTGACATTTAGCAGTGAGCTTTTGGGACTTGCCTATGCTAATGAAGGTAGATATGCAAACTAAGGCCTAATTTGGATGTTAATTACTTATCTGGGCTAATTATAATACGTCTGATGAGGCATAAGGTAGAGTGCAAGAAATGGAGGCGTGCTATTGATGATGTATGTGCTGTTATGTTTGTGTGTGCTGTGGGTATAGGCCCAACAGCTGCTCTGGGCCCCACTGCAGCACACTGGCTAATGCTCCTCCTGACCTGATGTCAACATGTACTGTGTGAAAACAATTGGGTGATTTAACCAAACTAAAACAGAAGAAGCACAGGGGAGCGGCTAAAGTCCCTGTTGTTAAGTAGTTCAGGTGCTATTCTGTGTTGCCTGCTCAGCCAAGACTACATAGTTTGAGTTCGTCCTAAATGATAAATAACGACTGAGCTAGTTTGTTTCCCATTTGTCACAAGAATAAATAATTAATAAATAAATAAAATAATTAAAGTAATTATGTGGCTCTATTTAGAGATTGATTGATATGTTTTTTTTTCGTGCCATTGCCGACAGTAGGCTCTATTCATGCTTACCAGATGACAACTTCCGGTGTCTGACATTGGGCATGCTAATAAAACCATTATTATTATTATTATTATTATTATTATTCAATTACACAAATTACAATTCACTAATTAATAGACAATTTATAAAAGGAAAAAAGAAAGAAAACAATGACATCTAGATGAAGGGGCCTCAACAGAGCTCAAAGGAAGGCATCATCTGCATGTTTCTAAATGTCTGCCGGTTTTGTGACACAAGCGTGTGACGTAAGCGTGTGACGTCATTGGGTGATGTAAGCGCGAATAAACCAATGGCTGATAAGCTCTGCCGATATTTTTGGGCCAATATGTAAGGCCGATTTGGATTTTTTTTTCCTAAATGATGTAATTTCAATTTTGCTACAAGCTCACCCACAGCCTTTTTTTTTTTTTTTTGTACAACAAGCCTGTAAGAGAGCTGTGTAGTCACGCTTTGTGCAGAGTCCTCTTCACATTAGTGTGTTGAAATAAACCATTATTTGTATTCTGAGATAGCGAGTTGACCAACACACAATATTGGCTAATACTTCAAAAAGTGCAGATATTGTATTGGTCTTTCTATAACTATGTTAGAGTTGTGACCTGAAGACCACGGAAGAAGGGGTGGTGGTCAGACTGTAAATCCTCTGCACAATCAGTCTGAATGGTCGGCAAATTCAGTTAATTATGAATAAAATATAGAAAATGAATGCATTCTTTGTCCATGGTTTTGTTATTATTACAGTACACCAATGTTCTCATTAGAGATCTGAAAGCAATATGCTAAACACATTCTTCATTTGCACAGTGAGTCAAATGCATTTGAGTGCTTGCTTTAGATGTGTGTGGGTTTACTTCTTGTAGGAGTTAGAACAGATAAACCAAACGCACATTGCCACATGCAGCGTTTAGAGGTCTGAGCATCTGAGTGAAACTTTAAATTTTACCGTAGAAAGAACAACTTTTCAAGGGAAGCTTTGCAACTTATTTTCCTAAATTGTACAGTCCTCTTGGGCAGTAGTAATTGAAGTTTACTCACAAAGTTGTATTTTCTCAATAGACTGTTCTAGGCTGAACTAAACACTGAAGTGCCCTCTGAGCTCAGCCTTTGAAGTGTAGTCTATTGTGTACACTGGCCCCATAGTCTTTTATTAAAGAATATAGTGTGGCCTGTGGAGACTCAACGATAAAGCTGAAGTTATGAAGACATGCTCTGGTGCACACAGTTTTAATTATAACTCACCACAACTTAATATGTGTTTGTGCAGCCCATGTCAGTGTGTGCTTGGTGCTTCAAACCCATTTGGACATAAAGACACTGACGTGCACGGCCACAGATGTGCACGGCTCTTTTCATCTTGCACACAACTCAATTGAGTCATCTCCTTGATCTGCGTTTCAAGCGCTCCTGTGTGGGGCTGTTGTATTTTCAGTCCAGGGCTGCTGCCGGCTTCAAATGGCTTTGTACTTGATTTCTTTGCTGAGGATTCTCGCCCAGAGAAGCCATGAAAGTGTCATGTGATTTGTGTGCAAGATATAAGTCTGCTGATGTTTGACAACTCCAGTTTTATAGAAACAAAGTGAAACTCATAGAGCTCAGGTGTAAGATATACCAAAGAAAAAGGCTTTAAAGTTATTTCACATTGTCAACACCATGTCCTAAAGTACAAAAGGTGAGAGCGGCAGACAAACCCAGGAATCCATAGACAACAAAAATACACCAAAGGTCTGTTGACATGCTGTATCCAGCTCTGCGCAACTGCTGTGGTTCTGAGACACTTTGGATTCAATATAAGAGCACTGATTGAATTTCCTAAAAGTATGTTCTGCATTTGACTGGAGGCTTCTTGTTTTAGCTACATGTGTTTGATGTTGTCTTCCTGTTTCTCTGTGTGTGAGCTCTCGCTATTTATGCCTCATCATTTTTCTGCTCTGCATGTGTAGCTATTCTTATCTTACAATGGTCAAAACCAACACAACATGTCACTATGAATGTTGAATAGGCAAAAATAGGACTGTCACTGGTCCAACTCACTCTACCAAGAAAAACTAACACATTTTGATTCACTTAATGCCTTTAGCCACAGACTGGAGGGCTTATAGCTCAGTAAACTTTTGTCCTTCGATACTGTATTTTGTGTTCATGCTTCATAATGAGCCAGCTTGCAGCACCAGCCATTTCTGTCGGCGTGGCAACATTTTCCATCGGGGCCCTGTCA